TCGTATAAGTGAATAAAATGGAGGAATTGTTTTATTTCAAATCTTTTTAAACATTTACTCAAAAAATCGGAAATTTTGATATGATTTCAGAAGTATAACATATAAGAAATAAATTTTTTTTTACATATACATATATATCAAATGAAGTGTTGCAGAATAATGGTGTGGAAGAAATGACATCGATAACTCATAATATTGATCTTCCGGATGCTGGATTTTCACCGGAATGCCAAGATTTGATAGAAGGCTTACTGAAGCATGATGTCCCAGATAGACTTGGATGTCGTGGAAGGGGGTTTGTGCCGTTGAAAAAATTCATTATCATAAATGATAGCCTTAAAAGTAAATTTTGCGATGACAGTGAAGGATGGGTGGTAGTTATACTGGCAATATGCTCATGGTAATGAAGGAATTAATGAAATTGCAACATAATTGCATATCAGTTTATAGAGAAATATATTTTACATTAAGAAAATATTTATGAGAAGGGAAAACGGAAAAACTTGGATAAAGAACTGATATTTCAGAGAAGTTTAATCACTTTCTTGTATTTTGGGATTTTTTCTTTAAAAAATTCATAATATCAGTTGGTGTGAGCATTATTGGTCATGGCCATACCTGAAAAGAACTTTCAATGCAATATTTCTCTCAACGAAATTTTAAATGAAATAATGTTTCAGTCCAGAAGAAGTGAAAGAGCATCCATTTTTTGCTTCGATAGATTGGCAAACGGTATATTTAAGACGAATGACGCCACCGATTATTCCACCACGAGGTGAAGTGAATGCTGCTGATGCGTTTGATATCGGTAATTTTAACGATGATGAAGTGAAAGGCATTAAAGTAAGGCTTTCTTTTTATGTTGTTTTTGAGTTTTCCCAATTTTTACTTAAATTAATTAGTATAATTTACGGCTGCAGCTGATACAAACGATATGAATAGAACAGTAACTTTCGAAATTGTTTCTAAAAAATACGAAGTCCTGGATGATCAAAAATAGAAATTTGTAATAATTGACAAAGGTCTAACAAATCTTAAGTAGTTATACTTTATAATAATGATGAAGTAATTCAGTTCCCGATAAATTTGAACCATAAAGGTGTAGATTAAATTAGCCATTGTCATATTGTATCCTGAAACTTCGTATAATTGGAAATGATATATTATCATATGTTGAGCGATTAAGAACACAGACAAATCGAACCACTGATAGCATCCTAAACTTTTTTCGGGATCATAGATGATGCATATTTGCTCCTGATCATTCCATTACCAGATGGTATACTGAGCAGTTATAATCGCTGTCATATTATTTTTTGCCAGCTTGTTAATCATCAATATGTATTTTGATTATGATTCCATCATTTCTAAGTTTTTCATTCTATAATTGATGATTTTAAGAAGTTCTTCCTTTAGTTAACCGAAGCTGATGGCAAATTATATAAAGATTTTAATATAACAATTTCGGAACGATGGCAGAATGAAATAGCAGATACAATTTTTGAAGTGGTAAATCAGGATGCTGATAAAGCTGAGAGTAAGAAACGAGCTAAGCAACGAGCTAAACTTGGCAATGATGAAAAAAGTGAGGAATTTATAAATAAATAATTGGAAATGTGAACAAGTGATTAAATAATGAATAATTAGATAAATAATTAGGTAATTCAAAAAAATGAAAAATAATTCGATAGTGAGTAGGTTCAAATCAATTGACTTATCATATTTTATTTAGATTCGGATGTAATTATACACGGTTATATCAAAAAACTCGGTGGACCATTCACATTTGCATGGCATACCCGTTATGGTAAACTTTATCCAAGTCGACTTGAGCTCTACCCGGAATCACTTAGTGGTAAGCCCGAGGTAAGTTTCCCAGAAAGATTTGCTCTTAAATAATGATATATTTACTCTTGTATCACTTCTGTTGTTGCAAAAATACGAAATTTGAACGTAAATTCGTTATAAAAGTGGTGCAAAATTAACTTTAACAATTGATTTTTTTTGCTTGTGCATTGAAACCATTATTTCAGCTAATATTTATGGATCAAATTGAGGATGTCGATGTGGATTTACATAATGTCAAAGGAGAGCATTCGATAATTGTAAAGTTGAAAGAAGGTTTTAAAGAACAAAAATTGATTCTTACCAATCAGGTTTGCTTATGTTTCATTTGTTCATTGTTGTCTTCTATTGGGTACGTTTTCCAAACTTAGGAACTGCCCAAATTTAATTACAAAGTTCAAAACATTGAGAGTTCAATATCTTATTTATTTTTGAAGGTTTCACATACTGCAACTCAATAGTTCAGAATTTAAATTAAATTCAAGACAAAATTCCAAATAATTTCAGGACGAGATATCACTAAGTGAATGGCACACTTCACTAAGGACTGCTCATCGGGTGTCATCCGAGTTATTGCAAAGGATGGGTCGTAAAGCAATTAAAATATATGGAATGAATCACGATCCAATGCTTGATGACCGTGAACGTATAGCATCCGTTACGAAAGCCCTTCTGCACCGTACATCTTCCCTTGATTCCGGAATATAATCTGTGATGAACAATTACAATAATCCTAGCGGAATGCGTAAATTTTATTTCTCACTTGCGAATGATTTCTTAAGTAGAGAATAAGGACATCTGGGCTAGAGTGAGTTGAATTACAATGACAGAGAAAGTGTTTTAGTACCAAGATTATTTCAATAACAAGGAGGAAGAATAAAGGATGCGAAGAAAAGTGGATAGATAAGCCAATAAGACAAGAATTTAAATTAAAGTGGCCGCTAAGTAAAATTTGTAATTTTCTAATTATGACTATTTTATATGTTGAAATTCCTGTTCTCAGGCACGATTTGTGCATAAACCAAGATAGAGGAAACAGCGCAGTTGTTTCAAAACAAGGATCATCAAAGTAGGATCACCGATAAAAAATGTCAAATCGATTAGCTCTAAGGAATTCATAATGAATTCATTTTAGCACTTTTTGCGATATTTCAGATAGGAAAAGATTTGTAATCAACAAAAAACTTCGAAAATACAAAAGTGAGCAAACCCCGTGATATCTTAATAACTGCGATCCACACCTCTTAGCTATGCCTGAGCGCAAATATTGGCCTTTGTATACCTTTACTTACTTTGGAGTAAATGTTTCGTTTTATTCGTTTATTTTGTTGTTTCAAGAAAGAAATTTTGATCTGATCTCACTGTGGTGGTTATTTTAAAGCAAGTTTAATTGTCCAATACATACTTAGTCAAGTTATCCTATCGCATACGAGATTCATTTTATATTTGTATTCGTGGCTGTTATTCTAAAGTAAATCATATGGAATTCAACTATATGCTCTATCATTCTATTTATAATAATTTCTATAACAATTCGCATTAGCTGTGAAATCCTTTCAGTGACTAAAAAAATGACTTTTGTATTGTGGCTAACCAAATAAAACACAACTGTTAAAATTGGGTTATGGTACAGCAAATTGTTCTCTTTGAGCTTTTCCAATTCCTTGTTTATCTGATATGAATAAACCTTTCAAATCTTAATCTCATATTGATTTCTCTTGTCTTCATTACAGACGATGTAAACTGGATAATATAAAGCCCAAACGTTGGTAGATTATCTTTTCCAATTCTTTATTTCATAGCAGATAAAACTGAAGAAAAAGAAAACAGTTATTCATCCAACACAATACAAGGCATGAAGAGCAATTATGAAGCCCATTTATGCAAGTTATGATTTGATAGATAATGATTAATTTGAAAGTCGCTTAGATGACTTCTATGAAAGAGTTATATAAATAGGGTAAGCCAAAACACCATTTAATATCACCTGTTTGCAAGTTAAAAACTTCAAGTACTGATACATTTTCTAAAAACATTTGCGCAGCATCAGCTCGGTGGTACATGTTGATATGGCTGCAACTAAGTCAATCACCTCAGAGTTCCTCATGTCTTCTCCTTTCGTACTTCTCTCTAAAAATTTCAAAAGCATGGCAGAATTTAGAAGTTTCCTTTTTGTTTCAATTCATATAGAGAATGTGGAAAAAAGTATATGGTTTACACGTACTGATGTCTGAAGTCAAACAAAACGCACAGAAATAGGGTGAGATTACTGATTTTGTTCATCGTCTTCATCAGCTACTTCTTCTTCATCCTCCTCCAGATCATCAATTTCTTGTAGTAAAGTGCTTCCAGAGATAACATTTGGTACCGAACGCATTTGTGCAAATATAGACTAAAATGAGTTCAAAAAGGATAAGAGATTGTTTAAGTATTTTTTAATACACTTCCACATAGAAAACTTTAAATGAAACCACATGGGTGAAAGAACTATCATTTACGTTACATAGAAGCTAACGATCACCTGCGCACTAATACGTGATTCTAGTCTTGAAAGCAAAACTTCATCAACCGCATCTGTACATGGAATTGCCCATGCTGATTCATCCCATCGCAATGGTACTGTCGGAAAATGCATCGGATACATAAATGCCATACTACCCTTGAATAGAATAGTAAACAGATAGCAACGATACACCAAAACTAAGACGAGTTCGATCCTTCCAGTACAGCCCGTGTACAATATCACCAGCGGGTAATTCATTTATTGTAATTCATCGAACCTGTTCCTCTATTTCATATACTTAAATTTCTTTTTAAATCAAAATTTACATGTACTGAGCTCTATAATGAAGGTCGAACTTTGAAACATTAGTAATAACAGATCAAAGAAGTACTGAAACTCGTTTATTTCGGAATGATAATTTCAAAATATAACAGCAATGGAGCAAAGAAAATATAAATAAACATGAGAAAGTGAGAGGCAATGAAAAACAACGCACAACCTGATATGCCACATAAACTCAAATACTGAAACAATACGGATAAAAATATCATGCTACAGTAAAATGTAATGGATATCTCAATATAGTCCATAAACATAATTATCCACACTTGAGATGTTCAAGTCTCACTGAGAGAGCTATAATTTTGGGCAATTACAGCGATGCCAATTCGCCTTTGTAATCGGTCGACTCTTCACCCTCGGCTAACAATTTCCCCACAACAGGATATTTGTCTATAACAGGAAAACATGAAGAACAAAACTAATTATAATGACCACGTAATTCTGATGAGCAAAAATTGATAAGCAAATAGTTTTGAATAAACCACATTGACTACGTGGTAATTATATAACTAATAACGAAGCTTATATTTAATGTATTTAAACATATCTCGAGACTTATGATACCTCTTGAAAGCCTTTAAAATTGCAATTTATAATCAAATATGATAATCCTGAGGCAGCATAAAACTTACAGATGAATGACTGCATCCATTCTCTAGCTGTATTAAGATCTAAATCTGAAATATCACTTAAATCATCTGGAGTATCTTTAACCAAGGTGATATCCATCGTCGCCAATGCTCGCGTGGCATCATGACCTGCCAATTTACTATATGCACCTTCGGGGCCATAAAATAAGCTTCCTTTCGTCACGTCAAATACCTACAAAATCTTGTGTAACAATCAGTTTCAACCATAATGTGGCACAACGACTAGGTTTTTTAAGGGACCAAAATCTTTAATTTTAAGTATTGTATCAAGTGTTTCTTGAAAATTTGAACCTGCTCTCCACTAATTCTACTTCATCCCCACTTTTTATAGAAGAAAATAAATCTCGAATCGAAGCAGATAAAAAAAACTCGAGAGATAATCACTCTAACAATTTTTAAACAACAAAAAGTATGAAGCAGTCGGTGTTGGTTCGAATAATGGAGCCTGAATCAATTTACATGAAAGAATACCAAGACTTGTGTTTAAGAATTCCAGAAAAATTTAAATGAGAGGAAGAGCTTACCTTTCCGCAAATAGCCATAAGGATTCGTTCATTTTGGACGCCGTCAAAGGGTAACAATTGTTCCACTGTAAAATCCCTCTTTTGCATGGGTGGAAGAGCATTCGACGTTTTTTCTTCCCCATTCGGACGTACGTCTTTTGTAGGCTTCTTCAAGAACACGACAAAAACCACGTAAACCACGAACACAAAAATCACCACATCCCATCCCCCTAACTCCGTGACATCTCCGAAAGATACCATATTACAAAGATGAAAGGGGCATTTAAAAGCCTGTTCGCAACGCGGTATGCAACAGACCCATCCCAGATTTCTTAAATAACAATGATTTGGTGGATCTGTCTTATATCGATGACCGTTTAGTTTTGTTCAGAAATGAAGAGACACTGTCAAGCAAGTGAAAGTTAACTATGACTAATATTTTAAATTTTCATTATACCTAGTGATCTTGAAGTTATAGTGAAAACGAATTAAAATACAACTTTTTCAAACAAGTTAATATTCCCGTATCAATCACTCTATCACTTGATCAATTAAATCTTCAAAGTGACATTTGTTAATTGTATTATCATCTTCCATTATCTGCTAAATTAACCGATTGAATATAAAACCAATAGATTCAAATTTGTTTAATAAGAAGATGAATGAAGGAATCATTACCTGATACTTGAAAAAATCAAGGAAAATTCAGTTTTATATCATTTAACTATCGTTAGCAGTAATTTACTTACTTCCTGCAATTAATTTCCTTGAACTGTTCTGATAATAATGAGTGATTAAATGTTCTTATTATTATTGCATGTTGCAAAAGTGCAAAATTCTTTGGATATTTGATTAAATATAGCAAAATTTCGAGAGGAAAGGAAATTCGAACCGATCGAATGTTTTGATTGTGACGTTTAACAAACTTTCATACTTCTCAGAGATAAATCAAATGGGAAAAGATGAAATTTCCGATGATAGTTAACAATGATTTTCTTTTCTTTATAAAAATGACAATGTTTTGTCAACAAACGAACAGTGAAACTATTTCATTTTTCAATTGTAAGCGTTGTTTTTAGAATGTCAAATATGCTATGCCATTATATTTTGCCATCATTCGCAACACAACTGAATTTTGCTTTATCATCGTAGTAGCATGATTGATATTCATTTGATCATAGCATCGAGCATTTTGCTGATTACATTAAAATTCAATTGAATAGCTGTTGATAATAGAGAAAACATGAATATGTGTATATTCATGGAGAACATTGACAAATGAAAGAAAAAGTCAAATTAGAATTTCAGTAAGGATTGTTTGAAGATTATTATCAGCAACAACAAAAATGAAATGAAAGTCTTCATTGATTGTTGCTTTAAATATGGCCATTATTATGTTTTGAGATTGTTATTGTTTATTTATATTTCGTCATTGTTCTTCTTTGAATTTTATTATGATAATGCAGCTATAATAGCAGTAATTTCTTCTGCTAAACAGACGAATACCATCTTGTATTGTTCACAACTTTCCACCATACCTGGACGTTGATCACGTAAATGCTCCAGTGAACCTGCTACACTTAGTTCCTTTACACCTGTAAAAAAATTTTTTGGATTGTGGTAATTTAACTATTATATATATTTTACTTATCATATGATGGAGAGGCACTTTGAACAAAATAGTAACTTTCAAATCTACGCTATTATTAATTTCAGTAAAACTAATTGTATATAAATATCGGAATATTAGTGAAAGATATCAATTATATTGATATTTGATAATACGTACGTAAAATTTTTCTGACAAAGTAATTTTTACATATTATTATGTATATATTTGGATATTATGTATGAAAGCAAGACAGTAGTAGCTAGTTGATGATAAATAACGGGTAAGACAGACATGATAAATAACAGATATGATTTCTAATTTGAAAGCAAGTTATGATAAAAATATACCTTTGGCAACTCGATTCAGTATCATGTCAAGCAAACAGAATGTACCAGTCCGTCCGATACCATCCGTACAGTGTACAACAATTGGGGCTGCTCGTCCGCGATACGATTTATTGATCTTTCTGCAAAATGCTATGAGGTTTCATTTTAATTTTGTAAAAATTTTTTTTAAATACAATTAACCTCTTTAGATGTAATTAAATTAAACTTGTCTTATAATGTAATAACAGCTCAGAACATATGAATAGGACGGTAGGAAAGATTAATACAAAACTTCACGTTACAAAACTTGACAAGACGCCATTTTTTTACATTATCCTTCTCATTTTACAAATGACAATACTTGTACGTAAACTTTACATATATAAATAAGAATATAGCATTAGCTTAACAGCTTAAAACAAATCAGCAACAGAAGGGAACTTTTTGCTAAATTTGTTTTCTATTTCTTACACAATATAAAAATGGTCAATATATATACACAGGAGAGCAGAGGAAAGTCAAATGTAAGATGGACAACGGTGGTTTGGTTGGAACGAATGACGCTTCCCGTCCATCACTTTTGTGACTATGCAATTATTCGAGAACAAAATTGCTAATCCACAAAAATGATCGACGAAAGGAGGCGTCTCATCCAGAACACTGAAAAATCGTAGTGAAAATGACACATGCAAACAGTCGATTACTGTTATTAAAAATCATTCAATCTGTGTCCTCACGAATGAATTTGGAATTACTTTTCCGATAGTACTAAAGTGCAATAAAAAATGATCTTTACGCTCTGTCTCTAATGTGTGATGTTTCGGTTTGGAATATCATCCAGAATAGGGAGCCGGAATAATTTCTTGATTATAGGAATTTTTAAAGGGAAAAATATCCCTTCATTCATTGAGATTAAAATAGTCGTCAGAATTGAATCGCCAAACTGTTAACTAATATATTCATATACTTCTTAATATTCTATTTAGATAAAAAGCACTCTAAATAAAAAAGTTGCTATAGTAGTTAGTATATAGTATAAGTTGCTATAGTTGCTAGTTGCTATGTTGAAGTTGCTATAGTAAGTTAGATGCTTATTTAAAAGAAGGAACCTGCGAAAATCGAGTAGAGCTTTGGTATTGGATGGTACTCCGCTTTTGGGCCATGTTAAGAAATGAAATTGAGTTACAGTTCGAGTTTCGTCCGTTCTCAAATTTTTTAAGTAAAATGATCGCACTAAATAGTCTTCGCTCCAAATGTGTTCCGATACCAAATGAATCTGCAGAAAATGATTTAAAATCAATATACATTCTTTCAAAGATTCATTAGTAAGTAATAATGCATCTTTGTTCTCTTACGCTTTTTTTAAGAATCATAAATGATGACAAAATGAAATTCTTGTAGAAGTTGAAATTTTCTTTATGAGTAAACTATATGTGATTTTATCGTATTATGAGTAAGGTTAAGTTGGTACCGCTAAATTGCACAAAATAACAGAATTGTTAAATAAATATGGAAATGTTTTACACGTGTGAAATGAAACATTAATTTATAATTTTCTTACTCACTCAAAAAAATAATGTTTGTATGTAAATTGCCCTATTCATTTTTTACTTTCTATTTTTCTATTCAGCAAAAAGTATTTCAGCAAAGCTGGAATAAAAAACAAACTTCGAAAGATCCGTATATCTGTGAACCACTTTCAGGCCAATATTTGAGGCATTGTCCTTCTTGTTGGTCATCGTTGTTCGCTAAGTTCACAACTAGCACAGTAGCCTGAGATTTGAAACATTCTATCAGTGATGTCATGTTTAAGTTTCACATGTGATACCAAAATGTGCATCGAATTAAAATTCATATTTATAAAATAATCCACATAAGGAATACTGATAACTTGCCAAATGACTAATGTCAAAGTTGTAGATAGTAAGAGAATATTAAATCAAGGCACACATTGAAAATTATATGAAAAAGTAGATTTGAGTTGCTGACTCATTGGTGCGAAAGAATTTCTTGGCTGATTTATCATCGTCACAATAATTTGTCAAGCAAAACTCTCTCTACCCTTCCTCCAATCTTCACCGTCGTAACATAATGTAAAACTTTTTTTCAATTCCGAATTTCTATATAGTTTTGGTTATTGAAGAAATTAGTTCATGTGTTCACCAAATTTCAACATAACACTCTTTACACTTTCCTAAATCAATTTTATTGTTGTGAATCTTTTCATCTTTTGTTGGTTGTTTACTCTTGCATTTATGCCATTAATTTAAAAAATATAACTTTGAAATATGATATTAACATGCTCAAATTCCGGCTTACCTTTTCTTCAGTAACTTTTCTTCTTTTTAAGATGTTTACTTGATGCTGAAGTCTATTTTTATGAGGAAGAAGAAAATTAAATTTAAGATTGAAAGTTGTGATGTTATCAGTCACTGAAGCAATAATATTCAATGTAACTATGACATATTGAAGAAAACTCGAGTGATAAGATCATGAAATGATATTCATTTGTAATTATGGGCATAAGACAATTATAGTTGATGAAAGGATAAGCAAAGGGAGATTGAAAGTTTGCTTTAGGAAGAGTTAGTGCAAAATACAAGGACAGATGGAAATGAAGAAATAGATATTAAATGAAGCCGTATACAACGATCACATGATAATTCAGCCGGATTGGTAATTGATTTACAGATAATATAAAAGTAATACTAACTTGTTCCCAAATCATTTGCCAAAAATCTGCAATGGTTTCCGGAAGTGGTGATTGTGTGGCGATATAATTGGCTTGTTTCGGATCGCAGTCATGGATTGCTGATGCATTGATAAATGCTGAATCTTTCACTAAATGACGAATACTGACCAATGTATCGTCATCTGAAAAGCATTACTTTGACCACATTTGATTATGCATTTTTTAATGGAAATTTTAAGAACATTTTCAGTCTTCCTTCCAGATATCATTTTGTATTTCTGCAATTGAATACATTTCATTTTTTATAAATAAAAATTAAATAAGTATCCCTTATGCTATTGCTTATCAGTGTGTCAATTTCATCGCAGATCTCATTTATTGTAGGAATTAATGAATGAAAGGTTAAAATTTAATTCATTTTTTCACTTCTTTGATAAGAATAGATCTAAATGCAACCATCAGTATGATTATCTGAAATGATCAATTGTTATTATTCAGTAACTTTTCCTAATGATAATAGCTGTGTTAAGAGATGCAAAATAGACGTCAATAGGAATAGTATTTATGAAAGATTTTCAATGTTTTTTATAAATATCAACTTTAATCAGCTATTTGGACTTTTATTATTACATGGAAGTTGTAGTAAAATATATTTCATTTTGTATCGATTGATATCTATTAGCTTAAAGCTTTTAAAAAAATGTTCAATTTGAATTTAATAAGAGGCTTTATTCAAATGATGAAGAAATTGTTGTATGAAGAGGAAATGTTTCAAACACTTGCAATTGTTATAGGAAAGAGTCTTATACTTCAATACGGAATGTGAAAGTAAATGAAATTTTGAATGAATAAAGAAGGAGCTTACACGGAAGACAAGTTTGATTTCGATTTTTGTTGATATTTTCTTCTTCTCTTGCAATTGATGATATTCCGTTCGGATTTGAATATTCATTTAATGTTTTCCATTGTTCTTCAATTTTTGATGTGTCATTTAAATAATCACGAAGGAATGACTGAAATTTAAAAATTATGAAAATATGAAATGAATATGATACTGAAAGAAGTTATAGGAAACAAAGGTTCATGCTGTGATTGTATGAAATGAAGTGAAAATTAGTAAGACACAATTGATGATATAACAAACGATCGGTAAGATAGAAAAGGGAAAGAATAATTGATTGTTTCACATTAAAAATGTTATAATATGTACTTGAAATGCAAAAAGTAAAATACTCTCACCAAAATGACATGGCCGGTTGAGATGTCGAGACTAGACTGACCAACCGGTTCATCGACCCTTAAATTAAAATTTAAATTTCTACTTTATATTTTAAAATTTTAATTCTTTTTACATGAAACTTTTGATATCAAACAGTTAATAAAATAAACGAACCAAGATGTTGTATTGGAATGATTATTTGTACGAGAGTCAGCGATGTTTGCCGGTTCATGTGAACTCATCTGATACCGGCATAAATCTTGATAAGCAAGCAATGCATTATTACAATACTTCTGAGAGTCAAGGTTCGGGATGATAGATTTGTATCTTTTCTTCCGATGTTCTCTGATCTGATGAATCGTCATTACCGCTACCAGTGCTACTAATGTCAATGTACTTACAATAAGTATAGGGGTAAAGAAAAGATCACGGGCCTCACTTTCAACTGGCACAGCTTCCTGAAAAATATTATAGAAATACCATTTCGAGGATCAAAATAATAATAAGATAGAGATTAGTAATAATTGGAATATTATTGCCTCGGTAGCTCTTCAAAGATGCAAAGAAATATTTTTTTAACATTTCATAAAAGTATAGCTTACTTCTCCACTCCCGATACCGGTTTCGTCAACATGTACTCCGGAAATTGTTTGAATATCCTTTCTTCGTTTATCTATAACATTAACGATATGGGAGTGAAAAGGTATAAAGTTTTCTCAAATCTCAAATTTCGGAAATTATTTCAAGTTTGGATTTAAAAATAAAAAAAAAGATTATACTTACAAACATCTTCTGCGATGCCACTCACTGAATCTAGGCGTTTCTCGTTTTGCGAAAGTGTTAAACTTGATCGACCAGCTCGAAATGATAACTGATCACCATCCAATCTGCGAAATAAAATTGCTTTTATTAGTAAAATAATAATATCATTATCAAATGAAATATGGAATATGATTATTAAAATATGATTATTAAATTTTCAAAGTGCAGTAAATAAGCGGAAAAATTGGCCGGATTAACAGCAACATGATTAGGATGGTATAATTACATTCCGGCTATAATCATCATTATTTATCTCCTAATTGATGATATATATTGCTAATGCAGGTTAGTTTCAAGCTTTCAGCAATATATTTCAAACGAACTTTGAAATAACCCCAAGCGTTACTATTTCTACAAGACATTCAAATAGGATTTGCTAAGAAAGCAACTTTGGGCTAATATGTCATATTCGTTATTTCACACGTTTCTGAAAAAAACAACAAGCGTACAGAAAATCATCGAAAATAAGTTGGTTAGGCTTTGCAATCGATAAATCCAAATAATTGATTACGTGCTGCAGCTTATCATCACTGAGATCTTTGGGAACTTTCAGATACACTCGATTACCGTCCACTTTCTGATATGATGGCATTCCTTTTACTATTTTGTGTTCTATTTTTTCCAAGCCTAAGAAGAATTAAAGTTTAATAGAAATAAGAGTAAAACTTCCTAACAATAACTTGATTTAGGACGGTTTGGTTTACCGAAACGATGTGGGAAAAGTGCAATAGTGGCAAGAAACATGCTCCAGTGAGTGATTCGATAGCTCGACGATTAAAATTTCAGAAAGTAAAGAGTATTAATTGCTGTGCTACCTTGTATGACTCATTATTTTACATCTTGTTATTACGTTCTCAACCACATTTCATCAATGTATAAGGTCAATAAATCAATGTTTTAATGTCACACATTTCAAACAAATAACAGTAGAAACTTTTTTTAAAACTATAACTAACCTGTATTCTGATTACCAAGATGCTCGATATCTTTTTTTAAAACAGGTGAATGATAACCAATGAAATTCAACGATTCTTCATCATCACCAGAACTTTGTGCTGCTGTAATTATTATTACAGTTTAAAGTTCATTTTAATATGATATTACTGATATATTATTACATTGATAATTGCTAGCATTTGTTGATGATTTTTTTTGTTTAAAATTATTTGCTATTGGAAATTGAAAATTGCTAGTATTTCAATCAAATTCATTTAAGAATCCATTGCTCTGTATTTAGAGCAATGGATAAACCTTATCGATAATATATGAAATAAGACAGATATTATCACTGTTAGCAATGATTAATTTTTTTCATGAATATCAAAGTGAGAATCTCACTAATGAAATGAATCTTGGATGAATTATAATTTGGAATCATACTCAGTGGCATGAAAGTTTCTACCGCCAGCATATTATTATCATTAACAATTGCTTTTTCTTCGCCATTCCATCCGGTTGATTCCAAAATATTACTCTCATCGAACATATTTCTTTCAGGAATTGAATAGAAATCATTCTCGTTACTATCTCTATCATCCATCTTCATATTATCTAGAAGAAAGCGAAGGGATATTTGTTGGCTTATTTTCCTCATTAACTTTGCTAGAATAAATTCCAAATATATTTGTAATATGCAAATGCATATTTTATTTGAAATTTAAATCGCATTGAAATATTATAAATGTTTTCTATATTAATTAACTCTCGGATGATACCCATCTGTTGTTGTTGTTGTTGCTGTCGTTGCTGTCGTTGCTGTTGCTGTTGTTGTTGCTGTTTTATGAAATTATTTATCAATTCGTTACCTGAGTTGACACTCGGGATATTTGTGACATCATTAGCAAGTGTCATTTTTACTGACTGAAACAGTTTTATTCTATATTATCGTATCAAAACTAATTCTAGAAATGGGCAATTTTGATCATATTAAGAAAATGATCTAAGAAAATGAAATTCCACACTTACGAATTTGTGGAGTAGATGAATTTTTGATATCGAAAAAGCCCTAAATGATTTCAAAACTCTGTATCGGATATTCTTTAAATATGTTTTAAGCAATGTTGCTCCTAATCTTTTAAAAAAAACTTCACCAAATCAATTTTGAAGCATCAAAATTGATAATTTCTTTAAAATTCTCCTGCTGCATTAATAATTTCGAATGTTATTCAATAGAGTTCAAAAAAGAGATAATTTTCATAAGGAAGTTTGTATGAGATAAGCTATTCCGTTCATCACTTCTCTCTCATTCCTTCAGATTTCTGACGTAGAGAAAACGATCTTCTTAAGCGATTGTTATTGTACTTTTTAAACATTCGATGTCAAACGCAATGTTATTGAGAAAGAGCGGGCAATCTTATTGAGAGAGAAAAGTTGTCAGTCTTAAAATCTTTTCAGAAAAGAAATACAATGAAATTTTGATGCCCTTCATTGTAATCAATATTTTAGTGACTTATATTAATTAGAGCATGAATAATATTTGGCTTGTTGTATTGCCATTCTATGATAAACAATATATTCACTCAGTATTTTCAGTGAATAAATCGATTTTGGAAACTAAAAAAATATTGAATTTAAATAATGAATCATTGCTGTCAACAAGCGAAAAAACCAGAATTGAAAAACTCAAAAGTCAAAAGTAAAAAAAGGTCCTAAAGTCCCTAAATTATTGATCGTTTTATTCCATTTTCACTATTATCATATTTTAAAAACTTGATTTAGTGAGACAAATTAATCTAATCGATTAAATTAAATTAGATTTTAACTCGATTGGAAATTAATTAATTAAAATCAAAAATGATAATTTTAATTGTTACAATAAAATTTAAAATTTGCATTTAAAGAGTGCAAGTAAAAATAATTTTCAAAATTAAACTGAAAAATCTAATGAATAGTTAAATATTATATTCTCTTATTTTTCTACTATATATTATTTCAATTTCGCAACCTTCACATACATCTACAAAATAATATTCAAGTAAGGAAGGAAAATGGAGTAACCTGTAACATTCTCCAAATATTTTCCGGATTAACAACATTGCAGAAGTTGAGATCATATTTGAGTTGCAACATTAAGACCATTTTGAAATATGCTATAACACACTGTGCTCGAGCATCTCCCAAAGTGTAACCATCTCGACCAAGTTGCTCTAACTGAGAACTTAACACTTTCTTCAAAATATAATCATCCGGATTTGAAACAATCAAAGCAACACGTTCTGTTGATGCACATTCCCCAAATAAACCATCTATAAAAGATGTATTTTGTTTTCAAATATACTCGAACAAAAAGTTTCGAATTAAAATTTAAATGAATTTCGAGCTACTAAGCACACCTCTGAATTAGCGGTTATTCAATCAGGAAATGATGAAATGGCATAACTTGATGATAACTAAAATTCTTACACCATTCAGATCATATAAAACTGTCCGATATTAATATCAAATTAAAAACTTTTATATATTAGACAATGGGTAGACACACATATTATTTCTATTTTTTCCCCTATTAATATTTAAATTAAATTTATTTAAATAATTTAATTGGAATAGAATTTTAAGTTATGATAATTGCTATAGCAATTGTATACTTTTTATCTTTATATGTGCTATTTTCTAAAATTTTCCATAAATTTTTTTTTAAAAGTTTGCCATATGTTTAACGTTTAATCTTACCTGCTGTATCTTACCTGTCGGATCCATATCATTTATAGCTGTCTCATCTATCTATCTATCTTACTTTTTTATTACATTATTTTATTAGTTAAAATTTTCATTCTCACATTCCCTTGTTCAAGCATTTTTCAACAATTCTCGAAATTAACGATGATACCGATATTTCAACAATTATACAATTTGTAATATAAATTGCTTCTTTTTTTTTTGAAAAAGACCACTGGAAGATATTTTACATTTTTGATTATTTTCAATATTAAAGATGAAAAATGTAATGATAAATTATTACATAAATAATTAAATGAAATATATGAATGGAATAGAATAAATTTATTGGAAATAATTAAAATTAATTTTAGTAAAATATTTTGGAACAAAAATAAGAAATTCAATTTATAGAAAAATTTAAAGTAATGTCATTTTCCAATAAATGTCTATAATTTTATTTCACATTCTCTGAAAAAGTTCTTATTTTCTCCATCTTACTTTAATCCTTTGGGACAAAAAAATTTGTAAGTAACGTTTTAGTCTGACAATCCTTTTGGCTCATTTTCTTTCTTTTCATTAGTAATACTGCTAAGTTTTTTTGATCACTCTTCTATACTTTTACCTGTTAATGCATAAAGTGAAACAATTGGAAGATTAAATTTTGTCTGAAAGATGGATCTTACATTATTAATGAAAAACGAATATCAGTGTAAATTTTACATCCTTAAATTATTGTATAAAATGAATTCTTCATTAAATTGAAATGAAATATACATAACCTCATGTTCCTTTTTAAAATTTAAATTTTTTACGCGAATTTTACTTCTAAATTTAAAACAAACCTTGTACACAAATTTCGTCCTCTTCACATATTTCGTCATACAAAAGGCAGCCTAAAAAAAGAATCATATCTTTTTGAAAATTTATTTAATATTAATTGATCGAAGTTAAGTAATTATTGTGAAATTAATACTTAATTTACTTAAGTTCGGAATTTAACTGATAACTGATATTGTAAGTTTTTTCTTAAGTATAACGTTATAAATTATATAAGTCTAAATCACCAAGTAAAGATAATCATACTAAAATGAACTAGTAGAATAGCTACTATAAAGAAGTAACTAATGCTTTATTGGCAGCAAAAAAGATTACCAATTAATTTATTTTCCCTTACAAACTATTAAATTACTTTTTGTGTTTGCGTGATGCATAAAATAGGGGAAATTATTACAAGGAAATAATTATGAAATAGACATTTTATTTAACATATCGACGCGACCTTAAATTATTTTGAAATTTGTCATCCAATGTTTGTCTCTTAGAGAGTGGAATTTCAAGCATTTAAAGTAATGTATGACTTGTTGACGATATGCTTTAAAAAATCTTTAAGATGTCAATGTTAATTATAATTAGACTTTAATTTCAGAGAAGAGTATTTAGAAAAAAATAATAATTAAATTTTATCATTATCTAAAAGATAGCATGATTTCTAGTCTTTGCATTGTTCTTATTAGATAAAAAAGAAAAGAAGTCACTAAAAATAATTGCCATTGCAATTGGTTGTATAATTACGAAGCTGTCATTCATTATTCTGCTCCAAATGTTTTAAAAGAGAAATGGGAAAAGATAATAAGAGAGATAATGAAAATTTCATGAAAGTTTATTAATAATATGTTAGCTTTGGCTTTCAAATCATTATCGTCATAATTCAAAGATCAAAATGATGGAAAGAAAAGAAAATGAAAAGGTATTTTTACATTCATAGGTCTACTCAATAATTAATAATCTAACAACGGCAGAGATTTACATCTATGAGCTCTATCTTTCCCAAAGCGTTTGTTTATTATACATTTATCGCTAAAAGATATGTTGCGATAAAGTTTTATATCCGAATAAGAAGTAAAATTCAAGTGAAAGTAAAAAGTTTAAATAATTAGCAGCGGTCAGTATATATACTGTTTGATCATTTATAAAAAAGCAACTGTTAAAACAATTGCATCACTAATTTTCAGCTTTATTAAACCCTTTAAACTTTGGCTTTATTTTGAATTTCATTTTTAAATATTAATTTAGCTCTTTTTTTCCTTCCAATGGGAAACTGATAATAATTTATAATTAATATTTTCTACAAAATGGCATTAGTTTATTTATATCAGCAATTAAGGAATGATAACACCGAACGATAGCTAAGATTTAAAAGCTATTACAAAAGTGTATGATAGAATATGATAGTAGTATTGCAGAGTAGTATGTTTGATATACCACCCTGCCACTGTTCATTTTCCTTTCTTCAAACAAGACTGATCAAATTTGGCAGCTACGGAAATTCATGTAAAGCCAAGTTGAGCATTCATATTTGCGTTGATATTTTGAAATTTTAGATAATAAATTATCATTCCAATAGTCGATTGCTTTTGAGAATGAAATAAGACAGATAAATGTTATTTGTTGCTTTTTGGATTAAATATTGTTAAGAAGGTCGAAGATTTTCAAATTCACAAATACTATTAGTTAAAGCTAAAATGGAAGTGTTTATGAAAAGTAAGCTTCTTGGAATCAAAAAGAAAGGATGAGAGTACGAAAAGCTCCTTTAAATATTCTACCCTACCCACTTATTCCTTTCTTCCGATATCATCCAGAAATGGTAATCGAAATCCCTCAGCTAAATCTGAAAGTATTTCTTGAGAATAATATTTAGTTGAAATGGACAAAATTCATTCCAATAAATGCTATTCTATTTATCTATTAACTAAGCTGCTTACTTACATATTGGTATATATATTTGCATAAAAAGAATAAACTGAAGTTTATTAAAATCACGGCTGAATACTCTTGAAGATATGACAAAATTTTCAAACAATATAGACAATTATAAAGAAATAAAAGTCAAAATTTTTTTTAATTATCAAAGTGTTCGTAATATTTTATGAGGAAGGAGAGATTTAATTTAAATAAATTATATTTCCTCATTCTTATCAAACTTCAAACTGTGTTATTTCATTGTTCGATTCTAAAAAGACAATGTAATTTACAGCATCTTGAGGAATAATAATCCTTAGTGTTATCTGCAAATACAAATAATCTGCCTCAATCATTAATATTTGACAGATACATTGTTAATTTAATAGATTGAACTTGAGTAAAATTCATTCTTTAGAGGATATATCAATAAATCCTTAACTTAGGATTATATCATATCATATTTTCTATCTTAAAACATATTTGAAGCATTTGGTATCACTTTAAAGCGGTAGTATAATCATTTTTCCTGTTAATGTTTTATTATGAAAATATCTACCGAAGAGAATTATAGGTTTCTTTCGATTATTTAGTAGCAATAAAAGAGTTCCCAATATTGGATTACATGATCTCTCACTGCTTTATCCCACATATCTTCTTTAATAATTTATTGAATAGAATAGTGTATGGAGTGGCCACCAGTCAGCTATTATATCTCATACATTAATCAGAAGGGGAATAACAACTATTCCAGCAATTATTATATTATAATATCTCATACTTCATTTTACTGTTTTCTAATCTTTTAATGCTTATTTACGATAATTTGATTTTGTAGCCGAAATGATGAAAGGAATAAATATGAGTATGTAGCAATAGCAGCAACCATCTGAAATGCTTCATTATGGCTGTCTTATTACTCCTTCTCCCTACAAAACATTTCAATGCTTTCTGATATAACATCAATGTTGTCATTGTCACCTAGCAACCACTTACATTTTTTAAATAAATTCATGCTAAAACTTTGGAAATAATTGACAAAATAAATACAACATGAAATTCAACATTTTATCATCTTATATTGGGAGAGATAAGAAGTTAGCAAGCAATATAATAAACCATAAAATTTAACTATGAAAGGCCTATGAAAGTTAGCTTATAATATTACAATTGAAGATTTATACTGAGAAGGGCCTGTAACTTTTGTAATTCAGAAAAAGTTGTGCAAAATTTTCTATATTTTATCAATAATTAAATTTAAATTTTTGAAATATTATATTTCTTTAATAGATTTAAAAAATTTTTGGCATAAAAACTTTGATTAAAAATGTGTTGAGAAAGGAATGCATAAAGAGCTATAAGGTCTGTCAATAGTTTCTGATATCTGAAATACTAATGTGGAGTCACTCATTTTTCATTTCTCAATTAAAAAAGTGGGGGAGATAGCATCGAAATAAAGTGTTAGGAAGATAACCTCTCTTCCATACCTGATGAGAGTGATATCATTACCTGAAAGCACATCGACTTTGCAATGCGATCAATTTAACTGTTTATTTAATTGTTAGAGTCTGTTTAGAGCAACCACAAAATTAACAATTTTTTTCCACTATGAAATTTCCATTGTTTTCATTCTTCATTGGATTCTGGACTTACTAATAATGCCTATAAATCCATGACGGCTGTCAGCTACTTCCGTTAAATTTACTTTTATTCGCTGTCCAAGATTAGCTGACAAACATGTCAATCCAATATATCGGTAATCAAGTTTGGCGTCGGTTGGAATATGTATGATTATACATGCATAGGTGAATAATATACGACGTCAGGACGAAGATAATATTCAAAAATTTCAACCACTAATTGAAGCTCTGAGCTAAAACTATCCAGGAAATCTAGAAGTTCATTTCGTCTCAATATTTATTAGAAATTTTTTGATCAGATTTCAGTTCCACAAATGCCAATGAAACTACGAAGAATGTGGTGAAAGATGTAAATATGATGCAACTAAACGGAAATTGAGATGCGAATAAAAAGGAGATGGGATTCTATTTTTCAATTAAAATACTATTCACATCCTTAAAATCGATCCTAAATTGAACATAGTTGAAACCAATTTTATAATTTGGTATAAAAGGAAAAAACACTGAATGTTGTATGTATAATTCTACTCGAATTATTATAAAATTCAAAATGCTCATAAATTTAGATTTTTTTTTCTTTTCTGAAACACAGTCTAATTCAATTCGGTATATTCGTATATTACTAAACTGGTGATAGGTATCGGCTTCGGAACTTAATAACTTGTTTGGATAATTTTGATTATATAAACATAAAAGATGAAATAGAAGAATCCAAATAGTTGAAATTAAAATAAATCAGAAAATCGTTTGAAATGTTGAAAAGTATTTCGTCAATCTTTCAAAAATTTTAGAAATGTGCCTGATTTCTTTTATGTTAATTTACTTGCTAAAACTGTGTAACAGAAATACTTCTGATATTATAAGAACATTGCGATTTACATAATTTATGCTCACAATATTTGATGAATAATATGCTTGCTATCGAAATGTTGAATAACCGGGCTCTTTTTTACGGTCGCTCCCGATATCATATCTTAGTATTTTTATAACGCTCCCTATATCTTACCTCTTCAGTAAATGTTTTATCAGTTCAAATTAATTGCTTTCTAAAAAATAAACCTTAAATTAAGCCAATCAATTGCTTAGTAATTTTATTTGAAAGAAATGTGAATTAAAAAATTTTGCAATAACCTACCGTTAGCAGATTTTGTATTGACAGTACCACCTAGGAGAAATAAAATGATGATGGAAACAGGATGGACAATTTGTCGGCTCAAGAAAAACGTATTTGAAGCAGCACCGGAAATCGGGCCTGCTACCATACCGTCAAGCGCTTGTCGCCATTTGCAACCTTTCTACTAGTAGTGCCTCGTTTTGGGGTGGAAAAGATATCACAGCAAGCCCATCCTACATATAACGACTAAGCTGCTCTGTGTGCATGCATCTATGTCTGCGTATGCGTTTGCGTGTGCGTTTGCACTATCAAAACCTGGTTATGTTTTACTTTGGCCAGTCTTGATAGACAATCAGAAAGAACAAAAAAAGCCTTTAATCTCTCTTCAACTGCCCATGCCTTATCGCAACCTTTTCCCTCTCATTTATAGCTCTTGGCTTATATTTTCCATTGATTTCAACCATGTTGAAAGTGGAGCCTTAAACATTTCAGGCTGTGCATTTGGCACTATTTGTTTACTTGTATGTGTGTGTATGTATGTGTATGTGTGTATGTATGTATATGTGTTTGTGTGCACAAATTAAGGAAGCAGGCCTGATGAGATAGGTATCACAAGCTAGCAGGGAATATAAAATGAAGCTTATTGGACAACAACTCACTATAGTCAGATGAATGTCCTCAACATTATTCCAACTAAATAAGCTGTGATAAGCAAACTTTAGTTCCATTTGTATATTCTATATTCGCAACTGCGACTGCTCGCGGAACATTCACACATGCACACACGTAGCATGCATTCATGCACAAAGCGTAAACTCGAGGCGTTACTAATTAACTTTATATGCATTATCTGTCCATTTCATTTTTATTTTTTTGCTGCAAGCCATAAACGGGCATATATATATTTGAACAATTTCAATAGTAATGCAATGCCTTCCATTTGATCGCCTTATCCCATGTGAGATGAACACTGAAGTAAGGAATGTATGAATGAATCACTGAATAGATGGACAGATGATGGATTGCATCATATTATGTGGGAACGATACGGCTTTAAATGATCAAACAATTCCATTTCATCCTCATTATATCACAAAAACTTTTTTAAGAATCTTCACGGAACATGTGACAAACCGTCAAAATAAATTGAGAAATCCTCTATTGAAGGAAAACATTAGCCCTGCTATTATGGATACTCAATTACAGAAGATGATATGTTATCCGAATGAAATGAATTTAGCTTTCTTTTGAAATTAAAATTCAATATAATATCCTTTCATCATTTCTTCTTAAAAATTTCCTATTATTATAAGTACTCCATTCTGAATATCTATTTTTTTAATAGATATGCTGGGACATATTGTTAGTTTTGTGAAGATATGCTGATGGATAATTTTAAATCTATTTCATAACCTATATGGCAGAGGAAGAAGAAACCAGAATAAATATAAAGATACGGTAAAGAAAGGTGGCTAATTCTGGACCATATGGAATAGAGAAACAGTTCCATATCTCTCTAACTTCAATTGCAACTCAAAACATCCCTTCCGCAACGCTGATATCAGTATTACGATTAGTAATTCATTCCCTGAAATTAATATTTTCATCGCTTCTGTTACATAAATCAGATGGCCCGTAACCAGGTTTGTACTTTAAATTGAATGGATGATTGTGAAAACTTTCGTCTCAACATTAAGTCTTGGATAGCTGCTTCGTACATTTGTTTTCGCATATTTTATTTTTGCTTATATCTTGTTTTAATCTGGAGTAATAGGATAATCTGAAATTGCTTTAATTGATAATAGGATAATTTTAAATATAAGAGATGATGTTTAGACTGGAAAGGGAATTAATCAAAAAGTATTGATATAACATATTCTGTTTGACAAAATATATCGGACTATTTGTCTTTGTCTCTTATTATATAAAAATTTAAATCTCAATTCTATCGATTATCTTTTGTGATTCCCTTCAATTTTTCCTTTTCGCAATCGTTGCTTCAGAAAATCATTTTTCAAATTTGTTAGCTTGAACTGTTAAATAAACGGAGATTTCACATTGAGGCATTTTATGAAGTGTTCATTTCAACGCAGGTTGGGGATATTTTCTTTTTTTAAGAAGTATGGAATGCTTCTCAGAATTACTGGATGCTTTAGAAGAAGAAAAGATGATGATAGTCGGCTGTGAGTCGGACGGTCATCAATCCAGGAGTAAATCTCGCACAAATAAAACTTATTGTAAGCAAGCACGCTATATGAAGTAAGATTATGAAGAAGTCTTGATCAGTTTTCCTGTTTGAAATCAATTAAATAATGGTGTAGGAGAGTAAAGTTATTTTGAAAGTAAGGGAATTGTTCAGAATTCTGCAAATGAAACTTAAAGGATGTTATAATTATTATCAGCACAGAGTTTGATAGTTAATGAAAGGCTATTCATGAATATGAGTTCTATATCTTGACTTATTTTTGGATTTATCTTTCTCTCGAAAATTTTTTACACTGTTTAGCTATCATAATTTAGAGTTATTGAAAGACGGCGACTGAACAGATCTAAGGAAAGGCGTCGACGTCGCAAAAATCAAGCAAAAAGTTTGGCTGTCAAAGAACCGCTTAGCTTCGCTTTGCAAGTATACATCGATTTCGGATTTGCGCAACGTATGAGTGATAAAGAAATCAGTAAACTGGTTCGACAAATGGGTCGTGTTTGGGGTGTCCAAAAGAAGTTCGTTTTTTAGTGTAGATGTCTTAGACAAACAGTTTTGGAAAGGTGCTTTATTAGTTTGAGTAATTCAATTACTGTTTCTCTATCAAAGCTACTGACTAAGACTTGGTGTAGCCATGCAATCAATCCAATCAAAAATAAGCTTACATCTTTATGGCTTATAGCTTATTTCTCTCCATATTAGATTGTATGCTAGTAGATTATAACAGAAAATTGTAATAGAATGTAACAGAAAATTTTTTTTTTACACCTACACCAGCAAACAAAATCATCAACTTAGTGTAAGTCAATTTGTAGTATTTGCATTATATGTAGTGCGTAATGTTTACACCGTATGACAATACATACACACTTATATACATGCGCTATTATACAGTTAGTGATATGAAACAACCATCTAGAATTTAGATCAGAGAAGCCTTTCACTTTTGAATCACGAAACCTTGCTTGTCAAATTTAACTAAATAACTAAATGGAAAGCACCATTCAATGGAAAGAATTGTCGGATAAATAAGTTTTCAGGAATCCTGGTTTGCAGGTTACTCTTCTTTCACCAGATGAACGCTTTTTGTGCGAAGGACGTCAGAAAATATCTGGTTTCGATAATTTCAATTGGAGGATCATTTCTGATAGAAGTATAAATGAAGTAAGATCCACATCATGTTTGAAGTCTATCAAAATTCGATAGTCAAATTACATAAATATTTGGCTGTCAAATTTTAAAATTTAATCACTGGATAAACTTGTATGACGATGATTATTTGGTTTAAACCGAGCTGTTATGTTTTTATCTCAATTTTTTTATTCTTTTTTATTTTTATGTTTTTTACTCCTTTTATTCTTTTATTCTGAACTCAAATATTTCAAAAAGTTTTTAATTCAAAAATAAGAATTAACTTATGGTAATCAGTAAGCATTTCATCGCCATTTAATTCATGTAGAAACTGCTTTTTTCTTTTAGTCATTTATTTACAAAACATGTTACGTTCCTGTTGTTTTGCCTGTAAAATATAAATAAGTTAGAGAAATTATTTTACTGCATTTTCATACAAGCAACAGTGCTTTTTTTCCTTCTAAAAAGTTTTTCAGTTAGTTACGGAGTGCCATATGGTGTATTTGAGTCCAGATTCGCAACTTAACGCCTTACTAGATGTGAAACCTGACGAAGTATATGTTATTGGTGGCCTCGTAGATGAAACGGGAGTTGGATCGTTGTCATATTATAGAGCAGGTGTCTTACCATTATTTGATTTTACAGTTAAATGTTTGGGCATGAATTATTTTGAGTAGCTATGAAGTTTAATTTCTGATAATTCTTGTTCCTTAACCTGCAGTTTCTGGTTCTATAGTTAATGGTTGCTTTATTAGTGTCTCTTTGGTAAATTTTTCCTTGCCAAGTAAATACAACATTACAACTTATCACTTATTCTTTTACTGTAGTAGAAGTGCACTCGAATAAGTCGCTTTTCACAATATTTTGAAATGTATTCTTGTGTTAAGAAGTTGTCTGTTGAAAAGATCCAGCACTGTTTCCGAGATGAATTGACTTTGTATGAGCAGCATTATCGTAATTGAAGGGATAATTATAAAGATATAATTAAGAAAATCTCACTAGATAGTTAAGAGAGTGTAGGGAAATTTAAATTCAAAAAAAAAACTAAGCGAAAGACTTTTGTATGTTGTTTTGCAGAAGAATTAGGTTTGGATGCTCGACGATTACCGATACAAGAATTTCTTCGTCGACGTGATAGTGGAACATTTAACGTGATGCTTACAATTAATCAAGTTGTAGAAATTCTTGTGCGTTACGTATACTCGAAAAGTTGGACTGAGGCACTTTCTGTTGTTCCAAAGCGGTTGGGCTATGAAGTTATAAAACCACCGATTTAGCTTGTTGTTTCCAACTATTGGTTATATTTTACCATCAATTTTAACTAGCACTCTTATAACGATATAAAAGAGCTAAAACACAGACATATTACTGAAATTTTTAAGGGAATTGAAGAAATAGTTGCAGTATTTTGTTTGATAACAAACAGTTTGGGACATTCCAACTGGCTAATTAAATTGTGAGCTTACTAGCTGCTTGGTTAGTCTATAATAAAAGGAAACAAATCTAGAAAGTGCATTGATCTGTTTATCGTTAATTTTCATTTTTGTTCGTGATCTGCTATAATATAATATTAAATTATTTTTCCCATTGTTCGTGTTTTTGTGAAATTAGTCATTAATCCAGCTTTATTAATTCTATTATGGTGTAAGTGGTTCATTATCCATTTAATCAGTTAATTTTTTACTGAAGATTTTTTACTCTGTTTTTTGTTCACGAGAGGAATTTATCCTAAATGAAAATTTCTTTAATGTAGTCTTATGTGTTTAGGAAGAACGTAGTAAAACAATGATGCATAAAATGGATGACAAGGATGATTTTTTTGGCATTCACGACGCCACTGAAACACCCCTTCCGCGTCATATGGAAGCTGCAATAATATTACGGTCAAGGACGGGAAAAAAATATCGTGAAGCTTCGAATAAACGAAGTACTGTTTCAGACCAGAGGTCGGCTTATTTTGGATCAAATTTTGCTCAAAACTTCTTTTCAAATTGATTTAATCCGGATCGAAGTGTCAAATGATCGGAGGTTTAGGTAGCTCGAGTACAACTGTTGATACTTCTTGTACCGACTACATCGATCGCTTTATTTTGGTGATTTTGAGGATATTGGAATTGGTAGACAAAATAGTAAAACTAATGCTGCATTTGATACATCTGGTATCGACTATGTTAACACACTGTATTTCGGTGGTTTGCTAAGCAGTCGGTCTGCACTGGACGAGAGTGAAAGTTATCGTAATTTAGTTAATGTTTAATTGAGGAAACTGACAGGAGTGATCGAAGCTATGTCCAGACGGGGGACCGATAAGCAGTTTTTAGATTAAATGGGGCAGGCATTTTGGACATTAGTGAGACAAAATTTGAAGCAATCTGCAATGAAAGTACAGTCCTAATTAAGTTAATTATATCGTACTTCAGTGCTTCCTTGTTTATATTGCAACTGAAAATAATTTATACTACCGTCTGATCATCGTATTAATTTTTGCAATGGTACTGAGAATATTTTTCAGAGGTTAGATCTTGCAAAGGATTTAATTGCAAGTGCTTCAAAATTGATCTTATAGAAGATTTGATTAGTTTAGAATTGATTGTATGTTGTGCAAGACTTCACTAATTTTCTTGTTTATGAAAGAAATAGCTTTTGATTAAAAAAGTAAATCAGAATGACTATTTCAATTAAGGCCCTGACATCGAAGAAATACGCTTATGTGTGTTTCATCAAAATAGCTGAGAATTGTCTGAATGACTATATCTCCTGAGAATATTTTTAGTAACTTGAAATTCGCCTTAAAATTAATTTGGTATCAGAACCTATAATAGCTTTTCGAAAGTATCAGCTTTTATTAATTTGCATTTTGATATTTTTTTTTGTTCAGGTTAGTTCAGCGACATTCGCTGGATCGATCGTCAAATGACTCTGTGGAAGATTCCAATGAAGGTACTGGATGTGATGGTAATGACAGTGATGTGAATGAGGAGAATATTCGACCACTCGTAAATATTTATTAATAGAACCAGCAAGTTAAACGGTTGATTGCAGTGAGATATTACTAGTGATTTTCGCAGTCCTTATTTGAAAGAAAACTAGTGGTACCTGGTTTTCATCATATTAGCTTCGAAACTATTGAGAAACTGATTTGTGTTGACCAAAATTGAAATTCCAGAGAAATAGTTGACAACTTTAATTTAGTTTTTTGTGGAAAACCAGTTCTTGATTATGTAGCGCCAAATTACACCAAATTAGCCGACGGTTTTTTAATTTTGATTTGTCTTTTTTTTTCATTTGTGAAGAAAGTGTAAGTGAGGGATATCGAGTATGATTTATATAATCTCAGTTGCTTCTGCTAGTGATATCTATAGTTTGCATTCCTACCCAGAAAAACTTCATAGGTTTTGTGTGTATTCTGAGTAATGGAGTCATTGATGTTGCAGGAACTGTTGGATTTAAGAATACACAAAGATATAGGTCTCAAAAAAATATGGGAAGAAATTCAACCGGTATGGAAAATGAATAAGGAAGATTTAATTAATGTAATGGCCAATCGGATTATTTATGAAGACGGTAGGCTTAATATTGTCTATTTATTGCTGCACATAATTATCTATCGAGTTAAAGACATTAACTCTTTTACCCCTTCCAAATATCATGCTGTTTTGCATATTTATTATTTCTGTTTCAAAAAGACATTTTCGACTTGTATCACATGTTTAGAGGAACTTATTGCATTTGATAAGCCGTATCAGATGCATCTAGCAAATGCGCCTAACAATCAAGCTGAATTGTTGCGTATTCTTCCCCAACTTTCTTATCGAATAACACCACATGTAGATTGTTTACGGATCATAAAATCCATTGGAAAATCTGTTACTGGAGTAACTTTGTTTGCAAAGTGAGTTTGCTTTTTTTGTTTTTTATTTTTGGTTTGGGCAAAAATGTTGTTCCTTTTCAGTCTATATAGCACCAAAAAAACTGTTTTCGGATTAAGCACCATTTTATTTTTTTCTATTTAGTTTTAGTTATCCACTTCTTTAATGCTTTCAAAAATAAGAGGAATAAGATGTTTATTAATTTTAAACTTTTAAAAAATTAGGAATAAAAAAGCGTTCCTTTCCAACTGATAAAAATACCGTCAGGGAATTTATTTTTCATGCTAAATCGAGCTGAATTAATTTCGAGAAAAGTTGCTGCTCTGGAAGGTTAATATATTCTTTTCTTTTGTTTACAGAAATCAAAATGCTCAAGAAAAAATAAAAGCCTTGTACGATAATGGATTAATAGAACAGTGTTACCGTGTGATTACAAATATGGCACCTCCACATCACAAAGCTGCTATCAATATTCCGCTTGTCAAGTGTAGGAAGAAAAATAACAATTACATGGTTGATTTTAATCGTTTTTTTTTCACTACTAAAAAAATATAAAACGAAGCATTTACCTATTCAACTAATTGGCGCTTTTATAAATATCGACTCTTCTTATGATAGGTAGAATTGGATGAAGAGAAACTATTTAATATTTGAATGTTTTATGTATTCTTCCGTCTTTGAAGAGTTTTATAAAATGGCCAGGCTTAAAAGTACATTTGCAATACAAAAATTATTTATTGAATTTTATGACTAATTTAGATGTTACCACTGAGTGTAAACAACGACAATAAAGTCACTCCATTCTTGGAAGCAAGTACTTATTATCGTGTTATCAAGCATGACTCCAAAAATCATACCAGCTATATGGAATGTATTGTCAATCGTGGTAATTTTTCCATGTCTAGGCGATTATTGGAATGAAATATAATTTAAATTACGAATATTGAACAACGAAACTAGTTCATGCATGACAGCTTCGTTTCAGGGATGAAACTAAATGTTAAATCGTTGATAATTCAAAAAATCGTGTTAGTTATATGGGTCATTTCAAAATTGTTGTGTTACGCACTATTTTGTTAGGAAATAAGTTTATTTCCTATATGCAATTATTTTCAAGCGTTGTTATATTGATATAAAGAGAGAGGTTTTAGATGTTCCGGAACAAATACGCGCTCATCTTGGTATTGGCATTGCGTGTCCCATTATCGGTGATATCAAATATAATTTTAGTCGTCGAGAAGCAGGAAGAGGGATTCCACCACGTTTATCGGATACTGCGTTACAAGATTTAAATATTGCTGGTAATTCAATTTTTTTTGCGATTTAATATCTGTTTCTATTATACACTTTTTACGATAAAGTTTATGCATTTTAGTGATTTTTCAGAATTTGGGAATTACTTTATAAGCTTTGCGGTGTTTTCGTTATTCACCCACTACACTTAAGAAAAGCTGAGAGCATAGATTCATTCCTATATCTGGTTCACGATTCATATGTTGTTTGAATAAGCTTTTAGGTAAATGGTTGATTAGATTTAAACTGGTAGACTGTAATATATATACCTCATTCTCGTTTCTAAATTTCGTGAATAAGTTATGTTCACTAATTATTTTTTCAGGTAATTCATTCCGTCGACTACCAATGTACATACATTTAAAAGAAGTGATTATTCCATTATCGAAACAAAGCTCGCAAAAAATCCATATCTGTGCTCCGATACCATCTTTTTTTACATATACTTTAAACAAGTTACGGTTGTTAAAAAAATAAAATTTATAAACGATATGTGTTCTATACTTTTATTTGTGACACCTTCTTTTCAAGGATATCCATTCATATTCTGCATGTCTTTTTTGCAATTCAAAGAAATTGGAAAAATCTGAAATTTTTTGACAATAAATTTGAGAAAATGTTAAATCCAGCTGAGTTGTATTTCTGAATTTAGTGAAGATGATGGATCAGTTTTTAGAATTTTGTTATCTTATTGAAACTTATTGGGAAGCAAAATCGATAAGATACTTTATGAAATTAGACTATTTAATAGTTTTTGGCTGTTGCTTTATTCGTAAGGTCGGTAATTTTACCCGCTTTTTGACTGTTGAAAATGCTCTTCACTTGATTCTGTTCTCTAGGTATTTTTACAACTGTAGGCCGGTTTTAGATATGTTCAATGAGGTTTAAAATCGGTGGTACTTTATTACTTAATATACGAATGCCGCAGCAGATCTGCTGTGTTAAATTGAACGATGAATTGCTGGAGAGCAAATCGGTTGTGAGGTGGAAAACGTCGACTTATTTTTTGGCATCGTTACTTTATGCCATTCAGACAGAGTATGTAAAACGAGCCTTATTGGGTTTTCTGAGGAGGAATTGCGGTATTCCAGATGATAGGGTAAACTTCTATTTATTCAATTTAAATGTGAAACATGAGCGGTTAAGATTATTGCACTTCGTTTTCTTCTGCATATCATTTAGTTCTCAATTTTGTTTCTTTTTGAGGTTTTACGGCTGATTTGAGCTGGTTTTTTTCTCAAGATTTTGAATAAACTTTAGGTACTATATCATGATTGATCGCTCATTGACTAGGGTATTATAAGGACCTTTGAACTGTAGAAATTAACTGTAAAAAAGATGAATTGAGGAAATGTAGAAATTAGCCTCACAATTCAGGCTTTATTTGCGAAATAGATTTTTTGTGGTTTGAAATTGTTTTTTTTAAGACTGTATCATTTATGTTTAGAATGTATATTTGGTAATTCACTTCCGCGAACCGTTGATTAGTGAAATTGATTATAAATGGTGAGCATTATTTTCGTTAGTTTTGTCTTTCTTTTTTACAGTGATTTCATGGATAGAGTGGAACTATTAGAAGCCAGTTACTATTATTGATATTATCTGAAAAAAGAAAGAAATGCCCTCAATGCAGAAAAAAATTCATAGTAAGATTAGCACCTAAAAGACATTTAGAAATTTGGTTATAAAAGAAAATAGTTTTTGACACTTCACTATCAACATTTTCAGGAACTATAGGATTTCTGCTATTTATGTTAGAGGTTTGGAGCTGGAGAAATTATTATGGATTTTATCTACTTTTGGTGGTGCTTTGTCAGCTATGGGTGATTATTATAAGCATTTCGTGAGTTAACCGTTTTTTCGAGTTTGCACAACTGTTTTAGTTCTGAAAAATCATCTTTCATCATGGAATATTTTTCATATTCAATTAAAAATGAAGTGTTTAATGTTATAACTTAAAGAATTATTGATTTAGTTCTTGTAGGCTGAAAAAGCAGAGCTTGTTTCCTATAGTCAACTGCAGCTTGCTAATAATATTGGTGATCCAGTTCTGATTTCACGTTGTAAATTATATATCTCAATCAGCTTGATGCAAACGAAAAGATATCGTGCAGCTGCGAAAATTATTCGGTAATTTATTCTTATATATATGGAAGAATTATATAAAGCCTGAACAGTGAAGTAAACGATTAGGCATTTGGAACATCAATAGTGGTCAGTAATGAATGATCATATTGTTCTACTGGTCTTCGTGAATGTGTGAAAAAGATGGTTTTGTTGAACAAAGCGTATTGTTGAAGACATTAATAGGTACCTGTGATTTATAGGCAGTTCAATGAACCATTAAAATAGAACTGAGTCTAGGAGTTTCATAAGGAAGCAGCATGTTGGTGTTACTATTGCCTTAATTACTTTGCACTCATACTAGGGCTGATTTTTCTTCAGTGTATCTCATCTCGGTTGCATCAATGCATATTGAACATCGTTATTTATTATTTTTACATTGGAATTTCGATGGTAATAAGTCTTTGTTTTTATTTCCTCATTGGAAAAGCTTAACTTAAAAAAAATAAAATTCAGCGAAGTGTCTTGGATTTGATGAAACATTTTGTAAAATAGAACGAGATTATTTGCAGCCAACAATATAACGTCGCAAAAGCGTTGAAAAATCAATTTCTATTTCATTGCTGTGAAGGAGTATGGATGAAATTGCGTGGAATGGTAGAAAGCTCTAGACAGATGACCCGAAATACCGGATTACTTTAAATGAGAAATTCAACGAGCATCAGTAAATCAGCATGTGAACAGCCTTCATTCTTAATTCCATGTAATTGATTATTCTGTAATGTTTCTACAAATAAATCTGTTTTATTTGCTTTTTATAAAATTGTACTGAATTATTTAATGCGCTGATCTTATCTGAAATCGTTGTATTTATTTATTCAGCATGAACTTTAGTCTGACTATTTCTTTATTTCCAGATTTTGTTTAGATTTGGGACTTTGTTCATTTTGATGGAAGACCTTATTGCTTTCACAGTTCAGTTTTAAGTAAATGTATGAAATTTATAGGCCTGGTAGAAAGCAATTTTTATCGAAACGAAATAGAAGATATGATAATACTATATATATATTTTTTGAAAAATCAAAGTTGAGGTATTTCATGATTTAGTTATGAGTGAATTTTTGCTCATCATTATTCCCTCACCATTCATAATATTTAAAATTCAATAAAACTGTAGCTTTTATTGAGAGTTTCAATTACAGAGAAAACAATACATGCCTTATTTATCGTATGTCTTATTTATCGTACATTGAAAACGCAGTGCTCCGTATTTTCTTATGCTTAGTCCTTCTTATGGTTCTCTTAGTTCAAAGAATTTCTAGAGCTATGATATAAATTTCAAAGAACTTTTTTCAAAGCAATAACTAACAGTTGGCAGGTTCTAGTTCTTGACTTGATTTCATCATTAGGGATATAAACAGTAAAATAATATAATATAAATGTAATATAAATGTAGATGTAGCAGTAAAAATACAACATAATATAAATGTAGCAGTAAAAATACAACATGTCGTATGATGATACTTTGAAAATTCAAAACATGAACTTTGTTATATTATGAATTGAAGTTAAAAGAGTCTGAAGAAAAAAAATATGCCGCATCCTTTTGATGATGAAGACGTTAAATTGATGTGATTCTCACTGAATTTATTGAAACTTTTTTAAATATGATAATGTTTTATGTGGTCAATCACCCGACAAGTCATTTGCAGAAAAAACCCAAATAATTTTTAGATTACCTAGTGAAATGAGGACGGAACCAATTAAACCCATTTAATAAATAGATAAGATACCATTAAGCTAACCGATAAGTTACTAGTGCACTTCAGGGTTTCCATTGGACTTGCTTGTGTGGAAAAATGAAAGCGAAAAGATATTTGGTTAAGGGAAAAAAATGAAATTGGAAATATTAAAGTTATAAATGAAAACAATATCATGAAGAAGAAGGTACATCGAGTGATGGTTTGCATAAGTGAGGCAGATTTTTCAAAAGAATTGAGTTTCGGAAGTCACCAGATAAATTCTGCAAGATTTATTCCAACAGATGGGTCCACGATTATTTTCACTTCCTTCCCCTAATAGTTTTGTATTTAGTACTGCAAAAAAAAATCCACTTACAAATGTTGCATTTTTCATTTGTCATTAAGATATGTTGGATTATTCATTAGGATTTATTTCTTTCAGGACATTTATCAAATATCATACTATTATGTAAATTGTATACACTTCTATATGAATGGAAGGTTAGATAGATTTCTGGATTAAAATTTACATTTACATTAATATCCTTCTATTGGTAGTATATAATAGAACTAAATAGAGAGTAAGATTCAACGGGTCTTTTGATGATTTTTTTATCATCTTCAAGCAGAATGATTGAATTTTGCAAAAATACATCCATGAAACTTATTTTTATTCTTAGGATTTCATCCTGTGGCCATTTAACCAGCCGACGTATGAATAGGTAAAGATTCCAAGTCGAGAAGTGTAGTACTGATTGCTTCTTAATATAATAATGAGAAATTTTGGAAACTTTATCAACTGCAACTGTCAATTTTTTAAAATTGAAAACTTTGTCAACTTCAACTGCCACTATGATGACGTATCCCATAGTTAAATTAGCGTATTTGAGGATAGACCGGCAGATTTAAACAGTGTATATCGTGAGGTCATATTTCAGTAATATGGCGAATGTCACGCCAAAACTATATTTGCAAATTTTTAACAGCAGACAAACATTATCTGAAATTTTTATAAAAAATAAACTGTGCGGATGAACAAATGGGAATACAGAAAGTGACTGAAAGATTTGGAAGATGTGAGGAAGATGAGACAGATCGAAGAAGAAAAGGTGATAAAGATTCACACGTAAGTATTCTTACTAATTATTGCTTCATGGCACGATCAAGCAATGTTTGAGTTCCCACTTTGTTATAACTCTAGTTTTCCGTGAGTCAATTAGCGATGACCTCTCACAAATTAAAATTAATGCTCTTTTAATTTTGCTACTTATTTTTGAGAGAAACAAATAAGGAATTACTTATCTAATACGTATGGTAAGGATTATTTTATTGATAAGGTGAACGAATCAATAGCTTCAGGGTAGTCCTGGATTAAAAGATAATTTCGGTGCCAAACAAAACAGGCAAATATGGTTTTCCAAGTTTTCCAAGTGGAAGGATTGCTAGGATTTGTTGGTCATGATGATATTTCTGGATGAAAGAGTAACTGAGACCCATGAATTTAGGGAAAATTGGGTGAGAATATCTGATACTTATATTTTTGTGCAAATAAAATAATATAAAATTGTTTATTTTTAATTACAAAAATACATGGGAGATGAAGGAAAAGTTTGAGCCACATATAATGATTTCGAGTGGTACTTATTTCAGATACTTCGCTTTAAAATAAAATAAAAAAATGGTCTGTTACGATAACAAGTTTTGGATTCAAATAAATTTAAAGATTGCTTGGATTCAGGTGAGAAAGGAAAACCAAAATTGAATAGTGTACTAAGACAATAGGGTAGATTATCGAGATTATAAGGTATAACAATGTAATTTTCAAACAGTGGAGACAACAGTGGAAGTGGAAAGAACTTTTTTTACATTAGTATCGAAGGTGAGAAACTCTAACTGAAAGTGACAGAGACAATCAGGTTCAAAGGAATTATATTGAAATAAACTTATGGTAGAGTTTTGTTGTTAATTTTAATTATTTTACATATAGGGAAAAATGTAGGTTGAATAAGTAGGGATTAATTAAGCGAAAAATTTTTATGAGTAATGTGACGAAGTGAAGAAAAATAAATAAATATATCTTCGAGTGTTTGTTAACGATTGATTAAATGATTAATACATATCATCAAATCGATTTGGAATTCCATTTGGAAATTTTCTCTTTTTTTGAAAGTTTTTTTTTTCGAGAATTTTTTCTATAACTTTTTGAAAATTGAAATTATAAAAACTTTAGGGATAAGATGAATAATGTTAGGAAAATATTTAAAGAATAGAAACTAATAAATCAATCTTTCAAACAGGTGTTTGCTTACTGTCTCTGTTCTTATACATTTTATTTTTTCTCATTTATCCAAGCAGTGAAGGATTTCGTATTTCTAATAGACTTTGTAGTATTTCTTTTTTCAAAGTTTGCTCCAATACTTTTTGTCAGGTTTCTCACACACACTTGTTTTCCATTCAAATGTGTAATAATGAAGACGTGGAAATTAATAATAGAAGTTTCTACCTTTAAAGATACAGTATTTACTTTATGATTTAAGTAATGATTTGTAGGGATGTGAAATTAGAAGTAGAAATTTCAGTTATCAGAAGGATTTCTACAAAAAATCTATCATCAATTTATAAGATGGAATTTGAATGTTAGGAGAGAAAATCAATTAATTAAGCGCTTTTCGAAAATTACGCAAGTATCATACAATGTTTTACCAGCTTAGTGCAAAAATTTCTTACCCATATTATAAAGAGAGATATTTTTGAAGTCTTTTGAAAGATGGAATGTATAACAAATTGAAATGAAAAGCCAATAGATCGGTGATATAGGCAAGTGCATATTAAGTAAAGCGTATTCGATAACTTAATTTATGTACAGATAGAATATTTCATAACGTTAATGCTTATTGTCAATATAAACACAAGTCAAATATTATTTTGGTATTTAAGAAGAAATGAATTCGAAAATATTCTTTGTAATTTATGGAGTCGTGTATTTGGCGCAAGAAGTGACAATGGAGTTAGATACGTCCATGGAATACAATAATATAGTTAGACAGGTCAACATGCAAAATGATATCATCAATAATCTACAAAGAGTATGTAGTTTTAGTGATTATTATTATTATTTATTATTATTACTTATTATTATTTATTATTTTATTAATAATAGCAGTAATAACAAGAATGATGGCATTCGTAATGATAATAGTAGTGATAGTAGAGACTTTCGAGAGAGAGCAAAATATTTTTGCTAGAGGTTGGAAAATATTGCAAATACATTAGACCAGATAAAATATCATTCTTCGGAAAAATGGATACTATGAATTAATCTTTATCTTATGGTTATTTGCCTTTTATTCTTAATTTTTACAAACTATTAAAATGAAATTTTTTGCAGCGTTTGGATAAATTGTTGGAAGAGCAAAATATGAAGGATGAAATAGTATTTCGCAATAAAAATCAAGGTAGAGATAGAAGTATAGATATTGATATATCATAGCCGAAATTTTGATAACTTTGAAATGCATTATCATGTAGTTTAGTGAAAAATAAATGATTGATAGTTTTTGAGTGAATAATACAAGCCAAGTGATTCAGAACAATATTTACAACATATACATTTTTTTAAAAGGAAAAGCCAATTGCAAATGCAAACCGGGACCAAGAGGAGTGCCAGGACCTGTTGGGCCACAAGGTGAACCTGGACCACAAGGACCACCAGGAGCATCAGGTACTAGAAAGAATTTTCTTTCAACGTAAACAACTCCTGTGTACTCTTTGGTGCTTTCTCATATCTCGTGTGCATATCACAGTGTTTCGTAGTTTCCATCTTATTGCAATACGGCAGCTCAAACTTATCAAATATATATATTCTTGTATGCAAATTTTGAGCAATAACCGGTTTATAGCGACATTGGGCGATGATGACACATGCTTCGTAATAGTGGGAAAATGTCCAGCAGGACTCGCATCGAATACTGATTACGAAAAAATGTTACAACCGCTATCAATGATGCCGCTTCATGTGTGCTGCAAAAGCGTGATATGATCTGATTTGTCTTGTCGTGCAATAAGAATACGTGTCGAGATGAACTATTTAATTTGGAAATTAGTAAATATGATTAAAAATTTAGAAGTTTCATATTTATAATTGTCATTAAGGCTACAAGTCAATTGTTTCAATCTCGTAAATGACTTCTCTCACTTTGTCTTTTCTTACGAACACAAATGGTAACTGGAATATGAGAGGCCAATTAGAACCTGATTGTTCCATTGATTCAAGTTAACTCATAAATGTTGTCATTGAATGGTAATTATCGAATGGATTAGGCGGAACTATTAACTGTTTGAAATTTGATGTTTTAGTTTGGTTCTTTGCGCTAAATTATTAGAAGATACAGAGCTTAGTTTTCTGTATCTTCTAATGGGAGTAGACAACGCTCTTTATCTTCAACTTTAATTTCTACCACCAACAAATTATTGAATCAGTAAGACAGAGTAGGTTTAAGGGAAGTAGAGGACAAGAAGCCAGAGATATTTGCACGAATCAAATGCATAAAAAATTTCCATAACAACAATTTTCTTTTCTCTCAAATGGATTTTCTAGGCTGTCTTTCCACTGACCCAAATTTCTATTGCGCAACTTGCAGAAGCCAAGTAATCCTACAGGCGATCCATGTCCTCTCAAGACATTCCCATAACAAATCAGCTTTTAGTCTTACTCACACAGCCGCTGTGTATCGATACATCTCTGCGATTTATGTGCATGTCTGCGCATATCTTCGCATCTATCTGTCCGCATGTATGCATTATGATGTCGTTAGTTGTTCAATAAGTAGTGCATTTCATTTTGTGCACTATAGCTGATTGGTTGGAAGTGGCGCAGGGTTCCACCTTCCTCAGGCTTTAAATTGGCGCAAAAAAAAAGCCTGAGCTGGCATATTGATGTGAATTCGGAGATTCGCTGATTCGTTGTCATTAGTGTTGCTGTATTGTCCTGAATTAGTATATCGCAGGAAGAGGAGAGGGCGGGGAAGAATCCACTCGTATCACCAAGGCCAAAATGTCACTCACCTATGTTATCACCCAGTGATGACCGATTCTTCTTCCTTCATGGGATCTGTATAAAAGAAAGTAATTTATTTTATAGCGAGATTTCAGTCGAGGACAATAGCATATATGACGTTCTGGGATATTTCACATGAGATACAGAATAGTAAAATTGGAGAAAAAATATAGAAATGGTGACCATTGTCTTATGAATTTTTTTTGTGAGCTTTTTATGAATTACATGTTTTGTATCTGTTTTTCAGGCCAATCATCCTTTTTCAGGCTTTGTTTTTGAAAGGATAGGTGAAAAGAGAAGTAAGAAGGCTTCCATGGGGCTAACTTGAAATGCATTCCGATGATTTGCATGAGAAGTTGCAGAATATCGAATGTGAGGAAGACTTGCCGAATGCAGTTATCGTTACCAATGTACCAGTTGAGGTTTCTCTTTTTTTTCGTTATCCAAAAGTTTGATGCTTGAAAGTATTCTCACTTCTTGAATCTTTTTTCTATTAGAATAATTCATTACAACATTGGTGGACATATTCGAGAGATCATCGGGAAAATGGATAATGGACTAACAAAATGTTAGCTAAGGCAAGTTTCTAGAATTAATTACACAATAATGAGGACTATTTAAGCTGGAAGTTTAGCAGTTTCTATCGTCTGATTGTGTTTGTTTGATGTTCTTGCCTTTATATGAGAAATGCTGCGCATTTTAGTGACGAGATGTCCCGCTATTTTTGTGAATTAGGACAACTTCTCATATACACATCAATTGTCTGCTGTTTCATTTTTTTCTTCATGGAAGTCAACAAAATATTTTTTTTAGTGGTGTTTCTGCTGATTTCCTTTCTCTCTCATCATGGTAATTCACTTTTCCAGGTATTTTCGGTCGACCAACAGAAGGCTAATTTCTCGGACTTGTTCACTCAAATCGAATCCGGTTGTCACTTCAATTTTCTGCGAAGTTTTCGACGAGTTCGAATTACTTTCGAAAAACCAGAAAGTGCGACTGCTGCAAAACTACTCACGCAACATTTATCGTTCAACGGAACTATTTTAAAATCGTTTTTCGCTCAGGTACTAATTTCATTTGATGAATTCATAAACCATTGGATGATGCATTTCATAGGATAAATTTCATAGGACAACACGGTGGTTTACTAAAATGATGTTAGTATCGAAATCTTGTGGTTAATTATACTACTGACTCTTTGTCTTCTTGGTCCTAACTTACTACGGCATGGAAATGCCTTTTTAACCCACCTTAAATATGGAAAATATGAGTGATACTACATGACCATTGCTGCTTCTATATTTCGATGAGACAAATGTTCAGATAGCTTTTGTTGAAGATTTAATTGCTTTTTTCAGACTCTGTAATGAGGCATTTAATATGTTTTATATTACAGCCTGCGTAACCAAGGTTCCATATTAGTTACACTAGTTTAGCAAATGTTTTGATACACTCCGTGAATTTATTTGAAAATCTTTGCTGTCTTCCTCACTGTTTCAGTTTTGTAGAGAATTCGATTGCGGGATGCATCTGATGACGGGTTATTAAAATTACCACCGCTGGAGAAACAATTCTTAATCTCACCACCAGCTTCACCACCAGTTGGTTGGGAACAAAGTCACGAAATGGCCCCGGTTGTATGCAATTTTGACTTAATGGCAAAACTTGCTGCACTTACTGTCAATGATACCTTCGAGGCTTGTTTTTTCCTTTCCTTGTTGGTTTTATTTTAACAGATTCATTTTCAATTATCAACTGGTTGGCAACTGAAGTATTTGGTGTTGTGGTACCATGTAAACGTGCAGGAATTAATAATATATTTTTAGGTATATGAAGGTGACGAAGATAAACCAAAAATTGTAATACATCCAGCAAACGAGGAAGGGAATGTTATGCCCGCCCAGTCACTGATGCCTAAGACCCCACGACCACCTAACACACCTCGATCTGTACGGGAAAAACATACCTGAATCGATTCCACTGTTGCCCTGCAATGTTATTCTCAATATATTTATTGTAAATTTACTGTTTACATTTATTATATGATAATAGACTAACGATAAATGCAAATATTTAATCATTATATATTATTATTAATTTGCGGATGCTTCTAAAATGTTTTCACTTTCGCATTCTTTGTTGGAAAGAACATCTAAGGTTTAATACTTTTAGTATGTGTTTAATGGATGCTGAATTCATAAAATTCTTGTTTCCAAAATTATTGAAAGGAACCCTGTTTCAAAACCATCCAGAAATTAGCTCGGTCCTGAGAAACATTCAAAACTATCTGATCGTCAACAGTAATGTAGCTCTATGCGCTAAACAGAACTTTCAACCCATGCTTTTCGCATTTTAAGAGTGAAATTACTGGATTTAATTTTCCTATTGATAATTTGGACATACTGGCTTGATCGAATTTCCTGAGCAGGGCTTCAATCTCCCATCCATTATTCATTCTTGTAAGGCGCGCAAATATATTTGAGAAGTTTTTTTGCGCAAGGAAACACACAAACCAATTTATAATGAAAGTAGCGGTTGCATACAAATGCGATCGATATTGAAGCACTCCTTACCTTCTAAGTAGCACCTAAGATATTTTGGTTGTTCCGGCAGATTTTATCTTATCCATTGAATTACTGATGATGCTATCCAGTGTTCTGATTAAGTTACTGCCGAAATAATAATAGCAGAAATAGGTTGAAGAACAACAAAAATTTACCTTGTCTACTAGAGTTTTTTTAGTTTGTACGGGAAATCAGCAATATTTTTTGCATTTATTACAGAGCCGTGACGTTGCTGGCATTACTGAAGGATAGAAAAACGTGACATTTTTTTACTATACTTTTGCACGCAGTATAAAAATTAAATAGAGAGATGAGGAATGTTTATGTATCATAAATAAAACACTTCCAATACGAATAAAAAATTCAGATGGAATCGATAGAACGAAACTTGAAGTGTTTTCTATCATGAACGTAAACGTTGAATGAAATTTTTAACAATTAATTCCCAGCTTGAACGATTCTTACTATAAAGATTAAGATAAATAGCTATTAATATCAATAGGCCACCCCATAAGTACTGGCTAACAAACGGTTTTGAAAAGAACAAAAATGATAGGATGATCGTAACTGCTTTCCGAATAGTCGTTACGGTAACCGCAGTAAGCGCTCCTTGGGTACGTACTAGGCTCAGTACTGCATTAAGACCAAGGTAACCAGATATGGAAAATATTATGCTGTAACCATATGTCTGCAATGGATGCTGAAAAATTCAATATTAACACTTGGTAATTAAGAAGTCTTTCAAAATGTAATAAAAAGAAAGACAAAAAAAATAGAAAATACACGAGCGATCATTACATCTGTCCGATTTTTTAAAATAAAATTTAGCCTTATATCAATTTCACTTCAAAAAATATATTGGTCTAAATTTTCATCCGTACATACATGTTCATCTCATCCAAATTGCCACACATGTACGTCAAGAATTGCCAATAATAATTTATTTAACTATATACTATCATTTCATAATACAATACGTACGTCACATGTTGTAACAGATGCACCAATTACCGGACGAACTGATTTTTTATTATCAGCATTTCCAAAAATCAAGTTAGGGCTTATTTTTCAATTAAGTCTTATTTTGAGAAAGTACGGTATCAGTATCAATCTATTTACACTATCACACGAAATACTATGCAAGCTTCTAACTTTTTAAATTTTTTTCTTGGAAACCAATCGATAAGTACATTCCTCAGCATTAACATATTATTTTATTCATTCAAAATCCTGCAATATTTTTTGTAATGATGTACTAATTGCTATCTTTTGTCCAATTTTCACGCTCCATGCATAACGCCTTCATTTGAAGTTTGGAATAAGATGAAACATGCAGAAATAAGTAACCTTAGAGAAAAAGTAGAATCCGTCCAAAAAATTGCCGTAAATCATTAATCCTAGCAATATATATATAAATCCAATGGAATATGAATACAGAATCTAAAAAGTCAGCCTTGCTCTTTTAAAATTCTTTTTCGGAGAAATCATCTTTAATAAAAATTAAACTTTATATTTTGGAAGATATCTTAGTCAATATGGATCACTACAGATTCTTTATATCGTCTTCGCGATTCAAATTTTCGGAATTTTAATTTCTGCAACTCCTGTGCAGGAATTACAATTCATTTTCTTTACATATACATGTGCTAAGTTAAACACACCTAATTTGTGGGCAATACTAAATTGTCAACAAAGATAAAGACTAACAATTTCATTTATGGTAGCTTTATAAGTGTGCAGTGATTTCTCCTGAATGTTGCCAATTACAGCATCAAAAAGTAAAGCAATTGAAATCATCGCATATCCAAAAGAATTAAACATTGGAGATATCATGGTATCACCTAAGATAAAAATAATAAGACCGAAACTCATCATACATGCTGCTGCAAAATCGATGCATGAATACTGCTTCCCTGAAATCTATATATATAATATATATATATATATATTTGAGATTATCAAATTTCGCTGTTCTATAAGTTATGTTACATTAACATTTTCATACATGTTACCTAACAAAATCAGATCAACTAGAAATTTCAATTCAAAAGCTTTTACCCTGAATAATAATTCCACCGATTAAAACAGGTACCAATTTGCAACATTTGAAAATTACTTGGGTCGGATAGTTCAAGTAACCCACAGCGACATTCGAAAAACCTATCGTACCCACCGTAAGTGTTGCTATTTGTAAATGAATGTATACTGGAATTCTTCTATAACAGTGATATTCTAATTAACAATAATCACTTTTATGTTTTTTTTTTTTTAATATTTACATCGTAATACAACTTATTATGTTAGATAGTTATTTTCCCTGGAGATAATGTAACGTAAAAATATCAGAGGTTATTCAATGTTTAATAAAAAGGTTACATATAACTTCAAATGGACAAAAAGAAAAAAGAACTTAAACTTCGAAGCAGTACATCATTTTCAACATGTGTTAATTTTGAAAAATAAGCCTTTTACTAGACTGGAAATTCACTCCATCAATTAGTTCCAGTCATTTATTTTTATGTCCGGTAAAAATGAAAACAAAAGAATTAGTCGAAATAAATGATCATCATTTCAACTAAGACTGGTAGGTGACTATATTTTCCTCTGATTCCACTATATAAAACTTAAAGACTACCAAAAAATTTTTGAAATGAACTGGGACAATTTTTCAAGAAATTTTTGAAATGAACTGAGATAATTTTGATAACAAAAACATTAATATTAGCCAGTTATGTCTTGCATATCAAAAAGTATTTTGTGCAACATAAAACAATCACAAATAACGTCTTAGTTGGGAAGTTATTACGTAGGATGAAGACAATCATTGGAATAACTTCTCTACAAGATGGCCGGTACAATCCCTTCAAATTTGGGTAATTGAACCGGTCACCGGTAGTATTCATGATATCGAGAATTTGCCCACTAACACGATGTTCATACTGTTCACAATCCATTCAAAACTGCGCTTTTTTGAAAAATTCCGATATTCTTCACACACATCGGTTTTGAACCAACATCACGGGACTAGTCCACAGCGTCTTGTATTTCACAATCAGATATCGGTTTCTCACTACCATGTCTATCTGCAACTAAGCCTCCACCTTGTCAACCCATTTTCGTTAACAGCTACGCGCCTTTGTTCGTGGAATTTAGTTGTGATGGAGATCCAAATTGCAGAATGAATTTTAAATTGCTAATTTGTTTCGGATTTCTAAATGACGGCTGTGTATCAGAAGAAGCACTTCCGAACGCTCCGTCGTTTTAACGAATTTGATCAAGATCTGCTACGATGATGCGTTGAAATTGAACGTGACAAGAATCAAAGCCTAGATCGAGAACTAAAACTCCCGCTTGGCTTGAATGACTATTTTTTGATGATCTCCTTTTTGATCTGTCACTTAAATGAAAGCTCGATTGACTGGGAGATGAATCAGATGAATCGATGATGGCTCCTTGATAAAGAACATCTATAATTCTGTTTTTCATCTTTTTCCCTTATCATTTTCCTCAATATAGACATTTTCAATTGTCTTCCAATGTTTTTCCTTCTGTTTTCAACTGTTCCTCCACTTTTTTCTTTATTTCATTTTCTTCTCATAATATTCGAATAAACCGTGGCCATCTGGATCTCCTTGATTCTTCAAACTTTGAGACAATAACTCATTCTTTTCTATTTTCGATTATTCATTTCTGACCACCAAAAATGCTGTACTGATACTGTTAACTGATCCATTTCAAAGAAAAATTGTAATAAAATTTTCAAATAACTTTGACTATTACTCCGTTCATTCTCTTTTTCTCTCCTGCTTTTTGTCTCAGTTCTCTCTTTTTTTATTTGAAAAAAATGCTTAAATATCAAAAAAATGGATTTCCTAAGCATAATCCCCTTTAGATTTATATATAATAAGTTCACCAGAAATGATCACCAAAAAGGATACAAATGTGGGAAATATCATAGCTTACCGTCGACTTATCATAGTGCAATAAAAACTTTCCATTAACGCCGTTATGGAATAAATCAAAAATTGGATCAATGTTAAATGCCATCCATATGATTCCATACCATCCACTTTAAATATTAATTCCTGAAAAAACGATAAATTATGAATAACTGAAAGATTTTTTCGTTAGGTCAGGAATACAACTTTCAGGAGGAATTTAGATTCAAGAATAAAGAAATATTAAGAGTAAGATTTGAATGAGAAACCTGAATGAAACCATAAGTTATATAAAAAACGAATACTGCACAACAGAGTACAATAAATTGCAATCTTCTAGATCTGAAATAAACACACAGATACTTTTTTCTACTCATAGAATAACAGGAAAATAAAAAAATAGAAAGATGAGTTATTCTTTTCTTTCATTTAAATTGGCAACCTGAATGTGATGTTAATTCCTGACAGTCTAACTTCTATATCCTGCACCGCTGATTCTTGCTGAGGAATATCTTTGATATTGAAAGGTAGCAATTGTCGTGTTGTTACAGAAAACATCGAGGAATGTATCCGAAAAAGCTTACTCGCTATAATTTAGCATGAAAAAACTGTAGTGCAAAATTAAAATTTAGGAATGAAAATTCCTAGAAGGAAATAACATTTAAATACAAGTTTTATAAAAATTTTATAAATTATGAGTTATTCTTCTATCTCGTATTCTCTTCTTGTATTCCTCCGTCTTTTGCTATCATTCTTCTACGAGTATTCCATAAATCAATTCAATTAATTTATCGGACACCGTTTCAATTCGAAATGATTCCGATAGATGCCATACTTAAAGTTTTTATCACATTTTACAAAATGAAAAGGGATAGATGCGGAAAGCGTAATATGCTAAGTTTTACTGAAGTTTGGTGGAAATAGGCATGCCTTTTATTAAGACCAAATTTTTCTTTAAATTCGAAATTCAACATCATTAATCACAGCAAAAGTCAAAACCGGTTTTGTTAACCACTGGGAAGATTAGGATGATTACAAGAAAAATTCTGGACTATTTACTTATCATTGGTACAAAATGAGAAAATATCTAAATATAATCAAGATAAGTTATAACAAAGACCAAGGATAATAGTCGCATTAAAGTATTACTTTACAAAAGATAAAAAGGATCAAAACATATCCAATATGTGAATCTTCCTTTAACAAATTTAACAAATTTAAAATGAGTACAAAAAAAGGCTAAAAGAACAAGCGATTGTCTTTCCATTTAACAGAAGAGCGCAGGCAACAATGTTCTCAACTAAAAATTCTACCTTTGTTTTCAAATGCTCTATTTGTTTCTGTTCTCATTCACAACGATATACGAATCTGTCATTTTAGTAAATTCAACAGACCGTGGGAAAAACTGCTCTATTGTGCAAAAATTCATACACTATTAATTGTAAGTATCCATTTATACACTTACATCATTCATAATAAAATGATAAAAAACAAATAATAATGAGCACCGGCTTAGCAACATCATTCTTTCATCACTCTATCTTTGGTCCGTAAATTGAGTACCACAGTAGTTACTGAAGGCAACTGAAGTAATACTTTAATAAGTAGATTTTTCTGGAAGAGATGGCAAAGAAGTGATACTTCTAACACTTGCCATGTTGTAAGCAGAAAGTTAATATATTGAAAATATATCAGTTGTGGTTAGATATCACGATTAATATAACGATTACAATGATTAATAACAGAATAGCAATGGCAATAATTACAATTATAGCAGTGATAGTTGTACTACAGTATGTAAGTGCTCATATTTTCAAAAGCGGATTATGAAAGATAAGCTTGTCGCAACTATTCAGTTCTCGACGAAAGCTAAGCTGGTAGGAACGGTTTACAATTTTGCTCAACTAACTAGTACACGTATACTGGCTTACGATGCTAAAGAGTGAATTTACGATATGCATACTTTTGATGAAATCGTCTACTTGGAAGTACAAGTACAATTATCAATCTTAATTTGTTTCTTCCATTGTATGATTATATTGATTATAAAATTCCATTATATTGATTATGAAATTATCTCTTTATCACTTATCGGATGTTGGTAATTTTCATAAAAAGCCGACTTCATCAAATTTTTTGACTTCAGTTGCTTTCTGTATGCAAAGCAGCACTTCATAAAATGAGAGTAAATAATATTATTTTACAACATTTTCCTGTTTTTAAGTCAAAACAGCAGGAAAATGTTGTTTTAAAAAAATAAAGCAAAAGTGAAGATCTTTTGCAAATCCAAATGAATAATGTCCGATCAGAGAAGTTGCCGAGTTGTACTATACGCACAGCTAGCTTTAATCATTTGTTCGGAGATTCCGCCATGCCATATACCACCAATAATTTTGCAATGCTGTCTTTGTACTGCCAGAAATGACAGCTGTCGCAAAGTTGCTGGTTCAAGGGGAATGAAAGCTATGCCGGTGGAACATATGAATGCGAATTGTGTTCTCGAACAAGCCTATAGAAATTTTGTTTTCATTAATTCTAACCATTACAGGATAAATTTGATCAATTTGCAAAGATCTGAACTTGAAGACAGGATCATGCAAGCCTATATCCCAATATTAATTGTTGTGCGTCTGCATCAAATACAGTTATATTCATATTTCAGTGGAGTATGATGCTCATTATAAGTCTGTGCAGTCATTTCCTTGTACCAACAACGATATGTAGAGTATTCATTTAGCAAAAAAGCTAAAGTATTAGATTACAAACAGCGATACCCCATAGAATCGTAACTGAATGTGCATCGGAAGACGATATTTACCAGCTGGTATTACACGATAAACTTTTTGTTCATCGTCAAATATGATATGATAGAAAGCATGATACGCATTACGGAAAATCTGAAAAATGATGAAAAAATTTTTTCCTAAAAAAATTCAAACGATAATAAGTGAAAGTATAAAAGACGCGAAGTAAAGTGAAGGATTTTTTACCCATCACTTTCAGATATAAAATATATGACACCTCACATTGCTAAATGGTGCTTAACATTGCATTGCTAACTTTCCCTTTCAACTTTGCACATCGCCTATTCCGTGTTTCACTGGCGTAAACTCCGATCCAAATTTCCTAGCATATCATAAATTACTCACAAAATATAAAACTAAAATAACCCAGAATAAAAGAAATAACAAAAGGCACCTTTGCAATGCAGATACCTTCACTGACGTAAAAGGTAAGCGGTGATTCGACAGCTCCCATTCGGTGAACTACTCGTCCGTATGTTTCACTGATACCCCTAACTCGCAGCACATTCAACTGTACGGGACATTTTTTTGATTAAAAAGTTTAACAAAGGAATTCATTTCGATGGGTAGTTTAAATAATTAGTGATAGTTCCTAGAATAATAAATTACAAGTGCTATTCAGAATCTATACAAATCAATATTCGGTATCAGACTACACGTAAGTTTTGCAATTTATTATATTTTTCTTTAAATGTATGTAAAACCAAAAAAAAACTAACATCAGTAGGCGTATCTAATGATGGTGGATAAGCGCTCCAGCAATTATTTTCTCCATCATAAACAACGATATTGTGATTATCTTGCAGTTTAAATACTCTCCTTTTATCACCATCTAAAACAATCGGGAAACGGCTACACCTATCCTCATTTTCATCCGCAGCAATTGTTTCACTTATGATTACAAATGTCATACTGTCCTGAAACAGAAAACCTTCAAAAGTAACATTTTCTAATAAAGTTAAAATCTTTGAAATTCAAAAAACCTCAAGAAGTGCTATTTTCCAAAAAGGAATTGGTCCCATCACAACGCTTCTCTCATACATATAAAGCTGATGTTTTCCACAGCCAAGTACAATATTTTCTAAAAAAACTTTATTCTCAAATTCGTCTCCAGATACTTCATCCAAGTTAAACATATCACATGCACCGCTATTCATGTATATTCGTAACATCGATATTCGCGGTACATCACAGTCCTGCAAATAACCATCACCTGAAATCACATATGACAAACTCTATTCTTTTCTTCCAGTCACTAAGTGCATATATGAATTAAACTATTAAATTACTAAGACAACTACTGTGGTGTATATGACAGTCATGTTTAAAAACCGACCATTAACTTATTTTAAAACAATACATAATCTTTTTAGAATCTTTGCAATTCTTGTTGACATAATATATTTTGCACTTCTTAAGTTCATTTATTCAATTCTAATTACTTCTCAGTCGATTAACTAAAACGGATTCGAATCTTTCGAGAACGAACTTTTCTCGATATTCAATCTCTCTTCACAGCTGAGAGATTGAGTATCGAGGTAAGTTCCAAAGACTTACGAATAGTGCGACAACAAGAGCGTAGATGTATGGCTCATCGGGTGATACGGTGTAAAAAGAGTAGAAAAGCTGAATAAGCGGAAAATCAAATAACTTTGACCAAGAATTAGGTATAAACGAATTTATGGACCATATCTGGATGCGATCAGTACAACATGGCGAAATGTACAGTTGATGGCCCCAGAAACCGATTTTCATGAGCCGGTAATTGCGTAACTCAGGAACGATCTCGAAAACGCGCATTTTTATAACTGTAAACCCTGCAGTATCGATTAAAAATACCATCAGAGCTGATTCAGTTAAAATGGGACATTGGCTTTAAACAAAGTTTAAAAATTCATCAGAATATCATTAAATCTCCGTTACTTATGCAGGATATGGAAATAAATGAAAAGAACGCATACACGACGAAAACGGTACGAAGGATGATTGTCGAGCAAGTAAAAGCAATTAAAAAAAAGAAACTGTAATAAGTGATAAGAGGGATAATCCTCTTTTAAAATCTGCCAAGTTCTTTTCATCCAATCAGAACAGCTGTGCAAATGTTGAAGCAGTGAGAAAAAGAAATAAGAAACCTGATGGTGTAGAAGATCACGTCTTGTAGTCGAAATGCAAAGACGAAGTCTGATGAACAAACCAACAATTTTCCAGCTTATTTACCATTTTGCTATATCCACAAGAACAACATGAGACAGTCTAATCTAAACAAACTATCCAATCAGATAAATGTCGTTCCAACCGATCGATTAATATCTTATTATTTCACTATATAACCAATTATTAATAGTAAATTATAGTGCTAAAGAAAATAGTTGTGCATTATTTTGAAGTGTAATGGACTAGGCGGAGTCAGTTCAATGCATAGTTTCACGCCTTGCAATTAAAATTGAAGTTTGAATAGTTAGTGCTTATCACAATCCTGCATGTATGCAAAGTTATCAAATCCTTTGCATCGTTTAGTGCCGCCGTTCATTTGACCTTTAGTGCTGTCTTATTTGAATGAAACTATACATTGAACTATCAACTGAACAGGAACTGATAGATAGAGCAACGGATCGCTATGCTGAAACTCCTGGATGTCGGATGGGTATCACAGGCCTTCAGGAATGCCTAACAAATTGAAGCTAAGAAACACTTACTACGGAATTGCATTAATTAAAAGTTATCCCTCTATTCCCTTTCGCTTCTTCTTCACTTTCATTTCTTTTGTATTTATACGTTTCATATACTACGCATTGAAGCACTTAATTATGCACTATTCAAGGTTAACTATATTACTTATGCAAGAAGAACGCAAAGAAGAGATGTACATTTACATATATAGTTAGGCCTACTGCATCTTCATGGATGTGGAGTACTACCACAACAATACCGCTGCTACCAAGTCTTTGATTAAATCCTTGTCAATCTGTCTTTTCATTTCGCACCTGAATAGCGAAATTTTTCAACTGCCACGGTTTATCACGAAACTTGGCAAAAAGATGTATCGTAAGCCTCATTTAGAATTTCATAGTTAAGATTCAATTATTCAAGTCAAATAAAAGCTGATATTTTGGACAACCGAAAGAATCTCAAAGTATAACAAAAATCAGTTTCACCAAAAATTTAAGTCGTGTAATCGAATAATGCTTTTTTTGCTTATTATTCAAGTAATCAACATGCATTAACAGAAATACTTCTTGCACAAATGCATGATACAAAAAACTTTGAAACCAGACTCGACTCAAGTTGTTCGAGGCATGAATAGTCTCAAATAATTGGAGTTAGCGACGAAATGCCAAGGACATTAATGAAACTAATAGTAATTTTGAATTATGTACATTAAAGCACAATTAAACTAATCATGTGGCACAAAACGATGAAACAAACAGTTCCAGAATAGTAAAGGAATTCCCTGCGTCTTTTCGATTAAATACAATTGAAGTTCAAGTTCACTTCCTTAAAATCAATTATTTCCTTTTTCATATAAATTAAAAATAAAGTTCGAGAATTTTTTTTCGGCTTCCAACTTGAAAAAAAACTCAACCGCATTTTGTCTACACATAATTCGTTACGCATTCATTCCTATTGATTCCTCACTTTTCCAGCGTGCTTCGGAAGGAACAGAATTTTCTAAAACTCCACAAATAAAACTAATTGGTCCATTATCTCAAAGATAAATATTATCCACATAATCATGAATTAAGCATGCATATGTTTCAATTATCAGGCAGAATTCGAAACGACATGATCATTCGAAAACGACTACTGTTTCAGTTCAATAACACATTCAGACGAGCCGCATCTTTTTCGCTGTAAATCATTATATATATTATATTGTACACGACAATTTCTTAGTTAAATGAAATTCACTTTATGTGCATATTCAAAAGTAGACTTTAATGTTCAAAGCTGGGATAAAATACTCAGACAATAAGATTAGAAATTAAACGGTAAAGAAACGAACAAACCGTTTGCTGGATTTCACGCGCAACTTTGAGTGGCGCATATTATTTGAAAACATATGCACCATTTCATCCTGATACGAGGCGAACAAATTCAACATATGAAAATTTGGCGGCTATAACAATTATATAATTGTAAAGTAACTGCTTATGTTTGATATAGATTAAATTCAAAAAATTCAAAAAATCTGAATACTAGCCAGTTAATTGTTAGTTTATCTTTAAAATGTGTAGTTCAAGAAGATATTGAAGTTTCCTTTTCAATCATTTTTGACGAAATGATTTTGTTAATCATTAAGATTAATGCGAATATAGCTACGAGAGTACAATAGTGATTTAAATATACACTCTATACTGCCTATGTAAAAAACCTAAAAAGTGAGCAGTAGAGTCAAATTATGCCGTTAGTCTACCTGCTAGTTAGATTTCCGATGCTTAAATGACACTGCAATATGAACGAAAATTTTCGAATGTAAACCTTGTAGAGCGGTTGTCGTGGTAGATTACATGCTCGCATGCTATTTCCAGTATAAGCAATGCATTTCAACTCCCAATCACCTACTTCTTCATTCCACCGGACGAAACGCTCAATAAGTTCTAAGAATTCCACTGGCACGTAGTTTTCTACAGAAAATTATCAGTGAAATTCCCCAACAATTTATTACTAATCACGTTGTTGCGATCAGTTTACAGAAACGAAATAAAGGAAAGAAAGAAAAGGAATATATGTAAAAAACTTCGACACATTAGTACCACTAGTATAGTAACGCACGTCTATAAATACTAAAGGCAATAACATATAGGAAAAGTAGTGATAGCATTGTTAGGTTGAAAATGATAGTCATAATAAGTTTGAAAAAAAGCAGATCTTCAAATTATCGGAACAAATTTATAGCTACTTTATACTCGTACAATTTTTTTACGCAACACTCTTGAAAAACTATTATTAAATTCCTGTTCTATCTCAGTTGGTTTTAGTAGCGCTTGAGCTGTTGCAAAGTAATTCTTGATACTCCGGATGTAGGAGTCAGTATATCCTTTCCACTTTTTTTTATCAGCTAGGGTAAGTGTTTATCTGATTCCTTAGCAATAGCAGTTTTCCTCTGATGGATGGAAACGAAATATCAGGGATATTCTTCTTGCTGCTTTTGCTACCTTAATCAATTCCATCAATTCATTGAGAATTAGCAAGTATAAAAGCTGCTTACCAATAATAAGCAGCTGTAGGAGAAGTTCGCTGCGAAGTTGACGAACACTATCCAAAAGACCTTCCATCTCACGCTGATGTTCCATTTGTACATCAGCCAATTCACCTTTTGCAGCATTCAACATACTCCAAATCTTTTTTATCTTTTTTGTCTTTCCATGTGCCTCTTCTGCTAAGGTATTGTATTTCTCTTCCAGATCAATCCTATAAATATAACTGCCTAGCATAAGATAATTCTTTTTTTCATTTCGCATATCAGTATGCTGTAACTTGAACGAAATCTGTGCAAATAATATTGAAATTAATACTAAAAAGGGACTGACGAACTGTATTAAGGAAGTTCAAAAGAAAGAAATTCTTTCCTGGATTTCAACAATCATTTTAATCATGTTAATTGCTTTAACAAATCGAACCTCTCTTGATTCTTTTCTGCTAATGCCTGCTTCAATTGAGTCTCGTTCATGCGCCCGCATTCTAATTCAGCATTACTTTGCTCCAGCAATCGAGCTTGTTTCTCAGCTTTTTCAAGCATATTTTCGCCACCAATGATAAGTTTTTTCTCAATTTGCTTCAGCTTATTCATCAATAAATCATGATCTCTGTGCGCTTGAGCCAATTCTTCCTAAATTAAGTGCTATGCGAAACATATAAAAACATTCAAAATGGATTCGTGATCGAAAAACATATTTTGTACGCATGGATAAGTGCTATCATAATAATTTGAATGAACCTGGAAGTTTCATGAAAGTTGTAAGAAACGCACCCATGGACGTAATGGGTTCATGTATTTCATTTCCTCAAAAATAATCACGCTGAATATGGTCATTATAAATGTACCTCTTTAGTACGAAGTTCTGCGGCTAACAATTCTCGTTCCTCGTCAGCCAGTCCTTTTTCTTTTTGTAATTCATTTCTCTTAATTTCAACCGTCCTTTTCAATTCTTCAATACGATCATTATAACGATTCCGCAACTGTTTCTGGCCTTTGTGCCAACCCGATTCACCCGCGTCCTCTTCACTTCCACTCGATTCTTCTGCAAGCTATTTGCTTTGAAAAAAAAAATGTGATTGATTAAAAACAAAAAATTCTAATACCACGAATCTACAAAGATATGTGCACTCATTTAATAAAGTTAATATAAGACAAATAAAAAAAAAAGTAAGTCCAATATACCCATAAACTTTCTGGCAAACCTTTGTCGAGCAAACGTTTAAGATGCTCAATTTCCAGCTGGAATTTCCGTAATAGTGCATCTTTTGGATCCTCATTAATTCTAACCATATTTTGAATATTTTTGGCGCGATTTGCATATCTGAGTGTGGAGACCGTTTCATCGTAGTTGTAAGAAGCAGGACCAATATTAGCAAACTGAAATGAGAGAAAAGGTGCTATGGAAATCTTTCAGACTATTCCAAAAAGTAAGTTTAGAGTTCAAACCCCACAAATTCAAATTCAAACCCCACAAATTCAAATATTCTTCCATTTTAGGATCTAAATTTTCAATTTTTTCTACTTTTAAACTTCTAGTACCTAGTCCTCTACAAAACTGTTGTAGGTTTTTAAAAAGTCACTTGAAATTTCCATGATAACACATGTTTTCAGTCCTCATCAATTTGAACCACATTTTGAATACTTTTGTCACAATTTGCGTATCTCCTATAAATGTCATTAAAGTCAAATATCTAACAACTACTTACCATGACAGTCTTTGAATTACCACCTAAAGAATCCTGAAGTAATCGTGTAAGTTTGGAATTTCTATATGGAATGTGGACCGTTTTCGAATCAATCAAAGCGCTGATGACATTACCAAGAGAAGAAAGGGACAAATTAATGCGCGCTGCTTCTTTCAATCGATTTCCACTGGTACCACTCTTCGCCTGCCTCTCACTACCCTAAATTATGAACGTTGAGATCGTAGCATGATGTAATCATCAGTCAGAAAATTGTTGGAAAGAATATCCAACACTTATAAATCACTTATAACTTAAACGTAATTTAATGAATTTCTAATAAAAATCCATATTGCGTAAAATTATAAAAATACTTTCTGAAAAGTATACGCATGGAATATTTATTTTGCTTTACTGACATAACCACCGGATGCGCTGCATTGCATTGAGTGACATAATATAAAAAACAGAAACCTACGGCTAAATCAACAAGCTGTAGCTTTCCTTGCGTGATATGGCAATGGTCACCAATCTTCTCACTACATTCAATCGTTACTGTGAACAGCGCATGAGAGCGTGAACTGTCTATATTCATTTTTGTTGTACCCGTTGATCTATAGTAAAAAAATAGTACGAAAGCAGACAAAAGTGGTTTATTTTCAGTCAAATCTACTTAATTTTATACTTTGAATTTATATCAGTTCCATAAATCCTACTCAATTCTATCTGTTATATAAAATAAGTGTCCGTTCCAATTTCTCTAAATTATCTTTCATTTGTTCGAAAAACAGTAACATACCTGTAACTGTTCCCAAACTGCATGATACGCTCCATATGATCTGCACCAGACACAGTAACGCTTGATAGATCTTTGACGTAAATACCAATATCTGGTCGTTCCTTAACAGAATCCAAACTCAAACTATAAATCTTAATTATAATTATATAAAAACTAAGTAAAAATAAAAAATAAAAGAAGTTAATGTACTGCTGATCATTCACCAGGATAACGGGAATGTCAGGACAATGATTTATCTTGATGTGATAAATACCAATATCTGGTATATATGAGAGACATATAAGAATTCTAAAAAAAAACAAAAGATACCAGTCATCAAGTCATTAGGACTCCTTCAATTCATCCACTGTGTACAATCAAAGGTTAAAACAAAAAAAATTTTTAAATTTAATTGTAAGCACATCAATGATCAAAACGAAAAATGAAATAAGTGATGCCTTGAATCAATCGCTATAGCTTATCATTTTCAGCAACCCATAGCTTGAAAAGGAAATAATATCTAACCTTAATTTCAAGACCATGCCCCGAATTTTTAGCCAGTAAATCTCGGATTTCTTCGTTGTAAATTTCCAAATAGGAAACTCGGACAAGAAATGTTTTATCCTGTTGACATTTCGATATATGGTCAAAAATATGTGCAAATGAATTCGGGATTATTCCAGGACAAGTATTATTTCCTAACATTGTGAAAGTCTTCCCAGTCCCGGTCTGTCCATATGCAAGAATAGTACCTGAATGAAATCAAAATGAAACAATAGACAGCAACAAGAGAAAACTAAAATTACTCCGAAATATTCCTTGAATATGAAAAAAACACTCATTCGACTTCTATATAACAATTCAGAACTTCATATAGAATATCTTGAACATAACATTCAAACTTCCACCCATTCAACACCCAACAAAGTTTCAAACTCCCATCCATTCAACACCCAACAAAGTTGTTCCCCATTTCTCGATGAATTAGTATCGATAGCTATAAACCTATAGGCCTTCAGCTTTATCATCCCCTAAATATATTTCAGCTGATTCTGGGGACCAAATCCAACACACCACTAACCGTTATATCCTTTTAGTACGTTGTCAACAATGTGCCTTGCAGCGATGTTGTAAACACTAAATTGATCGCTGTCTTCTCCAAATACAGCATCGAAAGTAAAAATACGAGGTGGCTCCTAAGAAATATTTAACTCCTTCGCAAATAGAATCGGTTTTGAATTATCAGTAACAAAATTTTTTTTTAAGCAAGGCTGATCTATGACGTCCCAAATATGCATTGCTCCATTATGTGAGTTGCCGAAATGTTCCAGTAAATCTGCTACTTTTTGTTAATTGATTTCTGTTTGTTTCTCAATAAATTTAAAAATAAACTCAAGATTTTATATTCAAAACATTCGGAGCAGTCAGTCTAATAGTTTATCGGCCAGTACTACACTTTACTTAGTCTGACGCTACCTGGCCATTATTTGGGTTGGTGACGGAGATTGAGTTGCTAGCGCTGTCCACAGATATAATATTTTGATGGCCTTGCTCACATTCCATATGGTTTAGAGGTCTGCAACGTACCACCACACGAACATTGTCTATTTCTGACATCTCCATCAACCGTCACCGACTCTGCAACGACCGGGAACCATGACCTTCCAAAAGCGCGGAAGTTATAATGGAATTTGAAGTGAAATTTCGTATCCCTTATTCATGCAAATTGCGGTAGTATAGATGAAATTGTGCAATCAATAAATTCGATTTAATGAATGATACCCGTAACTTATTTTATAATAGAGATAGTTTATGATTTCATAAACGATGTTAATCTTAAAGATGGAAACGTTGAAATTTCTAAAGATTTGAACTAAATAACCAAGCAGTTGAACAGCGTGCAAAACGCGAAGGAAAGAGAACTTTTCTCGTTATTCAGACTTTCCATTTGCTTTATCGAAAGTTAGCAATATATATATATATATATAAATACCAATAGACAATTATAATAGACAGACGAGCGTATCAGATCAAATGATAAAAAAATGGTAGCTGCAAGCTTACACAAATATAAAGTTAAGTAATAATAAAATCAAAATATGTACAATATATATCAACACATTATCAAATAAAAAATGGTTACTATGATAGAAAGAAAAAGATCATGTCGAATACATCGAAAAAGACAAAATTTCTCATTATGCGAAAAAATCCAAATACTCGTGAACTCCATAATTGTTAGAACTTATCTTTTCTGTTTCTCAATGGCAGTTAAAATAAATCTTTCTCAATTAAGCACAAAGTGTAGAACAAAATTGTAATTTGCATCGCAGATATAATTGTTTTCATTATTCCTTGCTTTTAACTACTGTTGCTTTTGTTAATGTATTGGAGTCACAGGTACTCATGAATGCACAAGCATCAATTTCTGGAGTTCTGTTGAAAACTACTGCAGAAGAAATTAAACAGCTCTCGCAGTTATAAAGAGATGTCATTGAGCAGAATAAAAAAACAGCAAAATTACGCAGTCAGAGATCGAAAAAAAATATATATATAATTAAAATATACGTAGGAATGAATAAGATAGAATACTCTTCTACGTAAATTGTGTTTCTATGAACAAAAACTGAATTTTACACCCGACTGCAAATAAAGTTTCCCAAAACTCCTCCAAAATCTATCCTTGATTAACCAAAGGAAATCGATGATGCGAACTAATTTAGAACAGCACAATATTCTAGCACTGTTTCTATAGAATTTATTTTTTGAGAACTTCAAATATGTGCAAAGAAAATTGGTGAAAAAAACTTGTAAAACTGCTTTATCAATAACATCTGAACTGATATCTGTTAATGGGTTACCGTCGCTGATTCTGTATTATAATTTACTGCATTGTTTACGAAATCAAGCAATCGACGTGCGTACTGCAAAAAAATTCGAGACTAAAGCAATATTATTTATATATTTCATGAAAAAAAATATTGGAAAACCTATACGTGAAACGTCATTGTCTAAAAACTTCAGAGCAAAACTTTGAGCATCTGTTGTATTTCAAAAATCAAAATAATGAAGCCGAAACAATTTCGTAATTATGCAACATCAGAAAAGTTTGCTTTCATGGAATCGGCTAAGAAATTCTATTAACAAAGAAATCGTAAAATTCGTTACTTGATCAGGTTTCACCGTTGATATATTATCCGCATCCGAACCGTATTTGACAGCCTTTGCAGCTGATGCAGTCTTCTTTTTAACTCCGTAATAAGTAAGTATGTCAACAAGGCCAATAAAATATATTAATCGCTTATCGCTTTCTGGAAATGTATCTGTTGCAAAGCAAAATGTATAAGAATCTCCTACAAACTAAAAATCGACAAGCTATACTAAAATACCATCAATTTCGATTAGTTCATTAATTTCTCTGTCCAAAACGCCTTCAAAAAAAATCTTGATGTTATATAAGTGTCACTGTACAGTAAAACTTACCTGGACCACTTGGGATTGCATAAAACTCATCATCAAGATCTGGTCCACCGGATGGGATTGGGGCAAATGCACCCGTTGATGGTAGCGGTGAATCTGGTGGCGTTGGAACAAGTTCGTCACCCGAAATTTCACCTTCAGATGGTTCAGCTAGCTGTTGGGTTGTTGCCTCTTGCTCACCCTTATCCATATCATGAATACCTGAAACAGAAAATGAAAATAAAAGCTACAAATTATCTATAAATAATTACGACATGATTTCATATTTGTATTATATTTTTTCTTCAAATTTCAAATTAGAAATGAACTAACCAACAAGAAGTGAATAGTCCATCAGATGCATTCTTGCTAAGAATTCGGCATCATCACGTAACATTGAAAGTAACTTCTCACGCGCATCAGCTGGTAGTATTAATTTGTACTTGTCTTCCAAGAAATCATTATCCTTAATTAAAAAATCATACGCATCTTTATTTGAATATGTTATGGGTTCTCAAGAAATTCAGCTGAGAGTTAACTAACTTTAAGTGTCGGTAATTCCTTCGTTTTCTCCTTATCAGTTGCTTGCCGCTGTACAGTTGACCCCTATAAAGATGATAGGATGAAAGGACTAACAAATATTAAAACAACTGAATCTGTGTTTCAGTATCACATTAATCATTCTTAAATAAAGTCACCAGGAATATTCTTGAAGTAGATTCAAGATATTGCAAAGAAACATGTAGCAGCACATCCGCGATTAATTAAAATTTTGGAGTAAATTCGACAATATTTACACATCTGATATTCCCAAATCTCACGAAAAATAAATAAAGTGGTATTTGAAAAGTTAATGAAAATTAACAAGTGTTGTCCTAATGAACAACTGAAAAATCCGAAACCCACTCTGTTTCACGGGCTTAAGAATCTTTTTTTTAGGACTTCTAAAAGAAATACGTTTCATATAAAGACAGTATAAGGGATATTACAAGTTAATGGTGGTTAGATGCACACCTAATCAACGATATAAACTTCCTTCTCCTTTGATTACATTAGCTGATTTTTTATTTGAACTAATCTATCCCTTAAATTGTCAGAAAAAAACAGTAATTTAAAATATACTTTCAAATCATATTTACGGTGGACAGCATATTTTCGACCAAGGATATTACGCATCACAATCAAATATGTTTCATTGCCATCAACAGTAAGACGATACAAGCCCAGAAATTGCGGAAGTAATGTTTTGCCACTTTTTTCTACTACATACTAAAATAATAAAAAAGTAATAGGTATTGTGGAGGAAATATTAATTACACTCCTAAATGATAAGAATTGAAACAATTTAAAATGAATAATATTTAAAAAAGAAGTCAACCGACTAGAATACCTCTGTTCAAATTCTATAACAATATTGCATATAATCATTTTGTTCCGAAAAATCCTTTTGACCTCTTTCCTGACAGATTTAGGATTCTAATAACTTGTTGTAAAATCAGGCATAAAATTTTATTGAAAAGACATGATGCACCACCTCATGATACGATCTGAGAACTGAATGCAATTCGGCAACTGCTTCTGAATCCATCGACTTTATCACAAATTTCTTATCATGTGAAACATACAAACGTGAGCCACTTTTGTCCACTTGATCTAGTTCTGGTTCTGGTTCACTATATGTTAACGAACGCTGCAAAGATAAAAAAATTGGTAAATTTCACAATATTTATTTTAATGTCTTTATTCCGACTTTCCTATCACTCAAAAGAATTCATTTAATAACGAGGGAGTTGAATGATGAATGATCAAACATACCAAATATTCGTTTTGATCAACACCAAAATGGTCTCGAAGATTTCGGAACACATTAGGGCAATAATCTTTGATTTTGAAATGGCTTGGCATATTATCTCTGAAACATTAAAAATTTAAAACTTTTATTTGAATTGCTTATGTATATTATTACTTGCGTCAGATGACTAAAGTCAATTAGATTAAAATGGAAAAAATTCGATTATAATATTTATGAGCTGAACTTACTTGTTGAAGTATTGATTATCAATTTTGACTTTAATTGAAGCTTTGAAATCATCCGGCATCAGCAATCCTGGAGGTGGAACATGCAATAACTCACTGATCTATAAAATGGTGTATTATTTCGAAGCGTTGCTAATTATCTCTTGCACTTTATAAAGCACTGATGTTGTGCTAACTGTTCCAACTTCGTATACCACCTTTCTACATGACATATTACTTGTGATCGAATCAATAACATTTTGTTTAAATTGCTAATGTATTACTTGAGCCACATAAAAATATTTCTATTTCCAAATCGTTTTAATCAATTGAGCTTAATGAACCTGCTAGGGATATGGAGAAATCAGCTTTTTTCAATAGCTATGCAAACAGTCGTGAAGTTTGTGATTCTTGAATAAGGCCTGAGAAGCAAAATGAATGAAGCTTGAGGAAGCCCCAAACAACTACGAAAACTTTTTTCTCTCAGTCTGTAGGAGCTAATATTCAAAAAAAGTTAGCATAAACATTCAGAAATGACATAACATTCTTAATAAAAACGGGAACTGCTTACCGAATGATTTACTCCCCACATGAATACTGAAAGAAGTGGTTCTTTGGCTCGAAACAATTTCCACTTTGGCACCAAAACTTTTCCTTTTCCCTTCTTTTCTTTACGTGGTGTTTTTTTCTTCGTGGACATCTCTGCAACGATGCAATAAAAGATTCAATTTAAAGCTGTTACGGATAAATATTTGACGATGAATATCTTTCTGGGATATTAAAACAGTTTTGCCTAAATTTTTAGATCTGATAAACAAAAGATGGATCCGAAGCAAGAAAAAAAAACCCGTACACAGAAAATAAGCATCTAAGTCAGTGATATGGATAAACAAAGAAAGTTATGAATTGAAATATACAAAAATGTCATGTAAACAAAAAAAATTTTTTTAACCATTCTTGAGGTCACTCAGTTTATTTCCTCAAACAATTATTTGTAGGTAAACTGACAAAAGAAAGCTTTCAAAATATGAGGAGTTATGCGAACTTTCATCATAAATTTCCAATATATGAAATAATTCTTCAAAGCTTATTCAAAATCAAAAGCAGTTTTTCGCAATTTTCAATGTAAAGCGTATGATTTGCTTCAATTTATCTATGTTATTAATCTCTTAGATTTCACATTTGGCGTTATCAACTTTTTTGTCATCAGTGCATAACACACAGACTTCTAATACTTTCAAAGATGGATATGGATATTACTAATTTTGATTTCGACTGAATTATATAATAAGACAATATAATAATGTATGACTTGGACAAATCCAATTCTAATATGTTTCCAAGCTATAAAAAAAGAATTTGATTGACAGAAACTACCGAAACTTCCCCATTAGATTAAGTATGAGATGCAATAACGTATTAAACATAGTTATAATCCTATTTAGCTTGCTTAATTCTGTTCAATTATTGAAAAAAAATGATACACGAGGAATGATAATAGTGATGATAATTCTTGATCCTGTGATAAACGACTGGCACTGAGAAAAACTTGATCGATGGTGACTTCTTATAGCAAATATGGGTGGGATGTGGCTAAAGGGAAACAAGAAATGCAATAAATTGCAATACAATACGTTAAGAGTAACAATCAATGTCATTAGCCTGCAATTATAGCCCAAGCGATATATCTAAAACTCACCATTTTCTCAGCTTTTACTTCCTAACTGGAGAGAAGAAACTGACCATTTAATTTTGTTTTAAACATGTTTCCATCGCAATACAACTATCACTGTGCCTTTCTGACGTCATGATTCTCACTTCTTTCCTTTCTTCCAGAATGTTACTCAGATTTCACATGTCCAACAGTCCAATCTCTCTTACTCTTGACCATTTCCCTCCTTCTTTCTTTCAAGTGTATAAAATGTTACGATAACACTTTGGAAACATAAAATCATTGCAAATGGAATGGAGAAAGAGGGGAGAGAGTTTTTATCTACCATCTGCACAGCAAGAAAACACTTTGGCGTGTAAGTAGATACTCGCAAATAACTTATCAGGACCGTTACGACAAGCGAGGAAGTACAAAGACAGAAGGTGCAAACAACACCAACCAATCCCATCCCCTCCACGAGAAAACATAGTTCACAAACATACATTCAGTCTATGGTCAATTTGATAATCACAAAATTAACACGGCCCAGCTAATATATGCTCCATGAAACGTGCAAGGCTCCAAATAATGATCAATCCATGAAAATCACAAAATGTCCATCCTGGCCGTGCGGTGTGTATTTTATATATAATATAGCGCACTATAAATATAAAGAAATGAAATCATTGTCGCATTTGCTTTGAAGTGAACAAACTCGAGAATACCACTTCAACTGGCTGGAAATGCTCCGTTTTATGAATTAACAGTAAATACCGTTACCCCATCTCTACCGTAACATTTTTTACGTAAAAAGTACGATGGCTATGTCTGTCTGTTCGCAAAAATGCAAGTTCTGTTCATATGTCTCCATTTCTCGAACAGTTGTTGAATGATTTTATAGATCAGCGATGGATTTCGCATCATCTCCTCAAAATCATTCAACTTATCGACCGCACTGTCTTCCATCTTTCTGGAACGAGAACCGTAAATGCAGCCAACCAATGAGTTACTCTAACGCATCGCACAATTGATATGACCCCATTTTTAACATTATTCTTTTGCTCTTATCAGTCACTAAGCAATATTCGCTCCTCTTTTTTGAGAATTGAGTCGAAGTTTCTGTTTTGATTCAATAAAATTTAAATGACACTGATTATGCACTTCGAAGTAATTGTTTTATTCAGCAAATGAGTTTTGACAAGAAGCAATCTTTATAACATATTCAAAAGAATCAGGATAGAAGTGTTGGTGGTAACATTAATGATTCCTTGTAAAAACCTGTTGTTATTCCAGACATTTGCAACCAAATGCAAATATGCGCAAAGGCGTGATATATCAGAACAAGGTTCACATTTAATTCTCATGAAAAATTCATCAAAATGTATCGAAAGGAATAAAGGATGAAAAAATACAAAGAATGATTGGGAAATTACGCCTTTCCTAGCCAAAAATTTTAATTCGCCATTAATCGGACTTGCACACCATTACTATACATTATTATAAAGGAAACTATTATTATAAAAACAGAAAACTCCAAGCTCAAATATTCCTTCGAATATGATAAAAGAAACATCGGTAATAATACAAAGTTAAAGAGACTCTTTTCTTTTTAAATTTGTTCTGTAATGATTGAGCTATAAGACTTACAATATAAGAAAACTTATACTCACCTCCCACCTTCATTATCAAAGAGAATATCTGAACGAATCTTACCGAGTAACAGAAAATCCGCAACAACAGTGACGTAGAAGCGATTTCTATTATCCACAAAAGCAGATATCTCATCAGGTATTAGAAGTGTCCAAAAATCAGGTTCTTCAAGGTGCATTCAAATCCCAAATATCATTCAGACTTAGTTCCTTTAGACTTTCTGCACATTATTGCAGGACCTACCAGTTAGACTTTAACGAAATCTCTCCAGTCCAGTTTATCAACCGGAATTTCTATTAAACCAGTCCAGATAATTTCGAATATGCTAGTCTGATAATAGGGAGTTAGTGTAATTAGTAATCCGGTTGTGCTCGACTAGTATGCTCATAGTGATAATGTAATCAAAAAATTAAATATTATACTTTATCACCTGGTACAGTATTTTATCATCCAATTAACGCCTACTATCAAAGTTAGATTCACGCTTACTTCAGAGCACTACTGCAACTGCAGTAACTAGTGATCAACTTATCACTAGGGTTTTGACTTTATTTACACTGAAAAAATGATGCATACGTGTTTGCATAATAATGTAATAATTCGAATTACTTAACAAGTGTATCAAGACACTGGACTTTATTCCTGCGTTTTAATAGTTTTAACACAACTTATCAAGAGTGCACCATTCGTTATTCGTAGATCGTGGAAATGAAGCAGTTGGATTGCGATATCAAAATGAAATATTCCGAATAATTTAAGGATTTGCAAAGAATGCTGCCAGCCATATGAACGTATTTTATCACTCCTGATTTGCGAATTGGCCAAATTCTCTTTTAGATAGCAATTAAAGACATTAAAATTATGAGGCTAATATACTATGAGAGAGACATGATGAAACGGTAACTATATTTTGTTCCAAACATATTTTCTCTTACATTTGCAGCAATAAATACATTTCTTGTTTGTTCTTTCAAACCAAATAAATTCTTACATAGTCTACTTCTTTTCGATTCCTTTTATTTTTTTTCATAACTTTATCGCTCATTTTGTGCTATATATTATAATACAAAGAAAGGTAAAATTTTACACTGAGATATCACGGCTTTGCCATGAGCACCTTACCAAATAAGATTCATTCTTTCCATTTTTCTAGTCATTACAAGATATTTTATGGTCAAAACAGAGTACCACTTGAAAAATTACACCTTAACAAATTCGCAAACTGAAAATTTAAATTTGCATATATAAAATGAATTGCACTTGATAGGAGAAAACAGCGTCAAAAGTGTGCGCTAGTAGGCGGTAATTGTTTTCACACAGATACCATATCCCATCAACGTTCCCATCCTGATATTTTGAGCATTACAGCAGGAACATAAGAATCGATCTGGAATGTCCTCCGGAAAAAGCTTATTTCTGTGATGATTTGGATGATCCAGCGAAGTAAATAATAAGGAATAGCGCCAGCGACATCAACAATAACATAATGAATACCAAAATGCAAATTTTTTTCTGAAATGCGACACGTTCATCGAAACTTTTTGCAACTTCGGTGTGGAAATGAATTTTTTTCTCTTTCGTAATATATTGTCTATTTAATACGAAATTTATACAAGGAAGTATGTCCTTTTAGACATGAAAAATTGATAAACATTTTCTTATCCCCGGAAGACAACTTCATCGTTTTCCATTATTTCTTACAACAATAACTATGTGATAGATCTCCCTCTGACAATCAAGCAGCTTAAGTGGAAAAAGCGAGCAGCAATCCCAAAAACTCCAAATTATTATGTTACTCCCCAACTATTGTGCTACGCTCTCCCATTACTAAATTACGCCATAAACTGTATTCGATGTCTCACCTGTTACCAAATACAATAAAAAGGATTCTTCTTTTGACACAAAATTTATTTTAGGAAATATGAAAATGCATGACGCAAATAAAATGAGTAATAAAGAAATTGAATTTCAATTCAGCTGTGTAGATTACGAACTTTTATAGAACACAGAATTCGAAGCTTTGGTTTCATTTATTTATGAAATTTAAGAAATAAGTTCCAAACCCAAACTGTTGTTTAGGCCACGCCAATATTTATTAACCGCTGTTGCAAAATATTTCTAATTTGATTCTGCTGAACAATGAATAAATCTCGATTCAAATTCGAAAAAGGGCAGCACTTTCTTTCTCTTATACTTAAATTTCAAAGCTGCGAATTTTACTAACAGTTCTTCGTAATCTCAAATTTTCAAAAATTCTACAGCAAAATTATAAAATAAATTTTAGCCATCGAAAAAGAGTTGCAACTTGTCTTCGGATTACCGGTCGAGATAATAAACATTTCAGGCCAATTTTTCTGTTTCTAAAATAAATGGACAAAACACGATCTGAATAACTAAAGTAGTAGCCATTATTCGAAAGCAAATCAGTACAAAACAAGAAGTGAAAAAGCTATTATCGAATTTAAGATGCACCTTATCGCCCATTCTGAGTTTCTAGCAAAAGATGGCATTTGCTCTCGAAATTTCAAAGTCTATGAACTTTTTTCACTTTTCTCCGACTTCCTCTTTTTTTCAGCTTTCATACTATTTGCTGGATTGCAAAGCTACAAATAGGGCTACTGCATTTACGATTTTTGTTATATCTCATAAAACGATTGAACATCATATAACACCAACAATATTATATTAGAACAAACAAATTTTAAAAAAACCAAAATGGAAGAATTACTAAACTGAATTTTGTTTCATGGAATACGAAAACAACGAACTCAAAAACAAAATTGTCAATTTGACTTAATGATAAGTCAATACATTTGAGGGAAAAAATTAATGAAGAAATCCAACTGCTGATTGCTTTTTGGAATCAAACGCGATTTTAAAGAAAGGAAAATTATAACACTGAACCATTTTATTGTAGAATTACAGGACTATTCATACTACAACTTTCCAAATTAAAAATATCTTTACAATTAAATATCTGTATGTTACAGAAATAAATAAATGGAAATGCATAACTTAGATCCGTCTTACTACTGGAAAACAGCAAGAGACTTCTAGACTGATGTCTTTTCTCCCAATATTAATAATGCTTAGATAGATCCTAAACACATAATTACTATACCCTCAGGACGTAAAGTCTTAAAAAAAATTTCTCATTTTTGTTATGATTGAAGAACATGCGATTTTCGAATGTCCGTTAAATATTCATAGAATAAGATTTACACAAACAAACGCAGTGGAAATGGATGTATAATTAGAAAACAAATGTGAAATTTATGTAAATTTAGGCAGTGGCGAAGCAAAAAAAAGACTGCTACGAATGGTTATCAGTGAACAAAATATTATATAAATATGCCCGTGTATTGATTCGACTGTAACACAAGGCTAAATGATTGACAAGAGTGAAGAAATTGCAGAAAGCTGAACAAAAACCGTATTACCATTATTGCTTGCTATTATAATGATGGTGAATACAGTGTGAAATAATATGGATATAACTATGGTTGCACTTTATCAATTATTAAAAGGGATGGCTCGGTTTCCTTCGTCATTAGTAAAAGTAACTCAATATAAAGCCATCCTGTTATATTTTGTCTTTACGATATATATGAAAAAATTTTAAGATCATAAAATGCTGTTCAAAAATATGAAATCGCAAACTCCTTCCTCAAAGGGATTTCCATTTGTTACATGTTATAATCCAGTAACTCGAACCTACTTCTTTGAATTCAGAAAGGATTACCATTAATAGAAGCGCCTCCATCCCGTTTAAGTATGAAAATAAAATTAAGTAATAAAAAGTAACAAATAACTGCAGGAAGCTATAATGCTCTTTATAACATAAAATATATGAACGGAAACAAATATTGCGGTTTAAGTAATAATTAATATGAATGGTCCAAAATCTCAAAAAGGACTTGGGATAAATGTCATCAATATGAGGACCAGTATGGCGATTAATATTGTCACGCAAATCAATATCATTATCTTCTTCTGAAAGGAAAAAAAATACATCCTTTATTTTGTTTTGCAAATACTTTTATCTCTTCCCTTCTCTTTGGCAGAAAAATGCAAAAATCAAATCAAGAGCCACGAGGCAGAACGTACAAATCATGAAAAGTATCTGCAGAAATAATAATCAAATTAATTGAATAATAAAATAGCATCTTTTAGTCAGTAAATTTTTTTCTATTCAAATGGATTAAGGTGTAACTTAGTTAATGATCAGTGGAAATTGCTTGCACGAAACATGCATCACAACTGGAACAATAGAATTTCAATCAAACACAATCACAACCAATCACAACACAACCGCAATAAATATAAAACGAATCACTTTCTGGACGCTCTTCGAAACATATTAATAACCCAATTATTCCATCAAACAAATTTCATTCCTTAACCCATTGTATGGATAAATAGTCGATAAAGAAGAATGATATATTCTGAGATGCTACACTTATAATTTCAAATTTTACCACAGTGTAGCAAGTTTCGATCCTACCTTTACTGTACCTATGATTGTGGGTAACACAATGTTGTGAAGGCACCATGAATCAGAAAAACGGGATCGGCTTAAATTTTTCTTTTTCCGCATTTATAACAGTAGAGTAGTGAAGAGCCGTCATTAATAAAAGCGATGAGACCGAGATGTATACAGCTTAATCATTTTCGACAATAAGTAAAAAAAATTTATGATACGATACCCATACTTAGAAGGGTGTTGATTTTAGTAACGATATTTTTTCCGTAAAAATGATAAAATGATTTTCCATAAAAAAGAATATAAAAAAATAACAATTCCTACGGGAACAGAATATTTTACAAAAATTCCATGCTATATTTTCACAGTCACTCTTACATCCATTAACTCAACGATATATGCAACTATCACGATATAAAATAAAAAAAGCAGCTATTTAAGAAAAGGAGTAAGTAGATGTAAAATATTGCTCGCAATAAACTCATACATGAAATTAGATTTAAAAGATGGCTGAATTCATCAGATTTTTAATACAAACAAGATGCAGCCTTACCCTTTCTTTCCTCTTTATTATGCTAAAATGCTTTTTAAAGTAGGATTAACTATTTGAGAAAATACTTTACCGTTGTCTTCGCCAAATTGTTAATTTATTCCCATTTTACAAGGTTTCTACTAATCCCTACTGATCGTAAACAAATAATCACCGATAGAAATAGTTTCGTGTGAGTAATGTGATCTATTTTCCTTATCAGAAACCTATTTTTTCCTAGTTGGAAAACTTCTAATAATGCCTCTTCTAAATTTTCTGCTTAATATTCAAGAACCATCCTTTTTATGCAATCGCGATTCGGCGATTCTCCTTATACATATACACAAACAATTCGTGCACAGAATATAATTCAATAATTGAAGTGGAAATTATTTAAAATCGTTGGCGTCAATTTAGGAAACTAAAATTGCGCATAGTTGCTCCAGATTCAAGTTATTCTCTGAATTCAAAGTAAAGTGACAAAGCAACAGACACTGAATAATAATGACATATAAGCATATTGTCCATGGTACAAATATAATGTTACATGCAGACGACTAACAGGTGATACACGACTACTACGATTACAATTTACTGACTAGAGGCATAATGCACTAACATGAACCAAGAAATTTATTATGAAAGAAAGAAACAACTTATCTTAATTTTTAAATACTCAAACATTTTGCTAAATATTTCAGGATCTAAAAATGAATTTTTCTACCTTTTCTTAAGCCAAAAGAAGGCTTTTGCAGGACAACTTATAATCAACCCTTTATCATGCACTTTTTTCAGTTAGAATGATATGGAATAGCTAAAATCCGACCAGTTCTCAGAATATATGAGGAGAAAGAAACTTACCCTTCTTGCCTTACTTTGGTATTGCACGGCCTTCTTCGTATCGGCCACAGCTCGATCAACGAATTCTTTCGCGTGTTCTACATTATATTCTATCCGATCTACCATTTCACCCTATAAATATTTACGTCGTATCGGAAGAACAGAAACCTTAGAAGCATATCTGCAAAAATATCCTACATACAAAATAGCTACAGACAGTGAAAGGTAATGGATTTAATGCGTTTGTTTAACGGTTAGCATCGGGATTCTCTCTGAAGATATCTGTGCATAGTTGTGCCAACGTATTATTAAATGGTAACAGTTATAGTTACAGAATTTCAACAGCAATAAGCAATATATAATCAAAGTTATCACTGATACATTAACAGAATATAGTAGTAATGGACAAACCTTGCATTGGTACTGCTGCACGTAATTTAAGTAATCACTACAATGCAGCTCCAAACAAAATTATGTTTCCATCACTTTTTTAAATTTACCTGAGATTCGACGAGCATTGCCATATCCATGAACATATCGTGTAGTTCACGTATACTTGATTCCAACTTCATGATATCATTATGACGAGCTTCAATATCCGCTAACGTTTGCCGTGCTTGTTGCGTATCGGTAATGATACCTTGAGTGAATACGCCCGGATTCCCAGACTCAATCATTTCTTCCAGATCCTAGAAACAAAGAATTATTATTATACAAAAACTCAAATCAGACATTTCGCGCGATGTATACATAGCTTATATCCCAGGAAGCTTCAAGTACGCCTGTAAGTAGTTTAAAAGCTTGTCTAACAACATCATGGCCCTGCTTCAGTTCTCAATTCGCAGTGATCAAAAGATTCACTGCAACATCTAGAAAACTGATCAATCTCACCGTGGTAAATCTTATTAAAATACCATTCATCGAGCACGGTGAGTAAAATTCTAACAATACCAAAATTCGACTAATACAAAGTTAACACAATGTCGAATTTTTTACTATAAAAATTGAAAACTCCACAATTGCAAAAATTTGCAGAGAATAACTGAGAAATCTTTCACAGCAAATAAGCTTACTTCATCACCAACTTGCTTGCCAGCAATATCTAACTGCCTTTGGATACGACCCTTACAACGTTCGCGATAATCTGTCTGTGTTTTATTATAATCCGTCATCACATCAACGAATTTTCTGGAAAGCGTTGAATGTTGCGTCTTTCGTATACGTAAATCAGCTGACGATAATCCACTACTTTCATCATGTTCAATACTATTTTCGATTACTGAAATATTTCATCCAGTGATGAGACATATTAGTAATGGTAAATTTAACTGCTGTTATCATTTAAATTAATACAGAAAGTGAGACAAAATAGAGGAGTTATACAGCATCAAAAAATGGAGAGAAGTAATGCCAGATCCTTCAATAAGCAATGGCAACGTTACATCCCTCGATTCACCATATAGATTATCGTATTTTAGAAAACATGAATTAAAATAGATGATCAAATTTGTTTCAGCAACGAGCGTTTTTTCCTGACTAATTCTGAGTAATGAAGACTTTCTTCCAAAGAGTTTTCAGTTTTCATCACGAGAAAAAAAATTTTCACGTCTTCAATTCCTCTACCCAATCAGAGTAACGTTAACAAGCTCTGAATCTGATAAGATACAAAAAAACTAGCATTTTAGTTTTCCTCGAACTTTATTCGCAGTTTTCTTAATGCTAGCCATTAGCTCATCCAATTCTTCCTTCGTTTCTGCAAAATATAAAGTCAGCCATCATATAAAAACCATTTATTTTTTTATTAAAGAGAAAAATGATGAGTCCAGGCTGAACTCGTCACGTAAGAGATAGGTTCACTTAAAAGTTATCAAATCAGAAAAAAGCTAAAAGAAAAAATATTAGGGAATAGAGAACTAGAGGATATAAATCTAAAAATATTCAATCAAGAGAAAAGTGAAGAGATGCTAAAAGATTAGTTAAGGAACACAAATGATTTTGATATTCTTTTGTTTTCTGACTAAAAATGAATATAATAAATCCTGTTGAGGTCGCAAAAGAATGGCTGAAGGATAATTTATGACAAAGCTTGAAAGTACCAGATTAAAATTATGATCTAAAAGTCCGGAAAATGTTTTAAAAAATACAAGGAACATACTAGGATCATTAACTGGATTGGAAAGAATCGCTGAATGTTTCTTCTTCACTTCTTCCACATTTGATGCAATTAAATCTACACTACCCCGTATTTCTTCAACCTTAACAATCAATAAATTTGCCAATGACAGAAAAGTAAACATAATAGAGAATAAATTACTTAAATAAATTTTTCATTGCAGAACAAATAAATTTATCAGTTACAAAAAATATTCCGAGAATAAATAACCAAATTAGCACTATATGCTTTTGTCCTGACCACAATAAATCAAAATCAAGTCAATTACTCCACCAACTGAAATGAATTAAGTCCATGGAATTTTAAAGACACAAGGATGAAACCATGAAAAGTTCAACCTGTTCGAAAAATTCTTCCATGAATTGTCCCTGAGCGCTATCTGTTGCTGCCAGGTCATCTTCATGGTCATCTTCTGACTGTGCCTGGAACATTCTTGTCATTATTTCTCTTAGATTGTTTAACTTTCCCAAATTATATTGGAAACAATTTTAAAGATGAAGGGATTTAGAATTTAACAAATTGCATTTAGAATTTAACAAATTTAACAAATCAGTGACCCGTTTACTCTCATTAATTACCGAACAATTTCCTAGTATGTTGTGAGGGAAAAGGTATGTAACATCAAATCATTCAAAATGACTTATCACTGATTTTGATCCTGATAATATGGCATGAATTACAGTTAAACAATACGTTAAAGAAGGAAAAAATGTCACTTCCATCGCTTTATCATTGCTGTAGAAAGGTTAGAACCACATGCGATAGATCGGACTAGAAAATCAAACTACAGCTCAGCCAGTTTATCTCTTATTTACAAAAAAATATTGTCCTGAAATATTTAGAAATACTGAAAAAAGTTTTAAAAAGAGACATACGGCTTTAAAAGCACTTAGACGATCCTTGGTCATGACTGATTAAATGATAGAGGATATTTTTAGAACTGGAATGTTGATAAGTGACAGAAATAAAAGCAGTGCACCTTTGGTCCTATAAAACCGTGCTAAACCTTATCAGAATCGGAAATATTAAATTGTCATATCGAACCAAATCACGAGAATGACCCATACAGACGTGCAAATCTGCAAATGAAACATTTTATTATCATTGAATAAAGTGTAGCCCTATGTCGATACAATCATGTTGAATATTGCTGAATATACAGCATTGTCACAGAAAAAAGTATAAATCGATTTAGTTTGAATTAACTTGATACTGAAATCAATTCATTTTTACACCCACGCACACCAAACATTTCCGATGCAAATGGAAAAGGCTAGCGAACAATGTAATGAAAAAGAGGAATGAACCGTCCATCTGAAACAAAAAATCAAACAAAATAAATAAAATGGACGACAGTTAAACAAATAAATAATTAACCTGCAAATAGTCATAGCAAATTATTCAGAAAACTGGAACTAAAGCAAAAGAGTTGTACAGTAAAAAGGTAAATAATGCTAAATACTCAAAAATACTAAGCAGTGTGAGTAAGTCAGCAAAATGGTAACAGCAATGGATATCACTGAATGCATTTTAATAGTGAACCCCTACAAATGTATCAGTTAAAAGTTATGACTTCGATAACTCAAGAATCTATAAAGAGGAATGCGTGTGTACAATGATTATGAATAAACTTTTATAATCTCTAAATTAGAACTTCGTTGGAGATAATCACAGTGGAACCTAACAATCACTCGAGTTTGTCAAAAACCTTATATTTATCAAGCAGAATGAGGTAATGCTACTAGCTTACTGAAAAATCTTGGTCATGTTAATTACTAAGAAATCTGAACGCTAGTACGGAATAAAGCTGCAGACTTTCAGGAGTGCCAAAGATGCTCAGTGCTAAAAACTTTGTAATACTTTAAAAGATGGCGTTAAAAACATTCAATAGCTTTGTGAAACACAGTTGTCGAAACATCATTTCTTGAAACTACTTGAAATCTATGTAATTTCTGAAAATTTCTTTTTCTGAAAGAGTTTATTTTGGAAGTTGTTCTCGGAGAATTTAGTGGCTTTTTATTTCTTTCTTTGAAAATTTGATAATTTCTATCTCTTTTTGTTCTCATTTTTTTTTTTCAATTTGCTTCGAATTTTGCCATCCAAGTATGATTAAAAAATTCTTTATAGCAATCAGATGGCATTCAAATCGGATTTCCTACAAGAAACAAGGATTCTTAAAAAGAATATATTGTCTAATGACGTATTTCTTATCTCATCTTACTGAAATCTAAAATAAGTAAAAGTTCAATTAAGCAAAAAGAAAAACCAAAAAAAAAGAGTAAACTCATAAATATATGTGTTCACGTGTTTATAATCATAATACTAACTCATAAATATATGTGTTCACGTACTTTCTCACTTTTTCACTCATTCGTTTGTTGAGTAATTCATCCATTCTACTTGCTTGCTCATTTACACACATTTCTTCATTCATTCCTTCAGCAAACTTATTACATATTTACTTATTCCACTAGAAATAGGAAGAAAAAAATCATTTAAAGCGGGCATCATTGTTATTTTAGATAACACAAGTTATTCTGTCGTGAATACTTTTTTCCACCAATCTGTACTGTAATCCTATTCCATCCATTTAAAAGATTAAATGACGATATTCGACAAAATTTATACTCTTTAATTGTGTATTGACTTTTATTTCAAATCCGATCATCAGCTGATGTTCAACATCAAGAAGTACCATCCCTTATTGTATTCTGCAATTGGCACTTTTTTCTTTTAATTTAGTAACGAAAGATCTTTCAAATGGAATTTCAATATACGTATGCTAGAAATTTTCACGTGAATTAATAATCACCTTTTTGGATTAGGATATGGCATACTCACGTGTTATGAATGAATTTCATTTCCGCATTGACGAGAAAGATTTTAACTTATAGTGCGGATATGGGAGCAACACATGAGAATATGTATGTTACGCATGAGTGTTCATCATGACAGAAAGAGTATTAGTTGTGAGATGTAATGAATAAATTACGACATGAGAAGTTATACAGAGAAAAAAAAATTGTTATGGCATATAAAGAGAAGAAAAATGAAAGTAAATGATGTAGGCTTTATTTCCCAAAAACAAAAAAATTCAGAAATGGATAATAGAATTCAAAAACATTGAAATTTATACTTCCACTGCATAAAAACCAACAGCATGACAATATAAATTAACGCTAACACAGATGAGAAATGAGAAGAAATTTCAAGCACCCGTTGCAAAACGTTCCACCCACCCATAAATACTAGAAAAAGGAGAGCACGGCCCGTGGTCGATCGCACTAGTTCAATATGCTTACTGGAAAGTATCAGCAGATTGCTTTTAATTCAAATTAGTTATTATTATTTATCTATTATTTATTGTTTATTAATTACTATTATTTATTGTTATTTGTTATTTATTATTATTTATTATCATTATTGTTATTATAATTACTACAATATTATAATTACTACTCAATAATAGTATTTGAATTAGGAGAAAAAGCAATAAAAGAAGTGGAATGACTATTAAAATTATATTCGATACAATTGTTTCATCACTTGTTTGTTTTATTACTATATTTCATAATAAGAAAACGTTAGCCTTATTGCTTGGGAGTAAAAGTTATAAAAAGGCCTGCAGAGATGAAAAGTATTATTCATTTCATATCTTTAAAAATGACGAAAACATGAACCTCTGTTCAAGCTTCTGTTCCTTCTGTTCTATTTCAATTCTTTAAATCGCAAAATGCTACGAGAATCATGGAAAAGTGGAACTTTTTGACTATAGTTCAGCAAGGAAATTAAGCAAAATTAGGTGATGAACCATAATACTGTCAATTACCACAATAGAATATGATAATATAGAAAGGTTACGGTAACAGAGGGTACAGTATTCGATTATAAATTAGATGGAAATGCATGTTAGCATAGAGAGAGAAAGATTATGAAGTGAAAGTCAAATAAGTTAAATATGAGATATGCAATGATCTATTAGGAAGAGAAATGAGAGAGAGAGAGAGAGGGAGAGAAGGAGAGATCAATAAAACACAAGAGGCATGAGGTACACGGAGAACGTTTGTTAGGCCTAAAATATTTCTCGGATTTAAAAACGAAGAAGACTGAAATAAAGATATATACACATCAATAGATATATAAAATGATGACTAAGATTTGATTTAAAGGTGGTGAAAGAGGCATTTTTTGTTGGAGAAAATAAGAAAAGCATTCCTTCACGGCCTAATGTTTTCAAGGGAAAATCTATGATTATAAAACAATAACAAAAAAATGAAATCAATGCCATTATATAACAGTAACCAAGGATACATAGCACAAATTGAGCACACATACACACACATACACATACACACACACACACACATACACACACACATACATACATATACGCATGGACATATAGAGATGGTTAGTTCGGGGCACTCTTTGTAGATGATGATCGATTGTTGATGTGGTTGATAGGAAGAGGGATAGTTGAAGTTTGTCTGGAAGAGTGTAGTATTAGTAGGAGCAGCTATATACATAGTCAGGAAAAACACTGGCTGATGTGTTTGCATATTGTTGTGCTCCAATAACTTACTTATCCTTCCAGTATTCCTAGTATTTTGGTATGAATTTATTGTAGGCGGAAAGGATAAGGATTCGATTATATCCGCAAGACTAGGTAATTAGACGGATAAGATTGTGCTGATAATGATGGCAACTAAGAGAATAATAACATAAACGGCTAGAATACCATATCATGCCGGTATGAGGATTCCATTAGGTTTAGGCTTAGTAATAGATGAAGCGATATAGCTAGCTAGTGCGGATTATTATTGAATTATATTTTCAAAATGTCAAAAAAAGTTTTCTCCTTCATCCGTTCCATTCTTTTCTTTTCAATACCCTAAAGAATTGATTCTCTCTCATAAGCCTTTCTATTGCGGTAAGATAAATACAAGAAGCTTAGGATTTCATACTATATCTTTCATCTGACCATAATAGAAATAACTGAGTAATTAATTAAGTTGAAAATTTTCTAATCATCAACTGATATCTCTCTTCATCAAATGAAATATTCAGAAATTATGGAAAAAAATGAAATTAAACAAAGTTTCTATGCAATAAACTATTTATAATATAAAAATGCTAAAAATTGTTGGGTTATCTCGCTGAAATATCAATCACACTATGAAGAATTATTTCAGACAATTGATTAGACGAATAGCTAGCTGGCTGAAATTGCTATCTTCCGCTATGCTATTTATAGTAAAGTGTTGAGTCTGTTAAAATTATCATCATCAGAGTATCAAAAAACTGTCAAAATAGCTGCAGCAATTGCAATTTATTTTCCAAAACATTGATTGATCGAATAGAATTGTCTTCTTTATCGATAAAGAGAGAGAAAGAGAGAGAGAGAAAGAAAAGGAAAAGATTGTTAGTTAGTAAATTACATTCATTTTTTTTTGTTGTTATTTTCCTGAAAGCCATAGAAGTGCTTTTATAGTAATAAATGACTTGTGACTGGCTATAAGCTGTAAGAAGGATCTATTCCTATATTGATTACCTATTCTAATTTAACTTTTGCAAAAAAACGATAACTTATGAAAATGTACATTCTAGGTAGTAGTAAGATTGCTGAAAATAAATTGATTATAGTTTATGCTTCATTTCTACAATTGATAAGATAATAAACAAGAAAGGCATGAAAGAAAAAGTAAAACTTCTCAGATGCCTAAAGGAAGTGGCAAAAAGAATGAAATTGAATGCAAAAATGAATTATGTGAATTAAAATGGTATCATTTATGATAATACACTTTATATTTGCACAATATTTATGACATTTGTTAGAATTCAATGGGTTGCTGGGTTGCTTATTATCATCTATGGATAGATCGAACCTGCAAGTGACATATATATGGTAGCTGCTTAATGTGCCATCTATTCCTATATTGGTTACTTATTCTAATTTAACTTTTGCAAAAAAAAGAACTATAAATCAATAATTCTAAAAACTACACCTCAGCTGGCCAAACATGACTGGTAACTTCATGGAATTGTGAAGGATAAACAAAATTAAAATTGATTTTCAATTATTTCCCTCAGGTGAATGTAGTTAAGGGACAGAATATGTAATAGCCAAGTCAAAGTGCTCATAAAAAGTTACAGAACGGTTAGAGAAATATGCGCTTTCCATTTACTGATATTCTAACTGGATTTGATATTAAAATGGAAAGGATTTTCAATATTAACACTTCAGAATGAAACTTGAACATAACAATTGCCCAAATAATTCGTGTAAGCAATGTTTATTTCCTGCGATAAGAGAGAATAGAAGAGCAATTGCATGAGCAAACATTGCTATCGGAGAGAAATTATTCTTCTAATGCCAGGCGCAAATTATCATATATCAATATTTTAACTCTAAATGATGCATCTCAATTTATCCATGTTTTCGAATGATTAAAAAAATTGAATGCAAGGCAGTTTCGCACGGAATTCTATTGGGTTGCATTTTCGATGATTATAAATATAAAAGAAATATGATGAGGAGATATGAGATAATAAACATGTGATAAATATAAATGCGCAAATGATTGATAGTTAGTATAGCTAGCAAAGGAAACATGCGGAAAGTGCGTAAGAGTGAAAATTGAGTGCTGTTTCTAAATTTATGGGCATAGAATGCCATTTCCTGCAAATTCATGGATTTGACGGGAAGAAAAGTTTTGCAAACGGAAATGAAAGTTCGCATAAGAATTTTTTAGGCTGGAAAGTAATTGAAAAGGTAGGAAAATGGAGCTAATTTATGAAAGTGACCGCTTAGGTAAGGGAAACGGAAAAGCTGGTGGAATGCATGAATTGGTAATATCTGTTTGGATTGATTGATGTGGATAGGGTAATTGTTAAATAAAAGGATGGAGACATTTTCCGCGCTGCTACTGCAGTGCTACTTCCTCTGATTAAAAAGAAATACGTATTTTTTTTCTTTTGCTAGGCCCTTTTCCTATAAAGAGCTTTATGTGCTTTAATTTATACAAATTAAAACTGCATGCATGCATGTTCTGTCATGTGTCATGTCATATGCGTCTGTCGTAAAATGATATAAGGGTGGGATTATGATCGATTGGTTAACTAACTGACTAAGTTCATTTAAAAACTATACATATCTAAGGGCAAGGGTAACTCAGTGAATGAGAGGCGGAAACAAATGAGCTTTAGCTAAAGTAAAGCTAGAGAGGCTTAGTAGTTGTAATAGATTTACCATTGGGTTTTATCTACGTTTCGTTATAAAAATTAGTAGTAGGCATTTCAATAATCAAAATAAGGCTTGGATAAAGCTACAAACTTAGACGGTTCTGACTTGTAGACTTATTCTCTCCAGGAATAATGCGCATTAGTTATTCTATTCTTCTTCTTCAAACTCTCCTTTCTTTTTAAATTAACTTAAAGGAAAATACACATGCACACAGACAGAAGATATACATACACATATACACCATTATTCATATATTTCTCCTTTCAAATTTATGATTTTAAGAGGACTTTCGGCACATAAAGAAATGTAACTAAGTGTTGAAACTTTGAAAATATATTATATAATGGGAAGATTGTAGCCAAGAGATATGAAGTTGTTGTAGCCAGCTAAGAGAGATGAAATTGTCTCAAATGACCATTACAATTAGACTAGCCATAACATATCAAGTGGTAGATGATCGACTAGATCAGTGTAGCAATTTCAAACATTCTTTTAATTTATAAGCTCAAATTATGAAATGAATGGATCGACTTTCTTACTAAAGGGAGTAAATAAAAATAAATTAGATATGCCTACACATTAACACCTGCCATTACAGATATTCATTTAACCGTAAACATTTTCAAAAGTTGATATTATCGAATGCGAAAAATAAACGCCTAGAAATAGGAGCAGTTGATAAAAAAATCCATCGTTTTTGATTTAAAAAAAAGTAATTAATTATAATTGAGAATTGAGGCGTATATATATCTTTGCCCAACAATAAAATTAATTCTGTAACTATCAATTTAATGGGCTATTTATGACGATAGTCCTCTGTTTTTTTTTTAAAGGTCATCAGTTGAAGAGGGTAACATATGTGCTGGAATTGTCTTGTAGTCATCGCGATCGCAGCGTACTGGTGGCCTTGATTTAATCTACAACAATTAGATAATTTCATATTCAAACTTAAATTTTGACAATTTCAAAGTTATAAACTTTATGAAACAATAAAAGGTCACCAAAACCTCTGTGCTTCTTTTAGCAACTCTTTTCTTGGGAATATGCGTAGCAAATGAATCTTGCTCTCCTTTACGCTGTAATATACACTCATTTAAATATGTTAATTTCAGAATGTAAATCAATTCCGGTAGAAATTTGAAATTTTTAAATATTCAATCCCAAAAGTTTTCTAATAATTGCTATAGTATACATCAGAAGTGAACTGATACATGATGATTTAAAGATAAACTGAAGATGATGTCAAGTATAGGCTCACTTTGTACATTCAACTTTTATAAAATAAGTATTCTATGATTTTGACGAAGAGCTTTGGTCGATCAATAATATATGCCAATGCTTCTTTACTTTACTTATTTATTTGTCAGTCTCTCCCTCTCTCTCCGTAATTTATAGAGCTTAATATTTGAGATAAATATGAAATATTATGTCATTCTTTATGGAATGTTATAATTAACTAAAATATTCTTTGGTTCCTCTATCCATTCAATGCTATTACAATAAAAGAAAAGATTAACTGGAACAATAACATCTTCAGGTTGTGACTGATCCAAATTTTTCTTCAATTTTAACGATTTTGATTTCGAACATGACTGCAAATTTCTTTTTTCTTTATAAAATTTACATACAAGTCTTAGACATAAATTTGAAAAGACTTTCGATCATATCCTTCTATTCCATTCTAATAAGTTTTTTATCCTATTCACTCTTTTCTTGTTTTTATTTACTACTGTATAAAATTAAAAATTCATTGGTAGAAATCGTTAGCTCTATAAGGTAGCACGATAGTGTGATAATTTCAAACAATGATATGAAGACTACCTATCTCTCCGACAAAATGGTTTGCTTACTTGAGGAATCACTTTCATGGTTTCTGGCTGTGTTGCTTCTACCAATTTTTCGGACTAAAAAGTTCTCTAATGAAATGCTACACTATCACTTATTAGGTAAGCAAATGAATTCAATTTAGTCATCTTCAGTGATGCATAATTTCAGGACTTCAGTAATTCTCTCTGTACTAAATACTATGATGCACTTTTGATTCATAATGCTTCTTTGAAACACTTTTTTTTTGCTTCAGCTACTTCATTTTCACTTTTCGATACATTTTTGTTCCACTATTTCTACACGAATCCAATACTTACCATCATTTATTAAATAATGTACGTGATTTCATCTCCTAAACACTTTAATTTGATATAACTTGATGTTTAAATCTACAGTTTTTAAAAGTGCATTTGTCGTAACAGACGATCTTACGTTCATACGCATGTTGGAACATGCAATTAAAATACTATAACTATAACAAAATTAATCACCAATAGATGAGGAACTGATCGTGATTTCGATAATGCTTCATCGCCAGCTGTTTTAGAAGTTTGTGTTACACTATTCACCGGCATTGTTGCAGCTCCGGTTTCATCCGAGGCAGCTAAACGGTTCTGAGGTGTCTTATTGTGATTAACTGATCGATTGCAACATCCCCACCACAATAAAACTGCACTCACCAGAAATACCAAGATTGTTTGCATACTGAAACTTTCATTGTGAAGAAGATAAGCAAATAAATAATACATAATCTGAACAGGATTCCTTCCACACATTATCCCATTTTAATAATAAAGGTAATATTATTAAAAATTCAAAAAATAATATAGAATTGCTTTGATATAGAATTGAATTCAAATAGTAACATATTAATTGTAAAAATTAGATGATATTTATTTCAAATATTTTTCTTTTTTTACCATTTCTGTGAAGGATAAATCATGAAAATATTTCATTATTCTACATAATGATAATGATTGATAATATTGATTTGTTGTCATCTTCAATTATTACATGATGTTCAAAAAAATTGCAATTTAGCAGTTTTTGTATTCAGCGATTTAGAAATTCGTTTTTCTCTTATTCATTTATATCACTATCAATAGCGAAACGCACCAAAACAACGGCATATCATAAACTGCCTCCATCGGTCATCGATTTCATAAGTCCCAAACCAAGAAAATGTTCGCAAAAAGAAGAAAAAGCTTTAACGAACAATTCGGACCACTCCTTACAACTTTACAAAATTGGTAACAATAAAATTGCAGTGGATAATAGCGATTTTATAATGTCGGCTTTTTATGAAATAATGTGAAAAAGACAGCAAATATGGCTAATAAGGATCAATGTTACTGCACGAAATGCAAAATGTACCACAAAAATTAATATATAGTTTACGCAAATTCTTTATCATAAAAAATTTGCCGCATATGAAATATTGATTTACTGCGATGATCTTACGTAACAAAAAACACACCCTTCGGATTTTTCCATAAAAAAGAATGAACAGTATCGATTGTTTTAATTGATATTACGATTAATGGAGTAACAGTTTTAATTTAGAAACCTAATTTGTTTATAAAATATAGTAAATATAGCAAAAGTAACATCCGATGGTATAAATGATAAGAAGGGAAGACGAATATTGTTTAAGATTTCAATATCGATTATGTTAATCACCTAACATGATAATTATCAAATCATTTATATCCTATGGTATTCCCTCACTGACAAAATGATAGGTATTCCTTCACTGACAAGGTGATAACCCATATCAGTATTCACTTGGTGCTACAATGGATTTGTAATCTTGCAACCATTCAAAGGTAGATAAAATACTTCGAAATAGGCTATCGATTGATTCGTGCGACTTACATTTCCGATTGCATTAGACTTTTCATTGCTATATCTTTTAAAACAAAAATAGAACAAGATGGAATAGAAATCATATATACTTTTATTGGTCCAGATCTCTTCTCTTATATTTAGTTAGCACAAATGATGTTTGATAAAAGAGCGTCTTCAGAAGCAGGAATACCTGAAAATTGATTTTAAATTTGGAAAAGAGGCAATCTCTCTAGGAAATTGCAAATATCTAATAACTAAAAGTGATACATGCACAATCGTCATCAACTATGCTCCTGTGAAAATTACAGCGCTTGGATGACTTATCGATTAATGACCAATTTATATTGAAACTTAAAATCGAATAATGAAATTGACAAAGAAAAGAAAACTTAAGAACACTGAACCGTACAGACGGCGACCCGATTCATCCAGCTATCTCTACCAATATACGTTGGCGGAAGGTATCGATGATGCGCAAAACTTCCAGCAACCATTTTTATCAGATCGTAGGTCAACAGTGAACCAGCCAGTAAACATAACGAAAATGCTACTAAATTGAATATCACTTCCTAAAAATTTGCAAATCATCATAAGACCCTAAATATTATCCATATTATTTCTATATATTTTCGTGATAAAAATTATTTTTGGATTTTCTCTTTTGATAAAACATATATTCATGAGCTGCTACACAATCAGCAAAGTATGATATAAACACTTATTGCAGCTGATAAATGTTTTGAGCTATCAATATTAAACCAGTGATTAAGTACCTCAGACAAGTTTTCACATAATTAGAACAGTTTATATTTGTGATATTGAAACTAACAACATTGTAAATGTTCTTTATACCCATGTATTGTATCACCAATGTTAAGGATGTGGACATAATGAGAAAGATGGAAATAAAGAAAACCACTGTGTACATGAACCATTGGTACCTTCCATCACTGAGAAATATAACAACAACCAAGGAACATACCTGAAAGGATCATTCATATGTTACAGTCAGTAGAGCTTAATCGATCTATCGATCTATCTATTTACTGATATGGGAGTACTTGAATGTATGTAATGAAAATAATGAGCTGAAATAGATGCTCGACGTATGCTAGAGGCAACGGGAAATGCTATTAGCAAAAAGGGAAAAGAATGCAATGGGAAGCGGACAACTGATTTTATTATGACCACTATTATGATTAGTATATCTTTTTCACCGACACTAAAAGCTATTGAAAAAAATCTCAAAACTTGGAATTTCAGAGGTTAAAAATGTTTCAAGATCATTTCAAAGCTAAATGTAGACAATGATATAAACAACGGAATGGTAACTGTATCCAAAGAGAAGGAAGACAATAAAATCCATGCTTCCGTACATACAATACGTAAAGTTGAAGATGAAAAATAGATTTCTTTCTCGAAGATTCCTTCAAATCGTTGCAACAGGTCTTCTGATGGTTCTTTATCTGTTAGCAGATTATGGTGTTTTATATGTTAGCAGATTAAAGTAGAATTCAAGTAGTTTCAAATGAATTTAAAAGTATGAAAAAATATTTCTAAATAAGCAAACGGCTGACCATTTGGAGCCATTTGAGAACTGATATTTTAGAAATGCACCAAATGGGTGGACGAACGGTAGCCATTGATAAATATATCAGTACGTAAGGTTGAAGATGAAAATAGATTTATTTCTCGAAGATTCCTTTAAACTGTTGCTGTTGCTACCACTGCTACTAACTGCTGCTGTGGCCGACTTATTCCACTCTTCCAGGATATTACTGGACGATAAATATCGAGTCCGTTCTTTTTTCGCCATGCTATTTCATCTTCCTCTTTTTTTCGCTTTGATAAATTTGAGCATCCGAACTGCCCACACTTATACATACATATATATATATATGTATATATATAATGCTCATTTGTTTTGCAAATTTAGTCTCAGCTAAGGCTGAGAGCACATCCAGCCTGCGCTCATTACATACACCCCTCACCCATCCGTCATATTTCTATTTACTCCTTTACTCCTTAAAATAGGCAATTGAGTGTGCTTAAATTATTTGCAAGGAAAAATGAAATAGTAAAATAGTACCTATCATGCATTCTATCCTGTACAGTACCATTGAGCTATCTTCCTACCACACCGTATCATCAAGATATTTTGGGATTGTAAGCCAAATGATTGTACAATGTGGGAATGAGCGAGAGATGGGAAAGTTCCGTAAACCCATCGAATTAATCGAAAGTTGTGAAGGAAAAGTTTTTTTAAAGAAATTTTTATGCAACAACTGAGAAGAGGGAGAGAGAACGAAAGAAAGAAGAGGGCATCGTGGCGTCAGTCTTTCAAGGGGCAGCTCGGATAAAAATGTGAATTCCCAACCGATAGCTGAACAGGTGAAAGACGTACGCATGACGTGCCCATGGTACTACAGTACCGTACTCAACGTGTATTGTTAATAGAATAGAAAGATACCGAGGCAACCAACCAATTTCATATCAGTATTACAAGAACCATCGGTTGAGAGGTTTGTTTAGTTGCCTGGGAATAGCGGTGGAATGATATGCACGGGGCAAAAAGGGTACGGAGATTGCTGGACTTGATATGAATTGTATATTGCTCCATGTACAGCAAACACAAAGCATAAACCAACAAATTGAAATTGCTGCCAGCTGGTTGTTTAGCTTTAAACATCCTGCAAATCACAAGAGAAACGGAAACGCAAGCACCAATATATCGAATTGCACCTATTGACCTCATTGGTACCTCTCTCTCTCTCTGCATATATATACGACTGACAAAATGGATCATTTACCCCACCCTTGTCAGATTGTGTCGGGTATTATAATTACATACAGTATTGGTTGGATACATTTACTCATTAGCATCCTCTCTATTCGTTATCATCAGAGTGATAAAAGGAAACCAAGCCCTGAGGAGTATCAGGATAGATGGAAAGCCATGTAAGCCCACATTTCCCGTTCCTCTTCAAATGTAAACAAATAAAAATGCAGTGCCAGAAGTCAAGCTAAACAATGATGGGATGTACGACGTGAATGTGTGCACTTTCATTTCTACTGTTAATCACTGATACGTTGGGGAAATGATAGAAGCGCAAAAGAGAAAGAATAAAAAGAGCTTCAAATTTAACTGTATGCTATGCAAAATTTAAGGCACTGATATGTTTCAGGTTTTAATTTGAAAAAGAAATTTCCGGCACACAATATGTAAAACGATTTTAAGATTTGAAAATGTGATATGAAATGATTTCCGAAACTGAAATCATTTGATATTCATATGTGCATGTGTGTGCATGTGCATGTGTGTGTGTGTATGTGTGTATGTGTGTATGTGTGTATGTGTGTGTATGTGTGTATGTGTGCATGTGTGTGTGTGTGTATGTATGCGTGTGTGTGCCTGTACTGCATTATGGCATCCTTCGGTATTTGTTACTAAATGTGTAAAAGATTATAAATGCAATGAAGCTTTCTTGAAATAATCATTTTGTTCATTTCACAACTATCAAGCGGTTTTGTTAAAATCATTGGTTATTTAAAAGGATGGGATTATTTCGAAAGAGAGTGGTTCCATTGGTCAGTTAGTGGGATTTTTCCTTCTATGAATTTAATTGTAATTCTTTAATTTGCAACTATGGAATTCTGAAGTTGAAGATTTAAATGTTTCTATATAATAATCAAGTAAATTAAGATAGTGCAATTAGTCGTCTGATAAACTGTTGTAAATTAATTACAGACACACACTTTTCAGTGAATCATTTAATGTTTTAAATTCTTGGTTTGTATTAAATTAGATAGATTATTTAGGCAGCAATACCATTACCAACAAGAGAAAACATCGCCGAAGTACTTCATTTAAACTATGAACAAAAGGTACATTACCTTCACATTAGGTTCCTTCCTTATTTTTGTTGAAAAAGAGTAAAAGAAAGAATGTCTTTAGTTGAAAACTATAAGCTAATTTAACTTTCAATGTAAATTACTTTAATGGTAGGATGAAGGCTTATCAATTAAAGTTAGAGAATAAAATAAAAATTTTCTTATATTAGCGGCACCGTTTAATCTGTCACTTGGAAAGGGGGAATTTTTTTTGTTTCAAAAATTTTTGTTTGATTAATATTTACACTTTTTTATGGCAATGTAAAAAAGCAAAAATTAAAGATGTTACCAATGGAAAAACGTCATATTTACGATCAATTTTATACCCCGGCTTTGTATCGTGCCGAATTTGAGGCTAAACCAATGGTTCTATTCCTTGGCCAGGTTAGCTTTTTTCTTTTTGGCTCAATACAATTCAAATTCTCCATATTCTTAATTGTTGAATTAATTGGAATGATATTTAATAACTGATACCGCAAGCTAACAAATGTATAGTTTTGCTATTATGATAAAATTGAGTGTATACAATTTATTAAAGTATTCGGTGGGTAAAACATCAATGATTAAATTTTTGCTGAATGGAATGGAATATCCGGGTAGTATGATTGGACCGGAACCGACTACAGATTGCTTCACAGTCATTTATCATTCCGCTAATGCAAGTACTGTTATGGGAACATCTCTTGCATCTGATAACACATTACCATTTCAGGTTCAGCCTTTCGATTTGAATTGCTTTTAGGAAATTTTAGACGTCAGACGTTCCCAAATGAATTTTTCAATGCTAAAAATTATTTATATTCATATCCTTTAAAAATATAAAGTAAAATATCGCCACGTTCAAAAATATAAAGTGAATTCATTCAGGAACGTCTGAAGGACCTAAAATTTCCACCAATTACATTAAACGTAGATTGATTTTATGGTTGGCATTTTAAATTTCATTTGGAAAACTATTAGGAAAAACATATGGTTAAAGCAAATAATAGTATTGCATTGTAGTCATTAAATATGTTCGGTTCGTCATTCTTGACGCGAATGCGTGGTGCAACACTCCCGGCTAAATTACTTGAATATATCACTTTCATGGATACACCCGGAATATTATCCGGTCAAAAGCAGCGTTCATCTCGTGGTTATGATTTTGCATCAGTCGTAAATTACATTGCTGGGAAGGTGAGACTTCTGGGATGTTAATAAAATTTGAAATTATTTCCTTCCATATGATTTCTCCACTGATAATTAATGTACAGGTTGATATGATTGTGCTTTTGTTTGATACTTCAAAATTGGATATCAGCGATGAATATAAGCAAGTGATACAATGTCTCAAAGGAAATGAAGAAAAAGTATACTGCCAACTTCTCTTCGCTTATTTTAATTTTTATCACTAAATTTTTTATTTGCTTTCTGTGTTGTTGTTGTTGTCTTACCGATGCATTTCAATTTGTAAAGATTATCGTTTTTCTCCTTGTTCTTTGCAATATGTAAAAAGTGTAATGCGATATTCAGATTAAAATAGTGCTCAATAAGGCAGATCAGGTGGGAGCAGCAGAGCTTATACGAGTAAGAGGTGCTCTGATGTGGAGTTTGAGCCGAATCCTTGAATCACCGGAAGTTCCTAAAGTTTTCATCGGTTCCTTTTGTACTGAAGATTCCAGGGACGCAATTGTTCGTGTTCTTGTTTTCTTTTCCAGTTATATTTAAATGTAGGAGAAAATTTCTATTCCCGTTTCAATGAAAAATTAAATTTCTCTTTTTTTAAAGTTTATTTCTCAATCATTTTAAAATTTAGACAGACGAAGAAATGCTTGTCAATTTAGAGTTCTGAAGTGCATGAAATTTTTACACAAGAATATATCGATTTCTTCGATGAATTAAAATTACTTCCATCGGGTTGTAATGTGCGTAAGCTAAACGACGTGATCAAACGTGCCAAAAAATTGAAAATTCACGCACTCATCATGGAGAATCTTCTTAAGAAGGTATGCATATTTTATACATACATCAAATTTCTTTGTCATCGCATAAACCAATCATTTTGCGCAGTGTAGTGCATCTTTCAATGATTGACATGACTGCATGCCATGCACAATCGTTTCACACATCTTTCAAGGCCGATTTACCGTGTTTAACCATTAAATCAATTCTTTTGATTATGGTTTCACTACTAAAATATCAGTTTGCAAGACCAACTTTCATGCGCTATTCACAAACTATGCATTATGTTAATATAACCTATGGTACTCTGCAGTTGCAGGAACAAATTTTGAATTTTGCTTTATGCAAATTTTGATAAATTATACCAACTATTTTTTATTGACAAAGTTTCGACCACAAATGTCTAACGAGTAGATAGTTTAACCAGGGTAAATTAAATAAAATGGTTTAGGCATTGGCAGATGAGCTTTTAGGACCAACCTCAAGGATAATAGTGTCAATGCATTATTAGTAGGTGTACATCGGATAGTTCTGGTGTGAAAGGTTACTTACGCTATAATCTTTTATTCATTTTAGATGTGGTGTAAGTCAAATGGTGAACTGAAGCGTGTTGCAACACAACGTAATATGCTTCGAATTTTGGAAGATTTTAGGCAACGTTTGCGTGTTGCAGAAAGCGATTTACCCGACATAATGGTATGTTCAGTTACGCTTTTTCATCTGTGGAAATTTCGGGTAAAACATGAGATAAGGATGCAGGAAAAAATTTGTATTCTAGTATTATTGCAATGTTTTCCACTTCTTTCCATAAATATATCTAATGCAAAAGCAGCAAATCGTACTGTAATATCGCATGATATATTTGCGCTTCCGCATGCAGCGTTCATGTACTGCGCAACATGTTATTTTGTAGCAATTTCTGGAAAGGGCCCGTTTGTCATACATCAAAGGATGGAATAAAGTGGACGAGGAATTGATGCGTAATTTGGATCAATTCATCAGCGATGATATACCCAAGTGAATGAATTGAATTGAGAGACCGATATAAGACTGTTGAATGAGATTGCAATTAATATCGATCTCTTTATTTTCTTAAAAATTTGTAAATTAATTGGTATTCACCGATATGATGTGTATTGTATCATATCTCTAATATTATAAATTAGATGGATTTGTAGTGATTAGGTTGATTCAATGGAATTTCTTAGCATTAGTTTAAATCATTAAGAAAAAAAGAAACGCTAATTTATTGAATCTTTTTAGAATGGTAGCAGCTGTGCAAAGCAAAGATCAAAAGATCATGATTCCGAGTGTCCTTGAAGATTTATACGTAAATCTAATGAATAAAAGAGTACTGAAAGAGAAGAAAACGAAAAGGCATAGGAAATCCAAATCAGACAAGCCGGAAAGAGGTACACCGGAATTCAAAGAAGATAAATCGAAATCTAAAGAAGACAAACTAAAATCTAAAGAAGATAGACAGGATTCTAATGAAGACAAAGCAGACAAGCAGAATAAAGATGTCAATAAAAATAGTGTAACGAATTCGAAATCCGTAAAAGAAAACCAGAAAAAGGCATAGAGACAAAAGAATATCCAAAATGTATATATTATTGTTATTTCATTCTTATACTTCCTATGCAAATTACCATAATTGTAATAAACTATAAAAAGCAAAAAATGTCAAATGGCATGCAAACGTAACGAGTGACGACACCTAGCCGGATGTACATTCGGAATAGACAATCCGGAAAAGGAAAAATAAAATGAAGTCGAACAATAATTTCACATTCAGTTCTAAAAATATGAGTATTATTTATAAATTGGTATGGACTTAGTCTCGAAAAAATTCGGAAGAAAAACTGAACAATAATTTAAGATTTAGATATGAAAGTATAAGTATTATTAATTTATTCGTTTTAAATTATAAATTTAGAAATATGTGATATGTTAAATATAAAGTGATACTACGATGTGATGTGATTTTTCTTATTATTATTTAACTGAAATACGATATGTAATTGAATGGAGGGGGAGGAGAAGTGATACAAATATACCAGCATATCTTTCTATTTTAATTTCTAATTGGATATTCCTGCCTGCAAAAATAAGCAAACAAATGGAAAAGCATGGGAAAATCAAGGGAAGGTAGGCACTTTCATTTCTCATATTCAATAGGCAAATACCTTTTCAATTTACCTTATCCTGAAAATTACTAAGTCCCTGTCATTTGACATTCTCACTGGCCTTGTATGTCATCATCCCATTCGACTCCCATAGGTAAGAAATGTGGCTATCATTTCAGGAACTAAAGACTTAATAAATTGCATGATATAAGTGAAACCATAGTGTTGTGATGCGTTTCAACGTTTTAACTCTCTTCATTATACACCTGTATCTGTCTCCTAAAAAATAGGCGTTTATCATTTTTTTGGTTTAGAATAAAAAAGGAAAAAGAAAAAGTTTTGCATTTTATTGCTAACCGTTACAATAATACTAAAATATTCATAGCGAATATTTGGCACTTCAATTACAACTTCGGAATTTTTACAACTTTTGGTAAATGAAAAAAATCATTGAAAAAGGAAAAGAAAATGGATGAGTGGGAAAATTTGTCACAGAATGAATCGGTAAAATTAAAATTCAAATTTATTTCTTTAATAACAATATGATCACATCGAAGTAAAGACCTAAATTGTAATGATCTAAGAGTACTTGTGAGTGGACAAGTGATTCGAGAGTAGAGAGTAGTAATTAATCGAAGTGATCAAATTCTGCGGCTCTTATCATTCATCCGTACTGTTTGCAGCGTGCAATCTTTTTGTAAGACATAAACAACATGTGTGCATTGATTTGTGATAAGTGTTTTGTTTGATTAATAAACAATTTATAGAGGTGATAGTTTCAAAATTAAATGATTTCAAAAAGATTAAAAACTTGTAGTTTCTGAAACAATTTACATTTTAAAATTGTTGTTTGGTTTGATAGACTTAATGTCAATATTAATAAATCATCAAAATTCCTGCAATTTAAAAGGCAAAATTTCGCATCGCTGATTTTACAACGACAACTGATGCATATCAATGTTTACTTGATATATTTTTTTAAATAGCTTAATATTTTTGCAAACTCAGAATATTTCTGAAAGACACAGAAAACAAGAGAGAAAATTTCAAAGGATAGGTGCTAAGGATTATAGCTTTTGATAAACTTTAAATGAAACTATTGTTCATATACTTTCCATCGATTAGACTTTTGATTACGCGTGATATCTGTCTTGTCAAAGTGTATTTTATCTTTATTATAATTTTAAAAGTAATTAATTTATTTGATATTTCAGAATGCATTCACTTTTCGAGCGCTAAAGTGAACATCAAATGGGAAAGGATGAGTAAAAAACAATTTTCATTTTACCTATCATTCATATACATTGCATCGCAAATTATTTTACTTCAAAGATTTTTAAATTTTCAAAAAGCTAAACAGAACAAAAATCTTGAAATTGAAATTTAGTTTAATTTAATACTCACAAAGAAAAAGAGTTTCCTCATTATCTTTTTTATCTCTTTTGTTTTAGGACATAATGAGTTTGTACGAATAACTTGTCAGGTATGTGGTGACAAAAGTTCTGGACGACATTATGGTCTATGGACATGCGATGGGTGCAGTTGCTTTTTTAAACGAAGGTATTTTTTTTTTTTTTGAAACTGTTATGAATAAAAATTTTGAAACTAAAATTTGTTCGATTGTGAAATTTTATCTAATGATTATTACCAAGCCTACTCCTCCAATCAATGCAATGCTACCTTAAATTAACCTACTGAAAATGGCTCAAAATGCCGTACTATTAAACTTTTTCAGAAAATTCATCAACCGAATAAAAACCATTATTCATTCTAATTTATTTGTTAAATTCCTCAATTCCTTACGATATCTGGAATAACAGTTTACTTATCACTGATCTTCGATTTCAATAATAAAAAGCTGAAAAACAATGAGATGATAACACTTATTAATGATGTACTGCCATAATAAAGATTAGCTCTACTTGAAATTTAGAATTTTAAAACTTTCATTGAAGAATGACTGAAACCAACCTGATTGTATATGATCGTGGATTCGTAACCTAATTTACGAAAACCTCTCAAAACGTCATTTTTTTTACAGTATTAGACGCAACATTAGCTACACCTGCGTTTGTGAGTTTTTATTATAATTTGGTATTATTGCATTTGCTTTGTGATATCTGTGGTAGTAATGAAGTTTTTGCGAAAATCAATTGTTCACGTTCGTGAACAATTGATTTTACTTCATTCCTTCGCAAACTTTACTTCGTCTTTACTGTACGGATTGTAATAAAATATCGTGGCATGATGTACGTGAAACAGAATCCAAATACGCTTCAGTATATAACTATCACGTGGTTGTTTTCGCATTGTTTCAACAGATATTATCGTGAAACATTAAATCTTTTGCAAGAAGTGTTGCACGAAATATAACAAAAACTTTGAGAATTAATTAATAGCTTTTAATTAATAACGTCACTTGGGATTGCAAAAATCAAATGATATTTTCTGCTGCTAAATATGAAGTACTTCCTTGCTAACTTCTACAATAATTTCGACATGATATAAAATAAGTTGCTATGTATATGGGATTGCAGCTGGTGGTAATAACTGTCCTGTTGATAAAACACGCCGGAATTGGTGTCCCTCATGTCGATTGCGCAAGTGTTTTCAAATGCAAATGAACAAGAATGGTAAGTTTGATATATTTGATAAGTGTTGACTGATAAGAAGTAGTTATTTTGATTAATGAATTATAAGAATTTTTTTTGAGAAAATAGCTTAAAAAGAAAATTTCACTTCTTTAACTCTGCAGCGGTAGAGACCATTCAATTAATTCATTCATTAATTTATGTTCGCAAGTAAAATTTTCAGCATTTTTGTCTTGCTGAATTCAATTCTCATTTAAACTTTTTCAAAGCACAACAAATATTAATGATTCAGACCACTTTAACATAAATACCTATTTAATATATATGGAATTCCTGAAATATCTTCCGCATCTTTGTATTACTAATCGTTAAAGTTTACCGGAAAGGAATTTTGAAATTCATTTCCCAATTATTTTTCATAAATAGCTCAGTGCTACTTATGAGGCTGTTAAAAAGGCTAGAGAAATATCTTGAAAAAGTTTGTTTGCATAGCTCTATGATTAGCACATTTTACAAATATTTCATTGGATTAGCAAATCACGTGAGGTTAACATATGGACAACACGATCACTTAACATGCTCGCAATATCTGAAATTTTTCCAAAAAAAGAAGATCAGATTATTGCACGAAATTAATTGTCGGAATAGCAGCAATATGTTTGCATGCACTATTACCGAATTTCAGAAATATATGCAATTTAATCTAGTTTCGGTTTGAATTCAATTTATTGAAGCCATACAAGTTGTATTTATGAATCTGAAGGACCAATATACTTTTCAGTATTTCTCCTCTATTCTAATAATATATTTGGGAATATAGCTTTGAGAGTATACATAAATCGATATGCAAAATTTACTTCAAATTTTAAATAGTAACAAAAAAGAATTATAGCAGTGCAGAAAGAACGTGGTCCACGTGGAGATAAACGATCAAAATTATTGACAGAGTATTCAGTCATTGAAAAAAGTGAGTTTGATAAAGAATTTCGATATAGAATTGATTTAGCTTTTTCATATTACTTTTTCAGAGTAAAAAGTATTTAATGATATAATAAATAACAAAGAGTTCACAATATTATTGATAACTCTCAAAAGTTAAATTAAACTTACGGGTTAAATTTCATTTCTCACTGTCTCGAGGTAGTTGACGGAATATGAAAGTAAACAGTGTTTCCAGAAATTTTAATATTTAAAAAAGTTATCTGAAAATAAGATTAAAGCCTTCTTAATAAAAAGCATTTATGCTATCGTAAATTAAACAAAAAGGCTTGATGATTGACGTAATTAGTATGTTCCGAATAATCAGGAGACTCACATATTTGGATGTGCTGGATGGTTGGACAGTTTGGATAGTGCAATACCTGGCCCCTCGTTTATTTTTTTTCTGATTGGCTCTACTGACTATCTTGGGATGTAATAAGGGTTAATCATAGCCAGAATTTTATAGATCAAATTTTACAAGCCATTGCTAAATCGTTAAATTTGAATAAAAATGACAATATCTTTAATTAAATTTAGAGGAACAAATGTTGATAGAAGCAATTCGACGTCCACTTAATGTAATTTTGATGAGTTTTGTCTCGCCGAAAGATCAATTTGTAATCCTATCTCGGTACTGGCCAGTATTCTTCATACTTCAATGCACTGCTGCTGTAGAGCTTCCACCTCTTCGTGATCTAAAGGTTAAGGAAAAATTCTCAATCAATATCTGTAAATGTCAATGGTCTTAATATGAGCAGATTAATCAGTCAAAAAAAATCGGATTATTATCTTTCGTACGTTGATACTTAGTAATATACAACGTCGAAATGCGCACTGCATTTAATGATTGAAATGTTATGTTTTTATAGTTTTTTTTCCAAAATGAAGATCAAAGAGATGACTGATTCCGAAGTTCGTGAAATTTTTGAAGTCATCCAAATTTATTTTTATTATTAAATAAAGATTTATTATGATATCGGAAAATTGATTCTCACTTGTACAAACGATAATATCTTCAGCTAAATGAAGTGATACAATCAGCAAGGAGAGACAACTATATGAGAAATTTAGACAGTGAAGAAATACGGCTAACAACCTGTTACGCTCTCTGCAAATTAGGTGTCATTCTTTTTGTATGTTAAAGTTTAACAGAGATTTTTTAATAAAATTTAAGTTAAATAGAAAAAAGAATTAGCATCCCTAAAATCAATTTAATTTTCATTTAATTAAGAATGTTGACTGATTTTCTAATAGAGTAGAATAGCAGATGCACGCTTCTGATATAAATTACAGTAAGTATCGCCGGATATGAAAACTTTAGTAATATTATTAAAAGGAACTTTTTTTTACTGCAAACTATATTACAGGTCGGAGAAATGGGGAGTTAAGTTTTGCTTCCAGCTTGGATAGTACTTATCGATATTGGTTATCACGTCATTGCTCTATTTTTTATCCACACTTATTAAATCGAGACGAACATATCGTGAACTATACGGACTTTATATTGCTGTATTGTGAGTATATCTCGATAACCGATGAGTTTACACCATTTACGCATCCAGCAGATGTTATTCGAACTCTTCTAGATATTCATGAATCGACTTGACAACATTGTATGACATCATTGTCATTTGAGAGGTACTACACTTGGTTTAAAATGTAACCTCAAAAATTGCAACACATTTAAGAAAGCATCATCAGTTCATACCTTCCTTTGCATTTAGAGATGGAAAGTACCCTATGTACCCGTCCATTGAATTTAATTAAATATATGTAAAGGAAACGAACCGCAAAACCCCTGACAGAAATTACAAAAGATACTTTATAAAAATTCCAAATACATCAAAAGATCAGGAACCAATCGATGTTCTGTAATATTCAATTTACTTTAGGAATGTTTCAGATCTGCGTATGGTAACTAATTTTCATGATATAATTTGAACTCGCACCAGCTTTAACAGCTTTCATTTACTTATTGAAATGTTGAAAACACCAACCTTTTAAGCACATTTATATTTCAAAATAAACTGAAAACACACAAAAAAGAAAAAAGAAACAAGCAGTAAACGTAACGTGTCATCATCGATAATAAGAATAGATCACATCTTGCACATCTTTATTATAAGACCTGTAAAATGACGTAACGTAAATTGAAATGAGGGGAAAACAATTTTTGATAATAACGAAAATTATAACTCACAGCTCTAACAACCATCGTCAGAGAAGGTAAAAAGAGTGGACAATAATCCACTACTCTATAATCAACAACCCTCTTCTTGACTTTTTCGAACGCAGGCTGCTACACGTTTCTTGAATTCAGAAAAATTTTCGCGCTGCATCTTCTATAAGAAAATAAAAATTTTTAGTTCATGAAACTGAAGAAATGAATCTTATTAAATTAAAGCTAAGTTGATATCTCAAATATAATATGCTGCCGTGTGCTTTTTTGGCTTGTTTGAAGGTTGTGAAACACATGTCAAGCCTTGCTCTGACATTTGTCAGCTCTCAAAGTGCAACAAAAAATTTGAAACATCTCAATGTTGACAACCTTTATGGTTCAAAATATGAATTCATCATAATTACCGTCAGTGATATAAAAAATCAATAAACCTTACCGCAGCATCAACATTTGCAGGCGAATCATGATTTGGATCTGCTAGCATCGATATAACAGAAAGAAGAATTGTTTCTACGGTATGCACAGGTAACCACCTCTCCTCTGGCTTCTCGTAACCCCATCGATCATCTCCCGGTTCATGTAATATCGATATACACACGTTACCCTCCTTATCAACTAAAGTAAAAAAATAATGAACTGAAGAACTCCAATGCATGAAACCAGAGAGAGAAGTCAGAGAGGACGAGCACAATATAGAAATATTTCAGCATATCAGGGAAAACCTGAGCTCCCCGAACATTTACTAAGGTATGTATTCTGTTGATGGAGCAACACATACCAGCAACCCTTTAAAGGACTTCAATAACCGTGTAAGAATTTTTACTTCACCTACCCATTAGTTAAGTATTTTGCGGCTTGAATCCTTTATTCTAGCCGGATAATCGCGACATTATAGATTGGTGGGGTATTTTCTACCTTGCTTCAACACTATCGTGGTCGAAGTGACCGTATCATATTTTGTGGACAGAATGTAGGGAGAGAATTTTTTACAATGATTCCTTTTTCAGACTCCTTGAACATAAATTTTTTGTAAAATAATGGAAAAATACACATACTATTCGGGTGCCAAATTTCCGAAATGAACTTCATTTTTGGCGGTAACAGTGGGTATTCCTTCGGAAATTCCAGAAGCGCCTTGAAAAACCCTCCTTCGCTAAAACAACCATATTTTCAAAATGTATATTTATTTTTATCTACCAAGAGTTTTACTTTATAATATATATCAAACTGTGCGCGAATCCCATGATGTGACATCATATTATAACAGTTTATATTATAATCGGCCCATCAATTGAGAAAATTTCCCGATGAATTTGTCCAGCTGTATAACTGCCTATACTTCAGACTATCTAATACCCTTCGCCGATAGTATCCTCAAAAGTGAACTACTTCTTTAGCATAGCTAACATGAGAAAATCATGAAAAAATTATTTGAAACAAATTAACTAAAGAGTGTCGGGTGGTCCGATAACAAGCACTTCCCATTTGTAAATATCATCACCTTGAAGACCTGCTGAAAATCCGTCAACAGGAACTCGTTTCAATTCTGTAACAAGATTAATTAATTTCAATTTACATTTTTTTACAATCACGCATTTTGCAAACCCTAACATGTGCTCCGGTATCATCTAGAAATCTTCCACTGTGTACATTCATTTTCAAAAGATATGACAACAGCTGAGAAAATTAATTTTCCTTGACATCCCCATTATTTCTCCTCTTATTCATCACCATCTTAACCTACGGTGAGATGAACAAAGTTAATCAATAGAGATATCTTGTTGAGATGTCCTTTCTAAAAATAGACTTAAATGTTTGCAGTACCAAACTCGGTTTCAAGTAAACCGTTATGATTTTCCTCTACTGAAACTCACGTGTGTACAACTTTCAGTAATCCGTGGTAAATATCAAAAATACAAGTTTAAAGGAATTCGACTTATAACACATATGTAGCAAATAATTCAAGGTTACAATGAAAGAATTCTTACCTGCAAGTTGTTTTCTCAGAAGAAGCGCCGACTGTAATTCACCCATGCTCCTCCACTAGATAAACCCACTGCACCACCAATACAGACAATAACCGACCCTTTCTTTGGTCACCGAAAATAAAATTAACTAGTTCTGGTCATTTGTTAACTAACAAAAAAATCGATGTGTTGAGCAAACAAAATATAATACGTGAAATGTGACATGTCAGGATTACTGTCACAATTACTACCATGCTAATAAAAGAGTAATTAAAAATAAAAATCAGTGATATGCCTAACAGCTTATTTGTTCTCTTTTTCAAGTATAACTGTGCTTTGCACAAACCGGTTTATGATCAGTTAATACTTGGTCACTCGCGTAATTTGACACTAGTATCGATGTTTCAAACAAAACTTATGATACTTACTATTTGATTTGAAGTTTCTACAAATCTTAGATCAAGTAATAAACACTACTCTATCCCATTACTTTTGTTTTTCTGTTACAGAAATAGTAGTGAAAGTACAACTCCCTTTATTTCTGTACTGTTCTACTTTCATTACTGCTGACCAATAGTAGTGAAAGTAAAATAGTACAGAAAAGAGAGAGGAAGAGAATTCATAATTTAATGATAACTTTCAATTTCAGAAATTTTAAAGTCAGAATATAGTGAATTAGATGTTACAAAAGCATGATTTCTTTTTTTAATCAACGCTTCCAAACAAGCGAGATTGAAGACTTCACACGAAAACAAATACAATCACAAAGACATTGTCGCCACTCCAACTTTTCCCTATGGCGCCCCTGAAAAATCTCACATTGATAAAGCTTCACGGTCCACAACTTCTATCAACATGATATACCGCATGGTCTAAAGCGGATGTCAGTGTAGCATATTGCGCAGTGTGCGGATGTTAGTGTTCTGTTTTGTGGTCGTAGTTTCTATCACTTTTTATTGTTAACTGGAGGTTTACCGGTGTCTTTGACATCTCTGTGTCTATCATTCTCTCTCTTTTAGAGATCGTGAATGCACGTTCGAGAGCTGACAATACCGCGAACATTGACCAATAAGTGATATCACCATGTCGATAAGCACTGGTAAACCATGCAACACAGAATGGTACTTATGCTCTTCGGACATTTTTATTGCCTTATTTGGTGAGGCTTCAGATGCAGGCGCAGTATGTTAGATCAGAAAAGGAGAACAATTTCTCAACCAAATTGCATTAGCATATCGCTAAAATTGAGATTATCATAGCAGAATTAATCTAATTTCGATAATAAGTATATATAGCAGTAATACGTCTGCATTGATAAGCATCGTTTTAGCAGGCATATCTTTGCTATTGAAGATGAGGTCATAGCTATATTCGACTCGAACGTAATATCGGTCGCAGTGATTAGTTATTGTATTTTGGACAGCCGAGATAGTACCTCAATGTGTTGGATCTTATTTCCGTTCCATTCTCCGCCACTTCTTTTTCTCCCATCACTTCTTTTTTAATTAGTCCTGATTAGGAAACATAGGAATTATCTAGTTGCAAATAGCTCTTATCAATCAATTTCAAAAATTAAGACGTTGGACAGACATAATTCGTACAAACTCTTTGCAAGAAAAGCACGTTTTTAACTAAATGTGCGTAATATATTTTAAATGGCATATGAAATAAACGATACATATTTTGCTGCGAACACAGTGATATTTTTTTGAAGCAGTAGAAATCACTGTTTTTTTGAACATTTCCATATCTTTTTAACATAGGAAAAAATACCCGTGTATATATACTTGCGTTTTACATGAATTTATGAAAGGACGATTAACATATAACTTCAACCGTCTGAAACCGTTGACATATGACGTCAAAAATGAGTGATATTGCTTTTGTAAACATCCATATTTCGCCCTAAACCAGATGCAGATAATGCAAAAAATCATGATAATGATGAAGTGAACAGAAACCATCAGCTGCTGATGGTTCGGAATAAATGAGGCCAATTAGTTCAAACCACCAGCAGCATACTAATCAGGTAACCGACTCGCTTCGCTGATTCGTTCTGGACAATTGTCATGTGTGGCGCTTAATTCTGCTACACAGCACTTATCTATAAAATTGCGACACTCAAAAAGAATTGTCCCAAAAATATTCAGTGTGGAAGTACAAACATACGGATTTCATAAGCCAAAAAATATTTGTATATGCACCATAGATTCCGTGGATTCTTAGCGTGAGATTGATAACTGAGGGATAAAGCAATATATCTAACAAATCAGTGGTATATATATACATATATATTATATAAGTAAACTGTTCGTATGTCTAAATTGATGAATGTTCACAAGATAACTTTAATAATTCTCTTTCTATTTCGCGTAGTACTTCTCATGTCTTCTAAGCTTCTTAAACAGCGGGGATATTAGAATGACAAAATACGCGAGGGCTAGGGGGCTTAATCGTCTGTTATGCACCTAGAGTGGTTGATCATGCAAAGCGAATATCATGCGACGTCGTAGATGTAAGCGGAACTCATCAAAAAACAAAACTGCATGCAACTTAATGGAATGGAAGTATCACATTTAGACGAAAGGAGAAGGTAGAGAAAAAGTGGAACTTTTTCATTAGTAAAAAGCTCATTCTCGAAAATGCTCCTCGCAATTTTATTTTTATCACCAATTAATGCTTTTATCTTTGAAATTGATGCTCAAAATCGCCAATTTATAATTAACAAGGACTAATACGAATAATGAACAAGATTTGTCCAACGAATCTGGAAATTATTATTCCGAAGATTAATATGAGATTTCAATAATGAAATTCTCAGCGTTGACAGCATTTCAAGATGCAAATTAAGGGAAGGTAGTTAATTGATAAAGACTGAAACTACTACAAAGTACACATATTAGCTTATGTAGACGGAAATTACATAAAGTGGAACACACGCTACATGCTGTCAACAGAAGTGACATGAATGGGATGTAAGACTTCAAGAATGAGAATGTAAATTTCTCCGTTGATTTATGAAGCATGATGATACGGAATTTTTAAATAAAAGAAACTTTCAAAAAGCTTGAAAAAAAAGCAAAGTTTAAAGTGAAACCTATATGCTTATAGGTGTTACTAGGAACTGAGTGGATGGCAATATGTCAATACTTCACGTTACTTTATACAAAATCTCTATGTAAATGTCTTTTGTCGAGTTTATTTTCCAAAAATTGAGCTAAATTTCCTGTTCATTTGAAAAATTGAAATCATTTGAATTTAATCGAAGAAAAAGAGGAAAGTTGCTGAGAAAAAAATTTTGTGGCGAAAAAATATGAGATCTCGCGAGCTTGTAATAGAACATGATATGGAAAAAGTTAAAGTCTTGTTACATGGAATGATAAGCTAAAGAAATAGAAAATAATAATGAAAAATAATCTAATATACAAAATCTGAAGCAACTGCATAACAGATTCAATCTCCATTTTTAATCATTTGATAGAGAGGACATCAATTTGCTCCGATGTTTTCAATAGCATATGGTATCCAAGAAACTAAATTAGAGGAGCAGACGACCAATCATAGCTCATGAATCCATCACTTTTTCATACTTTGAATAGAATGATAACCAACAAATGACACCAACGAGAGGGCATTTACATAAAAAGTCATCTGATGAGCTTTTATAATTCAAATATGTTGTAACTAAAAAGTGACAACTGTCTCTATTTATAAATAGAGTTCTTAGAGAACATTCTAATTATTTGGTTTTCTTAGTAATTAACCAACAAAAGATATGAAGTCATTAAAAATGGAAACTGTTTAATTGCCATAGTTAAGTGTAAGTTTTATGATAACAGCTAATAATACTGAATCTCGATTTCTATACGTATTAATATTTCGGTCCTGTAATAGTTTGCTTCATCCACAGATTTTCAAGCTAAACAATGAAAAGAAGAAAACATGATTTATTAGAAAGTAAACTACAAATATAGTCAGTTCGTTATTTTCATCAAGCCAGTTATAGTGAACAGGAGGTATTAAAACATATCTTTAAATTTAAGACGTAGAATTATTTATCTTTGACTTTCAAACTGTTCAATATGTTCAAAGCACTGGCGACGACATTCATCAACTGTACAATTTCATCAGGTTTCTTAGAATTTTCCAACTGTTTCAAAGCCCACGTTAACTTTTGCGTTATGGCGTTTTCAGCATTCTCCTCCAAAGCAGTTACTTTCGTGCTATCGCTACCCTGAAATATGCATGCAATTTCACAGAAAAGCCTAACCACTTAGCTTAGTGTGTAACTTCGATAACACGCTTGCACTAACAAAATTAAGCAAGGAAATCAAATGTATAATATTAAGACTAAATTGGGTATACGTTATAAAGATTGTTAAAAAATCGTTTATTGCTCCTTATTTTGTTTTGTGAATTGATCTGATTTCGTTATAATTCACCTTAAATGGTGCTGGTGAAGCAGTACGTTTAGCCTCTTCCGGAAAACCAGTTCCTGCATTTACTTCTCGATACGGTACAAAGGATGAAGTGGTTTCGGTATCGGTAACAGCAACTGAGAATGTCGTCGATGACTGATCGGTTGTCATACGACGTTCGCCGCTTTCTCCTTCGTTTTTCTGAAATTGATGAAGATTTTCTAAATTTCTATGGGAGGTTTGGTAATCCTACAGTGGCATGAAGAAATTCGCTCAAAATTCATAATGAATCAATGTTACCATATTGGGACTAAGCTGCTGATGCCATGGAGCCGCTTCAATTGATTTGTTCACCGCATGCAAGAGCTGATTCGTAGTAGATGTTAGGCCATATGCTGCATAGGTAGGTGATGGAAGAGTGAAGGATGATGAAGCTTGAAGGGAAGGAGATTCATCAACCAACTGATCTGATTCCGAACTTGAACAGCAGCTGCCACTCTACAATGCTTTCTTAAAACTTTGCTTAGCGCTATCCATCTGTTTATCATTTTAAATATTTAGCCCATTTTTCAATTATTTTATCAAAAGATTCCACAATGCTTTTCATAATTCAATATAACTTCTAGAATTAGGATATCAAACCTTTCTGCTAAAACTTTACTATACTAGAGCAGAAGTCTTAAAAAGGGATGAAGGACAAAGAGCTATAAACATTTACCGACTGTAGAGATATAGCATAATCGCGTTTCCTTCTCTTCACAATCATTTTCAAACTTTCTGTGTAGTCCTTCGATAATTTAAGCGATCTCATGGCTGAATAACATGTTGATAGCGGTTGCTGAAGCATGCAAATACCATGCAGTGATATAACGAAAGATTCATACCAATAAAGCTTTTTGGCAAAAATTTACTACACAGTTATTTGAATTAAATGGTCATAACTATTCAGTTCATCCTGAGTTTGTGGAAATATCTTTTATAGTGCCTTAACATCTACACTTAAATAATAGCGTGATTAAGTTAAGTGGTTAAGATAGTTAAGGTTAAGGTTGAAATTCACGACGGTCAAACTTACCTTTTTTATCTTCTTTTCACCTCAATTCTACAGAGAGAAATGGTTAAAATTTGGCGTTTTTAATCCGACTCAACTATATCAGGAATCATATAACTACTATTGTCACCTTCTGTTTTTTGTGTCTAATTAACATATAAGTAAAAAAATACCTTAAGTTCTTGAGAAATTTGAGAAAAAGTTAGTCCCTGTTCACGTAAGCAGCGCACATTTTCACCTAACTTCAAATTTTCTGAAAAAGACAAAACGGCGTAAAGCATTCACATATCGTATGAAGCTATAAAGAAAAACAAAAGTAAATTGAAAAACGATATTCATTCAATTTTTTCTTGTATAGCAATCAAACAGAGAGGGGATAAAACTTACTTTCAGGGTTGTACATTGCAATGATCGCCTTTTGCCACCTGGATAATTAAACTGCTAAAATAAATGAAATTAACAATATACTGTAATATTTCTTGATATTGCAATGCAGAATTGGCACTCCATTGCCAAATTTTGATAGGGGATAGCTACAAACGACTTGAAAAGCATGGAAATATACATCAAAGGCGAATAGACATTTCAGAGTCATGTGGGAGGGTATTTTTTTTGTAAAATAAAAAAACTTGCAGAACTTTTAGAAGATGATAAAAAGCAAACTCAGAATATGAAAACATTCAAGCTTTTGTTTATAAAAAACTAAAATTTCTAAAACTTACTCGATTCCAAAGACCAAAAAGAAATATTAAGTTGTAATCCACAATGAAATACTGCCACGAATGCGCTAAATTGAAAAGAAAATTCTTTTAATAAGCTTTTCTTGCGACAAAAAAAAATCGAAAATTTTTTTCGATTGCTAACTGTCTTCCAAAAGTTTCATTTTGTGATATGAAATGTTTTGATGAGAGCCGATGCCAAAAGGGTTGAACTGCTTAAATCAAAAAGAAGGGGTTGAAATATTTCCAATCTTTCAAGAAGAATGGACGGGAAGAGAAAGAATGTATCGCTGTCGCAATGAATTGAACGCTTTCATTTGGTTGTTCGGTGGGAGTAGCGTCCGTATTACAAATACAATAAAGTTTGGTTTTCTGCATAATTGTCTGATTCGCCAAATGATTATACTCGAATTGAAATAACAACAAATAATTTAGATATAAATGGTATTGTCATTCAGGACAAGTGAAAAGACCAATCAGCGTAGTATACACTGTGATAAGGTTTGTCATTTTTATCTTCTAATTTTTAAATTTTAAATAATTCAACAATATTTAGGTTAGAATGAGCTAAATCATCCTATCTCTTTCCCATCGAAAATGGAATTCAGTGCACTCTATCATAGCTCACGTAAATGCATGTCTTACTTCATTATTGAATGATTCAGATGGTCGAATATAGATAGACACATTATATGACATATAAATTATTGTCAGCTATAATATCGATATATTTCCTATTATGCATATGCATAATTAATTCAGTCAATCGCGACAGCAGCCATTAATCTTCAGATATAATAATTTAGTGAAATTTTAATGATCACCAAATTAGTTTATATGCAAAAAATAACGCTCGCTCGGTCCTTCTAAAACAAGTTATGCAATTGGGAGGAGAAGTGGGAATGTCAAATGGGGACGAGAAATGGTAAGAAACGCATATTACATCTTTCGACTGCTCGGACTCAAAAGTGTTGTCGAAAAGTGCCATCAGCATCATCATCATTTAATACTAACACCATCATTGTATTACTTACCATACATCAGCTATTATCCGCTCGAAAGAAAAGACGAAATGTGGCGAAAACTTCATATTCATTCACTCTTGCTTCTCCTATTGCTTGAAACCGTAGCTGAAACGAAGGTTAGATATTACTAACGTGTAAATTAGGGTATTTTAGTTGCTAAAAACAAATGATTTAAATTATCGATAGCATAACACGAAAATGCGGCGGAAGAAGGGGAAGGAAGAGGAAGTGAAAAAGAAAGAAGGCAAATTGGGGTAAATAATTCAACAAATATAATAGTTTGATTAAAAGAGCCAACCTTCATCGATGGAAGATGAGAAAGAATTGGGAAGGAAAAGAGAAGACGATATTAGGTTAAATACTCCGCCGTATTTGGATGTAATTAATTACAACACTACCAGATGATGCACTGAATTTTCGAACAAAATTGATATTTTTACTGATATAATCCGTAGCAGCATTTTCTGCAGAAGAAAAATCTGGTAACCGAATTTGTAAAAGAATCAGAGTCGTCCATTTTTGCTGGCAGTAAGAATACGGAATTTGCAATATTAATCGAATCAAAAGAATCTGAGGATTATGACGATCACCTAGACGAATTCCAGAAAGCTGCAGAGAAATTCGAACACAAGGTTTATGCATTTTTAAATTAAGCGTTAGAGGAACATCCGTAATGCTTTCTTCCACGATCTTGAAGATGGACTTTCTGTTTCAAAAATATTGGTTTCATAATACTTATAAAAACAACTAATGTGAATATCTGAATTCCAAATCGTTCCTAATTTTGAAAATAAGAAATATTATGGATACCGTAAAGAAGCTCAAATTTGGATAGGCTACTCAGTACACTCAGGTGTCTAGGTTCGATTTGTATATATCAACTCAGATATAGAAGAAAACTGGCAAATAATTGAATTTCTTGGTTTAATAGCGGAAGATGTACCCGGCGTACTGTTTGTTGGCCTTAAAAACCACTTCAGGAAGTATAAAGCGGAAATGAAAGAAGTAAGCATTCCTTTCTAAATCTTTTAAAAATATTTCTCTATTAAATTATTGATTTTTGAGCTTTCTAGATGAAAAATTTACAATCCCATTTCTAAATATGAGTTTCAACAATTTTATCGCTTTACTTTGTTCCTGTTATTTTTTATTTCATGAAGGACTAATCAGACCACATTATCAGCAAAAGGAAGATGAAAAGTAATACTACGTAGCAAAAATCGACATCTTATCATAAAGCATTTCGCATTTCCTAGGAGTCCGGAAAGCATAGTAATTCCTCTTGATATCTCTTTGATATCGTCTTCACTGACATTGGTAAATTTGTAGATAGAAAAGGCAGAAATAATCTCATTCGTACAGTCATGTTTGGACGGCAAAGCAATATCCTTCTTGAAAAGTGAAGAAATTCCAGACGATTGGAACAAAAAGCCTGTGGTTGAACTAGTAGGGAAAAACTTCGAAGAACAAGTATTTGATTCGAAAAAAACAACCTTCGTATTCTTCTGTAAGCTTTCTTCATCTTTTTTATAAAACATCACTTACAGATAGAGAAAAAAAATACTGAAACAAAAGGCAAAAAAAGAAAATTGAGAATAATGTCAAAAACTTGTTTTCTTCAAAATAAATTCATTACAACGTTTAACATTGCTTCATGAAAAGCAGCAAAAGTTTCAGAAGTGCTGGCGCTACTTTTGTATTTCAATACAAACAATGCAAATTATAAGGACTAAGATAAATTTCCAAACCAATCCGTAGCGTATTTACATAATTGGACTATCATTAATTTCTTTAACATTTTATGGTTCCAAGGAAGCTTTGCTCAAAATTTCTGAAATATTTCATATTCATCGCAAAAACTTTTCCAAAATCTTATGACGAAAAAGTTATAACACAAATTAGCATATAACTAAGCACTAACGTATCAGGACTATTTATACTTTAGTGCTTGGTTACGTTAGTGCTTAGTTATATGCTAATTTGTGTTAAACTTTTTCGTCATAATGATTGTCCTCAATTTCCAATTAGCCATAATGTCATATCAAAAACAACTCAATAATTATTTCTCTTTTCACTGTACTATACAACAATATGTGAAATATGCTGCCCGCCCCTTGTAATTACGAAAATTTGTAAAACACGACTTATTTTAAAGAACTTGATGGATTTGAAAAGTAATTGATCTGACGACTCCGGGATTTATTTAAAAAATTCAATTACTATAGTCCTTACAGATGCACCATGGTGTGAAGCATGTCAAAGAACGATGCCAGAATTAGAGAAACTTGGCGAACTTTACAAAAATGAAAAAAATTTGGTAATCGCCAAAATGAACTCAATGAATAACGAAGTATTCGGAATACCGGTATTTGACGTACCTACTATAGCGCTATTTATCAAAGGATCGAGAAAAGTTTGTTTTTTTAACTAATATTTTCCTTTTTGTTTCCTAAAAATTTATATCGAGATATCCATGATGCAACGGTATAATAGGAGAGTCTCAAAAAAATTTCAATCATTGAAGTTCCTAAATTTTTTGATTAAAAAACTTTTGCGAAGAATGACTTATAAAAAGAAATTCATCCTGCAACTTTTCACTTCTTCCTCCTTTTAGCCCATTTATCACACGGAACATGAACGTACAGCGAATAATTTCTCTGAATTCATTATGACAAATTTGGAAAAGAAAGAAGAAAACAATGTGGAAAAGCATGAGAAAGAAAAGAAAAAGGAAAAAACCGGTGATGGAGAAAAGCAGTTGAAAAATAAGGATAAGGAACAAGTTAACAGTAAGGACGAACTCTGAGCTAAAGCTTTTACGACTAATATATGATCTCTTTCCCTAATAGCCATTTTTTCCTTCACCAAAGCATTTCCTCTCTCTCCCTCTCTTTCTCGCTTTCCTCTTATTTCATCTCTTTTCAGGAAGACAATTAATTAACCAACCAATTTAGCTTTTACTTAACCAATCCAATTTTGTTGATGTTTTGAAAAGTAAAACAATAGAATGTCTTATTAACAAACAAGTCAATGGAAAAAATGAAGGAATAACTTACCGATCGACATCGTGGTGTTTATTGTGAATGTATTTCGCGTACAGAAAGAGATGGAGTGAGTAAAAGAATCGTAGTGAGCATTCATCATCAAAAAGAATACATTAAATACCAAATAAAAACGTCACAAATCTAACCATTCCATTCTTTTTTTCATCATGCAAATCAACAACCAGTTCACCTTCGATTTTGCCTTATCTTTCTTTGATTTCGAGCCCTTCAAAAAAATTTTGATTAAACTTTCCTTCGCAGTAAAAACTTCAATATAAATGACTAATAAGTAAATAGTATAGAATTAGCAAACTCGAGGAATGCAGCACCGAAACATGGAAAGACGCGATCCAATTATTTATTAAATTTTACAAAAATGACATGTAAAATGAAAACTTGGCAATGAAGCAGAGGATAAAAAAATAATGGAAACAGTATGATGAGTCTCTTATTATTTTTCGTTTAATATCATAAAGCAAAATCTGAGGCTAAAAAAAAAACAAAATGATTAGCAATGCCCGTAAGAAATTCAAAAAGAAATCATAGGTTATAATATTTTATTAGGATGGAACGGTATCATGCCGATGCCAACGCCACCTTCGTGAGCTACCATACTTGTTGCCAATGTCCATCTGTCCTCCTCAATATTATAGGTCTCCATGGAACTCAAGTTCGAAATGCCATCATAACTAAAATGATCTATACGCAAATTTCTGAATAATGAAAATTAGAGTCACAACGAATTTTCCACACCATTTGAAAGAACAAATAAAAGAAATTTTTCGGTATCGAGAAAGTATATCATAACAAAGGGAAATACAAAATCAGATATGCAGGATCTCAACTAGTCACTTTTGATCAAGCATTTATGGTCTGCACCATAACCAGGCATTTTTCTCGCATAAAACTTGAATTTTCGAGACATTTATTTAAATATCATACTACTTAATGTTGCGATTATTCTGACAATGGACAGACAGCTTGCAGCTTGACAAAGTTTTATTCGTAATACATAAAAAGATGGCAAAGCCATACATCAAGCAACTCATTTCATCCATCTCATTCCTCGAAGTAAATGTTATGACCATCCAGAAAGAAAAAAAACAAACAAACCCAGCGATAGCATAAAGAACACCGGCATTGGAAATCAATGATACTCGACTCCTTTTTAAATGCATCGGTGATAGTGGGCTCCACTCGTCCTTCTCTGGTTCATACATTTCAACACTTTTCAGAAATTGACATCCATCATAGCTGCAAAAAAAAAAATTAATGTTGTCAGTGACCTTGCTGCTACTCACAATAAAATCTAGACATGCCAGAATTTATGCAAAATTAATATTAATAACTCAGAGAGAATTTAAAAATTTGTAAATGTGAAAGGCATATATATGATATAAATTAAAATGTTTACCCGCCACAAACGTAAATTTTCCCTCGAACAGCTGCAGCTCCCAAACGACACCGCTTCGTAGACATCGATTTTACCACTTGCCATTCACCACTATCAACATTAAATCGTTCAACAGAGTTGAATATTGACATTCCGTCGTGTCCGCCTATCACTGCAATGCGTTTTTTGGACCTTCATTTTTCATTTATGTTATTTTCAGCTTTCCCAATAACATCTTTACATGTACACACGTAGAACACTTATGAGAGGATCAGGCTTAAAAATCACTAAATTCTTACCATAAATGTAATTATCGATAACAGCTATGCCAGCAGCAGATCTCTGCTTATTCATCGCAGTAGTTAAAGTCCATCGATTTGTACAAGGATTAAAAACTTCAACAGATGCAAGTGAACTAATTCCATCATAGCCACCGCATACATAAAGGCGGTCATTGACTACAGCTGCTCCAAGCGCGGAACGTTTATTAATCAATGAACTCACCTACGAATGAAAAAATAATGTATTATACATCAGGGATAGCACAAATAGTTACATTCAGTGTATTACAATGTTGCAATAAAATGATTATATGCTGAACACGATTATGCATTAGTTTTCGCAAACAAAATTTGCTAGGCATAAGTTTATTAGATTTTAAAAGGTTCCAATTCTTTACAATGCCTTATAAATCATGTTATCTAGCTTTTAGTCTTGGTTGTTTTTTTAAGTTGTTTTCGGCCATTTTTTAATCTCAGACCTTTTACCAGAAAAAGAATAAAATATAGCATGTCTTTATTCATTTTTTTAAATTTAACCTCGGCCCATTTATTCTGATCTGGATCAAAAACTTCAACGGTACGTAGCCGGTCATGACCATTGAAACCACCAATAGCATACAGCATACGATTCATTACAGCAACACCTACTCGTGATCGAATTGAATTCATTGGCTGTGCTGATGTCCACTTACCTGCAAGCAACTTAGTAACAATTCGCCCAAATTGAAAAGCACGATAAATCAAGATAATGAAATACACTTACCAGTCATTGGATCATACATCTCAACAGTTGACAAAGAATCACCGGCATTCGTCAAACCACCAACCGCGAAGATCAAACCGGGAGCATCAAAGCAACATCTCTGTTTTGTCCTAGGCAAAAAATTTAAACTTTCTCAAGAAATCTAAATCTGCTCTCAATGGCTGCATTAGATGAACAGAATGCGGAAATTTACAAGGTAAGGCAAAACGTTCAACAAAAATGATATAGATAAAAATTTTTAAATCTTCCCAACCATACTTTGTTTTATTAGTATTTGGAAAGCAGAAAATTTGACTGTACCTGAATTTTTTGAGAAATTTCCTTCGCTCTGGCATAAGATGGTAATCTTTTGCTTCATCAATTAGATCACGGCAATCAATGCATTCACGAATGAGTGGATGAGAGGCCACGTGATCGGTAATAAAATGAGGTTTCAGTAATGGCATCCTGACGCATGTAAGTACCCTGAAATTTATGTTTCCTTAACGAAACAAAGTCACAATTACATTATAACTGAAAATAGAACTTTGGGACCAAAAAAGCATTTTCTAAATCATATAGGACATGATTATGATTCTCTCTGATACGGAGCTAACATAACACAGCACAGGAAGATACTTTCATTTGAATAACGTTCTGAATTTTGGATACTTTCTTCAAATTGTAATGATAACCAGTATTTTTATCTTAGCCGTAAGGGAGTCATTCAAGAATTTAATATTTTTAATAAACTGGAAAAAGTAAGCCCAATTATAACACCCTCTCGCAATCATCTTATATTTCTGCTGATGGTTAGTTCTGCCATGGATGAAACCCCCCCCCCCCAATTTCTTTACAATAAATCATAATCAGTTGTGAAATTAGGAAACCTAAAATGAGAAAAAAAATTTAGAATGAAACAACTGAGAAATATCAAAATTAATGTCCATTTACTACCATAACATCTAACTAGAGAGAATTACCTCGGCAAGTACTGCTTCCTTTCAAGATTATGCTGCACCCATCGCATGCATGCATCAAACATTTGTTCTTCGCTTTCAACAAACAGTTCATCTCTGTTCAATATTGTTACCAAATCATCTACTGATAAAGCCAAATACTCTTCACCTTGCGATACTGATAGAAAGTGTTTGTGTAGAAAACAATCTAAATGATTAATTTATAGAAATAAGAAGAGAACATTAAATACAATCGTCACTTGCTTTGAAATGAATAAAAGAAATAAATCATTAAGCAAGGATATGAAGTATATTCACTCTTCCATTTCCTCGTTTCATCTTTCTTATTTTTTTTTTCTGAAATATAACTATACGATCTCTAGAAAAGACTATTAGTAAGATGCTTTGGTAATTTCGGAATGAAGAGGAATAAATAAAGAGGACAAGAGACATACAGTTAGCTACCTGCCGAAAGAACGAGTGATACACAGCCAAGAGTCATAGCAAAGGATCGTATACCGAGAACATTTTGTGCATGCAATCTGCATTTTAAAAACTTAGAACATTCATCCACGATTCCATTCAGCTGCAAGAAATTTGCTGCATGCATCATTCTTTGCACGTTTGCAGCGGTTATTCTTATGCTTCCTGTGTATGAGAAACCAATCAGTTGCTCCAATGTATCCGGTTCGAAATCTTCATGAAACAAACAAAAGAAAAATGAAGTCTAATATGCGCAGTGCAAATTTGAACTACACTATGATAAGATGATTTTAATCAGACATCGGTAACAAACATTAACTACGAAATTCTAATTCATATTTGTAAGATCCAAACAGTAAAACTTAAGGGTTCAAATCAGAACATCTGCCGGGTCAATCAGAAGTTTCTTGCATCTTTTATCTTCCTTCTTTTTTATATCTTGTACCTAATGATTTTCCTCTATATACCAGTTAGGATAATGTCTCTGTGATCAAAAGTCCTGCACCTATATTCGAACATTGAGTTTCCAGACCTTGTTTTGGAACATTTAGCGGGTCAGAGAAACCCTACCTCTATGCAATATCTGCTCCTTTCGAGAGCTATTTACCCTGATATATTATCCACAAAATAACTAATAGACGATTAAATAAAATGGGTAAACGACTGACTAAACGGTTGACTTCGCGGGCGAGATCTTTCTGGATGCTTGAATATGACTGAATGCAGTAATTACTTTCATATAACAAAAGTCAACCTTTCAAATGAATCTCTTCTTGTTGACTTTCAGCCATATCAGCTGTAAACATAGCTCGGAAGTAGGGAATTGTTGCAGCTAGAACAATACGATGAGCACTAAATCTGAAATTATCAAAATCCGTACGAAAAACTTCTCTAACAGACCAGG